AGTAAGTCCCATAGCAAGGGCTGTCAGCGCCGGCCGACATGGCTCTCATGTGTCGCGGTCTAAAGGTACCTTAACATGGATGGATTTTGACAAACTATAGCTTGTTGGATGGCGGATGAATAGGCCAACAAGCTGACAAATCGGCAAGGCTTCAGACTTGAAACTTTTGGAGTGAGCTCCAGACGTAGGTACATGATGCCCCCAGTTTCGTTTTTGTGCAGTAAGTCCCATAGCAAGGGCTGTCAGCGCCGGCCGACATGGCTCACATGTGTCGCGGTCTAAAGGTACCTTAACATGGATGGATTTTGACAAACTATAGCTTGTTGGATGGCGGATGAATAGGCCAACAAGCTGACAAATCGGCAAGGCTTCAGACTTGAAACTTTTGGAGTGAGCTCCAGACGTAGGTACATGATGCCCCCAGTTTCGTTTTTGTGCAGTAAGTCCCATAGCAAGGGCTGTCAGCGCCGGCCGACATGGCTCTCATGTGTCGCGGTCTAAAGGTACCTTAACATGGATGGATTTTGACAAACTATAGCTTGTTGGATGGCGGATGAATAGGCCAACAAGCTGACAAATCGGCAAGGCTTCAGACTTGAAACTTTTGGAGTGAGTTCCAGACATAGGTACACGATGCCCCCAGTTTCGTTTTTGTGCAGTAAGTCCCATAGCAAGGGCTGTCAGCGCCGGCCGACATGGCTCTCATGTGTCGCGGTCTAAAGGTACCTTAACATGGATGGATTTTGACAAACTATAGCTTGTTGGATGGCGGATGAATAGGCCAACAAGCTGACAAATCGGCAAGGCTTCAGACTTGAAACTTTTGGAGTGAGTTCCAGACGTAGGTACATGATGCCCCCAGTTTTGTTTTTGTGCAGTAAGTCCCATAGCAAGGGCTGTCAGCGCCGGCCGACATGGCTCTCATGTGTCGCGGTCTAAAGGTACCTTAACATAGATGGATTTTGACAAACTATAGCTTGTTGGATGGCGGATGAATAGGCCAACAAGCTGACAAATCGGCAAGGCTTCAGACTTGAAACTTTTGGAGTGAGCCCCAGACGTAGGTACATGATGCCCCCAGTTTCGTTTTTGTGCAGTAAGTCCCATAGCAAGGGCTGTCAGCGCCGGCCGACATGGCTCTCATGTGTCGCGGTCTAAAGGTACCTTAACATAGATGGATTTTGACAAACTATAGCTTGTTGGATGGCGGATGAATAGGCCAACAAGCTGACAAATCGGCAAGACTTCAGACTTGAAACTTTTGGAGTGAGCTCCAGACGTAGGTACATGATGCCCCCAGTTTCGTTTTTGTGCAGTAAGTCCCATAGCAAGGGCTGTCAGCGCCGGCCGACATGGCTCTCATGTGTCGCGGTCTAAAGGTACCTTAACATAGATGGATTTTGACAAACTATAGCTTGTTGGATGGCGGATGAATAGGCCAACAAGCTGAGAAATCGGCAAGGCTTCAGACTTGAAACTTTTGGAGTGAGCCCCAGACGTAGGTACATGATGCCCCCAGTTTTGTTTTTGTGCAGTAAGTCCCATAGCAAGGGCTGTCAGCGCCGGCCGACATGGCTCTCATGTGTCGCGGTCTAAAGGTACCTTAACATGGATGGATTTTGACAAACTATAGCTTGTTGGATGGCGGATGAATAGGCCAACAAGCTGAGAAATCGGCAAGGCTTCAGACTTGAAACTTTTGGAGTGAGCCCCAGACGTAGGTACATGATGCCCCCAGTTTTGTTTTTGTGCAGTAAGTCCCATAGCAAGGGCTGTCAGCGCCGGCCGACATGGCTCTCATGTGTCGCGGTCTAAAGGTACCTTAACATGGATGGATTTTGACAAACTATAGCTTGTTGGATGGCGGATGAATAGGCCAACAAGCTGACAAATCGGCAAGGCTTCAGACTTGAAACTTTTGGAGTGAGTTCCAGACGTAGGTACATCGTTCCCAAGCCTGCATGTAGCCATTTTACAAGTTGCATCCATCCATTTTCTCAGGCAAATAGGACCAATTTTTCAACTGTAATTTTATCAAGCCTGCGCTCAGATGGAAGCCCAAAAATCAGGGAGTTGGTGTTTGGCTATTTTTACACAATTTTGCCGTTTTTAAAGCCAAACTGTCTCCGTTTTGAAAAGAAATTTTCCGACATCTGACTGATGAGGTGTCGGACTTATATGGTTGCAGACCAGTAAATAAACTTCCCTAGACCACAATGGTAAATGCTCCCACTTTGGAAATTTGGGAAAAATACTCACAACTCTCCAAGGTGTTCGAGACACACATCAAATTAAAGCTTATTTCGTCATCTTTAATTTTCTATTCATTTTTTTTTGGGGGGGTGGGTGGTCAACTGATGACTTTCAGGAGAAATCTCCATCCGAAGATGATCACCCCTGAAAATTGTCCTGAAGCCCATCGCCATTTTGAAAAACGATGCCTACACGTTATGGTAAAATAGAGCGCTTTAAAGGGCCCCAATTTCATTAAAATTGAACGGAACTACAAGCTCAAAGTCCTGAGCACGGCTTCCACCCATATTTTTTAAAAACCCTCAAGTTCATGGCCCACAGAATGCTCAAATACTGGAGATTTTGAGGGCATGCAAATCGTGATTTGGCTGGCATAGGCAATTTCGGACCGATTTACTGGTCTGCAACCTTACTCTATGGCGGCGTCGGACTTATGATACGACCCACAAGAGCCGGGTGGTACGCGTACGGTGCGCCTATACAGCATGTGCACGGCCGGCGCGCGCTACACATCCCCAGGATCCGTGGGATCCTGTCTGTGAACCAAGATCTGCGCTAGGGCGACCGTTTTAGCTGATTCTCGGCTAACTTTGACAGAATTTTTGTTTAAAAAATGAGTTTGACAGAAAATTTGACAGAATGGATTTTGTTTTGGAAGGTTTCAGGGGGTGGAGGTACAATTGTTTCAGGCAGAATTCTGCCAAAATGGTTCTGAAAAGCTTCAATCCTTTCAAACAAACCCTTGCGTAATGGGAGAGGTTCTACTTCTAAATAGATCGATCTATCACTGGGAAACGGAATTTGTCGTGGCCGGATCCACGTACGTTTTGCCCGAAATTTACCTATGTTAATAATTTCATAATATCTTTATGCGACTATAAATCTGCATGTGATTTTAAGTGTTTATAGCGTATTTCGAGTAATGGGAATTTGGCAGATTTTTGATAAATCTGACAGATTTTTGATGTGCATTTAGCAGAATTTGGCTCTCTGACCTTACGGTCACGTACCCTGGTCCGCACCGCGCCGCGTAGTATAGTGCAGTGAACGTGTGTGTACGTACTCTTTGGTACGTACGGATCTAGGGCCCTAGGGTTGCAGACCAGTAAATCGGTCCGAAATTGCCTGCGCCGGCCAAAGCACGATTTGCATGCCCTCAAAATCTTCGGTATTTGAGCATGCTGTGGGCCATGAACTTGAGGGATTGTAAAAAATATGGGTGGAAGCCGTGCACAGGACTGGGAGCTTGCAGTTCTGTGTAATTTTGATGTAATGTGGACCCTAAAAGCGCTCTATTTTGCAATGGAGTGTAGGCATCGTTTTTCAAAATGGCGATGGGCTTCAGGACTATTTTCAGGGGTGATCATCCTCAGATGGAAATTTCTCCTAAAAGTCATCAGTTGACCCCCCGAAAATTGAAAAGAAAATGAAAGATGATGAAATAAGCTATAATTTGATGTGTGTCTCGAACACCTTGGAGAGTTGTGAGTATTTTTCCCGAATTTTTGAAGTGGGAGCATTTACCATTGGGGTCTATGGAAGTTTATTTACTGGTCTGCTACCTATAGGGTGCAGACCAGTAAATCGGTCCGAAATTGCCTGCGCCGGCCAAAGCACGATTTGCATGCCCTCAAAATCTTCGGTATTTGAGCATGCTGTGGGCCATGAACTTGAGGGATTGTAAAAAATATGGGTGGAAGCCGTGCACAGGACTGGGAGCTTGCAGTTCTGTGTAATTTTGATGTAATGTGGACCCTAAAAGCGCTCTATTTTGCAATGGAGTGTAGGCATCGTTTTTCAAAATGGCGATGGGCTTCAGGACTATTTTCAGGGGTGATCATCCTCAGATGGAAATTTCTCCTTAAAGTCATCAGTTGACCCCCCGAAAATTGAAAAGAAAATGAAAGATGATGAAATAAGCTATAATTTGATGTGTGTCTCGAACACCTTGGAGAGTTGTGAGTATTTTTCCCGAATTTTTGAAGTGGGAGCATTTACCATTGGGGTCTATGGAAGTTTATTTACTGGTCTGCTACCTATAGGGTGCAGACCAGTAAATCGGTCCGAAATTGCCTGCGCCGGCCAAAGCACGATTTGCATGCCCTCAAAATCTTCGGTATTTGAGCATGCTGTGGGCCATGAACTTGAGGGATTGTAAAAAATATGGGTGGAAGCCGTGCACAGGACTGGGAGCTTGCAGTTCTGTGTAATTTTGATGTAATGTGGACCCTAAAAGCGCTCTATTTTGCAATGGAGTGTAGGCATCGTTTTTCAAAATGGCGATGGGCTTCAGGACTATTTTCAGGGGTGATCATCCTCAGATGGAAATTTCTCCTTAAAGTCATCAGTTGACCCCCCGAAAATTGAAAAGAAAATGAAAGATGATGAAATAAGCTATAATTTGATGTGTGTCTCGAACACCTTGGAGAGTTGTGAGTATTTTTCCCGAATTTTTGAAGTGGGAGCATTTACCATTGGGGTCTATGGAAGTTTATTTACTGGTCTGCTACCCTAGGCCTAGTATCATTACTATACTTTACTACTAGTCGAGAGAAGGGGCTCGACCTGAGCTGAGGAAAGTTCGTTTTCAGCCAATATAGTGAGGTACCTTAGGGACGAGGTTGACCTGTGGCGTTTGAGAAATAACATCGACCCTAGGCGCAGCACAGGAATCGGAAGTGCGCCCTAATAGTTCAGGTACACGTGTGTGGACTGTGTGTATAATTTTGATGTCGGGATCATTGTTACTTCAGTTGAGCATGGTGAAGGTGAGGAAACGTTATTTTCGACATAATTAATTGTTCAAAAGTGTAATTGATTTCATGTCCCTAGCAGCAGAATCATGTGGTTTGCATATTGATGGTTGTTATCGTGCAAAGGGTTTTCATATACATTCCCTCTCGTTTCGTCGCGTCGTGTAGTTTGGCTAGTTGCGCTGGTTGGAGAGGCGACGCGATGTGTCGTAAATTTAAATAAAAATTTTGCGTCAACCGTCGTGCTTCTGCCGTTAATAAAATAAATGACACTGTGTCGCGGTATTTGCTTTGGACACTGTAGCAACATTTTGACGCAAGCGCAACGTTTGGGAACTTTTTGGAAACTACGTCCTCAGTGTTGGTTGATCGAGCTGGTCATAATTATTTCCCTTTAATTGTTTGAAGGCAAGTTAAAAAAAAATTCTAGGATATAATCCTCCGAAACTTTTCTTTAAATTGTACACAGCTTGAACTTGGAACTAAGAACAAACATCGACAATAATCCAGAGGTCTTTATAAATACAGCAGTTTCGTAGCAAGGACATTTTTATTGTGGAAGGGGGGGTAAAAAGTTCGTGAAAAGGGCGCTCACACATCCGTGCTGAAATGTAGACAGGGTTTTTTTCTCTGGTCACTTGGCCTCCAGCTCGGTAAAAATCAAAAAGTGGGGGCACTCCTTACAAATGTTAGGGGGTAAACGCTAGTGAAAAGGGGGCACTTTTATAGAAAAGAGCAGTCTTTACAAAATATTGGGGGGGGGGGGGTAAATACCCCCTTACCCGCCCGCTGGCTACGCCACTGTACTGTGAAGTTATGCTGAAGCGGTTTTACCTTAGGTCTAAAAATGACCGCATTCATTAACCAATGACAAAGAAAAATCGATTAATATATAGTATACTTTTTAATGTGATACACCGTAACTTTTTTAAGAGTTCAATTCTTATCGTTGAATGTCGTCTGACTTACTTCTGGGTTACCGGAATGTCAAAGTTAAGTGAATTTCAAATACAAACAGAAGTCTCTACATGGAAATAAGTCTCATATTGTCATTATGTCCCTTTAAATACTTTTTGTGTCAAGTTTGCTGGATATGTCATTCATTTCACCTACGTACGTATATGACGGTGATTAATTTTTACGTTATTTTTTTTTGTATATTATTCAATAATTAGTATACTATTCAATTCCAAGTGACTTTTTTTCATAAAATCTTTTAATATTTGCCACAATCTGTCGGAAGGGGGGCGTCTCTTATATATTCCTCTGGTTATCGAATTTAATTTTGCGAGATGTCTGCTGTTTTTAGTCATTCACTTTCAATGTTTGCAATAACGGCATCTTTGTGTGTTTTATTCTTTCCAAATTTTGTACTTGAAAATTTGGCTTGATATGTTTTTTCTCAATCTCAAAATGAATAAGTATTATTTGTGAACAAAAATATCGTGTTTTTAAAGGTCCAAATGATATAACCACTGTACAACTCAGCCTTACAAGTGTCAAATAAACCAATAATTATAATAGTAATAATAATAACGCGTGAAGGAAATTAAACCTAGTACAAACAATAAACATGCTTGTTTAAAATATGCGTAATTTTGTGACGTCACCCTTACGTCATCACATCCTTAAATAACTAACTGTCCAAAACGTTTAAACAAACTGGGCTGCCGAGTTCCTATTTTGTTAATATTTGTGGTCTTATTCAAATCCAACCTATCCCCCAAAAAATCGTTAGAACCCTAAACCTCACCCTAATCCTAACCCCTAAACCTTTCCCAACCCTAAAACCCCACCATTAACTTCAAATCCTTACCCCGAAAACTCTAACCCTCAAAAAAGCATGTTGAACAACAAACATGCAATTTGTGTTTTTATTTGAAAGGCTTAATAAAATGCACTCCACTAACATGTAACAAGTGAGGAATACTTAACATTTCATTATCTTTACCAATTGTTTACATCACGATACTGTTTAACAGCTTTACATAATTCCGCTACACGTGACGAGGAGGCTGATTTACATGCAATAAACAATTTATATATCTGATCTATACTATAGTAAAATGTCCCAAACAAAAGTGTACGGTCGGACTATTTTTGGAATAACTACAAAACCGCATGAAGTCAGTTTTGAAATTGTTTGATTGTGCAGATTACCCTTGGCCAAAACCCCACTGGGTTTCATTTCATTTCATTCACGCATCACTACACAATTGTCAATTGATCACAACAACATTTTTGGACCCTGCGACCAAGTTCATTGCCTTTATCAATTTCAATGCTGTGTTAAGTTAGCCAAAATGTGTTAAATTAATGTAAAATCCGTCATGTTGTGAAAAATGCTGCGTGGCTGGGATTGGAATCATTTGCCTAAGCTATCAGTCATCATGGCAAGACCTAAGCTTAATGCTCAAGGGCAAATGATTCCATGCAATCCAAACCACATCAGCCCTTTTATCACAACATGCATAATATTACACAGCTTACATACCACATCACTGAAATTGATTAAGGCAAGGAACTTGGTCACAGTGTCCAAAAATGTTGTTGTGATCATTACTGATCATTGCGCAGTGATGCATTACTGAAATTAAATAAAACTCATAGGGATTTAGGCCAAGGATGTAAGGAATATCTGCACAATCAAACATTTTCAAAATTGACTTCATGGTTTTGTAGTTATTTCAAAAATAGTTAGACGGACACAAATTGTTGTTAGTAGTAAGCTAAAATGAACAAAAGACTGAAGGTTGCATCACAAAAAGTACCAAAGTAACCTAGCCGTGTGAAAGTGAGGTCGCAAGCGTCGGAGTTGGGCCGTTTTCAAACAGACCGCGTATGCCCGAGTTCAAATTTACGTGAGGATCGTAGATTCGAACTCGTCTTCTAATACTACATGTATATCCCTATAATTATGTTTCAGGAATCAACAGTCATATTGGTGGCAACAATGTTACCACTCAGTTGTTTTCGACGTTGACGATCGGCGGTTTGACGACACGGTAGGAATGCCTCTCTGTAAGCTTGTCTATATCGGGAATTGGCGTCGTTGTAGATGATTGAATTGACCATGGAGTTGATGTTGACCAAGATATTCGTAGTTATAATTGTGACATGGGACCCCACGAAATTAAACCTAGTACAAACAATAAACGTGCTTGTTTAAAATATGCGTAATTTTGTGACGTCACCCTTACGTCATCACATCCTTAAATAACTAACTGTCCAAAACGTTTAAACAAACTGGGCTGCCGAGTTCCTATTTTGTTAATATTTGTGGTCTTATTCTAATCCAACCTATCCCCAAAAAAATCGTTAAAACTCTAAACTCACCCTAATCCTAACCCCTAAACCTTTCCCAACCCTAAAACCCCACCATTAACTTCAAATCCTTACCCCGAAAACTCTAACCCTAAACAAAGCGTGTTGAACAACGGACATGCAATGTGTGTTTTTATTTGAAAGGCTTAATAAAATGCACTCCACTAACATGTAACAAGTGAGGAATACTTAACATTACATTATCTTTACCAATTGTTTACATCACGATACTTTTTAACAGCTTTACATAATTCCGCTACACGTGACGAGGAGGCTGATTTACATGCAATAAACAATTTATATATCTGATCTAGGCCTATACTATAGTAAAATGTCCCAAACAAAAGTGTCCGTCGGACTATTTTTGAAATAACTACAAAACCGCATGAAGTCAGTTTTGAAATTGTTTGATTGTGCAGATACTCATTATCCTTGGCCAAAACCCCACTGAGTTTCATTTCATTTCATTCATGCATCACTACACAATTGTCAATTGATCACAACAACATTTTTGGATCCTGCGTCCAAGTTCATTGCCTTCATCAATTTCAATGCTGTGTTAAGTTAGTTGTGTAAAATCCGTCATGTTGTGAAAAGTGCTGCGTGGCTGGGATTGGAATCATTTGCCTAAGCTATCAGTCATCATGGCAAGACCTAAGCTTAATGCTCAAGGGCAAATGTTTCCATGCAATCCAAACCACATCAGCCCTTTTTTCACAACATGCATAACATTACACAGCTTACATACCAAATCACTGAAATTGATTAAGGCAAGGAACTTGGTCACAGTGTCCAAAAATGTTGTTGTGGTCATTACTGATCATTGCGCAGTGATGCATTACTGAAATTAAATAAAAATCATAGGGATTTAGGCCAAGGATGTAAGGAATATCTGCACAATCAAACATTTTCAAAATTGACTTCATGGTTTTGTAGTTATTTCAAAAATAGTTAGACGGACACAAATTGTTGTTAGTAGTAAGCTAAAATGAACAAAAGACTGAAGGTTGCATCACAAAAAGTACCAAAGTAACCTAGCCGTGTGAAAGTGAGGTCGCAAGCGTCGGAGTTGGGCCGTTTTCAAACAGACCGCGTATGCCCGAGTTCAAATTTACGTGAGGATCGTAGATTCGAACTCGTCTTCTAATACTACATGTATATCCCTATAATTATGTTTCAGGAATCAACAGTCATATTGGTGGCAACAATGTTACCACTCAGTTGTTTTCGACGTTGACGATCGGCGGTTTGACGACACGGTAGGAATGCCTCTCTGTAAGCTTGTCTGTATCGGGAATTGGCGACGTTGTAGATGATTGGATTGACCATGGAGTTGATGTTGACCAAGATATTCGTAGTTATACTTGTGACATGGGACCCCACGACATTTGTCAGTGCGGGTGGCAACTCTACCTTGAATTTTTGGAGACCATGGAGGCTTTTTTGAATGAATTCGGGAGCGGTTAAAATAAAGAAAACGATGCTATTGGCGAGAAGCATGCGGGTAACACTGCGACGCGTCCGGTCAGCGCTGTCGCTCAACCCTTGCTGGCCATCTCGCTGTGCCGGTCGGTTTTTCAGAGCCTTCACAATTTTGAAGTACATAAAAGAGTTGGCCAACATCATGAGGACAAAGAGCAAGGGGTCAAAGAAATGAACCACCAAAATACGGACTTCCTCGGTGAAAATAGTATCACAGTATCCCAAGACAGGTGACAGCTCAGAGTACCGAGGCAAATCGGGCCAAATGACACAAACCCTCGTCTTGTACCAGAATACGAGTACGTCCTTCACTCGATACAAGACTGCGAAGACCCATGCAGCGATCGTAATCTTGATTGCACGAGTTTTAGAGAACATGCGATGCTTCAGTGGGTAGCACACGGCATAATATCTGTCAAGAGTAACCGCAACGATTAAAATCGCGGATGTCACGTAGAAAATGTTTGCAAATTGACTTGAATTACAGTCCAATGTGCCGGCGTTTGGAAGATTTGCATATACTCCGCCTGAAATGAAGTAATAATAGATGTAAATCCCACACGATGAGAGCAAAAACAAAACATCAGCCACAGCAAGATTACACAGGTAGATGTTAATGACAGTGTGCATTGACTTAGTCTTGGCAACAACAAAGAGGTAACTGCCATTGGTGATGACGGCCAGTGATGTTATGATCGGTATCACCACGAAAATATAGACGATTTGTAAGCGAGAATACAACAGCATAGAGTCGATAAACTCGATCCTAGTTGCATCTAAGACGACGGTAGCTTCAAGCGCACAGCTTCTGCCCTCCTCCAGCAAGGATTCGTTGTTGCTGGACTGGAGCTCGGAAAACGACAATGACACTGTGGTTTCCATGTTCACTTTTGAGACTTCCCGACTGGCTGATTGCGGTGCAAGGTGTGTTTGATGGTCGAACTCCAAACTCTTTTCAGCAGGAACAATTTGTCTCTCTCTTTTCATTCGCATCAAATAAGTGTCTCGCCTTTAATAAAGCACGGTCTCTTTCCTTGAAACGCGTCGCTCTCCGCACCCACACAAGTCATGCACGCTCACAACTGCGGATTTTTATACCCCTCTTTTTGAGCGCTTGACGCATGCGCGAAGCTGTCACTGACTCTGCAACTTGTGTGTTTGGGCGATTCCATTTGTTGTTTTGAGTTCCTTGATTGGTCGGTAGTTTGGCGCCCAACCTTGTCTAATGCAATATCAATTAAACTCTCTCATGGATGTCGCGAAATAATTAAACAGCGCGTGCAAAACAAATTGCCGCGCACTTGGCGTGTCCCGATAGTTTGGAAATGTTGCGGAAATTAATTTGATATTCTTTCCATGCTTCTATATGTCAAATATTAATTTCTCTCCCGTGGTGCTCGCATGGATGCGCCTGATTGTTATTACTAACGAAGATAAAGGTTGCGGAAAAAATCTAATATCAATTAACTTTTCCGCCTGGCTTTCACGAAGTGATCTAAAATGGAATTAATAATGTGCCACACCCCTGCTGTGCAATTTGTGTGTTTCGTCAATTTGTGATATATTTTTTTATTTTGATCAATTATCCATGCCCTTTATTAATTACAAAATGGGAAATAATTTTCGGACAACACTACTCCGCACCTTGAGAGCTCTGGAAACACTGATATCAATCTTTTCTTTTTTTCGTGCATTTTACGCAGCGGTCCTTAAACAAAAAAAAGCAATTGGCGCCGAACGCCTGTTCTACAATTAATTTGGAGGAGCGACCAATAACTTAACTGGACTGAGGAAATTTTCGGAAAATGCTGTTCAGCAACTTGCGTGGTTGTAAAAAAAATCACCATCAGCAGAAGGCCTTGAAAGTTTTCAGCAAAGCTTATTTCTGTGGGCGTGCTTTAACTTATTGGTGTTATTTTGTTAATTTGGCAAGCCAGAGTCTCGTTCGTTATCGTTTGATATCGACAAGAATGAACAAATTAATGTGGTATGGAATTTTTGTTGGAGGCCCGACCCAGATCAGCGTGAGGCTAGCCCTGTGGGCCACGTCCCAGCAGCTAGGCAGCGTGATATTCAGCTGATGGCTCGTCTGTTTATAAGTGGCATTTTGACACCTTGCAAAACTTCCGATGATGAATATAAACGACCCGCCAAAAGCGTGGATCGCAACAGGTGTCAGGGGCGGATCGAGGAATTTTCGCAGGGGGCGGGTTCATCAGCAAAAAATTCTTTGAATGTAGCCCTTTTTTCTCCGGACATAAGATGTTTAATTTCCTATCGTAAATCACCAACAGTACCTTAGCTTAATCGGTAAGCACTGCTGCTGGGACGGTCTGCGAAGTCCAGGTTGGCGCCTTCGTACAGGTTCAGGGCATGTGGTCCACTCGGAGGATCAGGGCTTAGGGGCCGCCCTGTTCCTCCCTTATCTCTTTGCTTTTACATGGTGCCTGGCCCTCAGTCAAGTAGGAAAACTCAACCTGCTGAACCAATGATACAACATGACATACCTGACAGACCATGGTCTAAACTAGGTGCAGATGTGTTCCACTTAGGAGGAGTGAACTATCTGCTTGTAGTTGACTACTACTCCAAATTTCCAGAAGTACAGGCCTTGCAAGATCTCACAGCCCATTCGGTCATACATGAATTGAAAATTATATTTGCCCGCTCCGGTACACCAGATCTGTTGATTACTGATAATGCAAGCCAATTTGTATGCGAAGACTTCAGAACTTTCCAAAACATGTGGGAGTTCAGGCATGTCACGTCTAGCCCCAGGTACCCACAAAGCAACGGGCAAGCCGAGCGCTGTATTCAAACAGTGAAAACACTCATGAAAAAGGCTAAGGTGTCTGGCAGGGACCCTTATATGGCACTGCTGGAATATCGCAACACACCCCTCGATGGCACAGAGGGTTATGCACCAGCACAATTACTCAATAGTCGCTTGCTCAAAAGCCGACTTCCCACTTCATCGACTCTTCTTCAACCACAAGTAGTCCCACCCATGAAAGCCAAACTCAAAGAGAGACAGACTGTGCAAAAACACTACTATGACGCAAAATGTAGTAAGCCAAAGCGCACACTACACACTGGGGAACAAGTTAGATTCCAAAATCCGCACAGCCAATGGGTGTTAGGGAAGGTGACAGAAAAACATGATAACCCTAGAAGCTATATGGTTGCGACACCAACTGGACAGGTGTATAGAAGAAATAGGCGTCACATTGTTCACTCCAAAGAACATGCTGACATTGAAGGGAATTCATTGTCTCAGCCCAACCTAGTCTCTCCTAGCACACAGAATGAAAATATCCATCAGACTGCAGAACCTGAAGAACCAAGTGAGACAAAACAACATAGTGTAAAATATGATAGCGTGACTGTAGGTCAGACTACTACTACTAGAAGTGGCAGGGTAGTAAGACCAACTCAAAAACTTGACCTGTAAGCTGAAGTTGTACACCAAATTGCATGGACAGTAAATAACAGATTTGTGGCTTTTCAAGATGGTCTAAATTCATGTACAAACGCTTGTGCTTTTTTCAAATTTGCTTTATTTGCTTTATTCAAACACCTTCCATAGTTCTCTAATCCTCCCTTTTGTAAATCACATTTTGCAGTATTCCCTTATAAAGTTCAGTAACACTTTGCTCAAGCTTATTGTTTGTTTCCTACATGTACATGTAAGTTCCCAAAGTTCAACTTGTTTAATGTTTACTTAATTTGTATGGGGGAGATGTGATGTGTTTCTAAAACTGAACACCGCCCTCTGTTGGTTACATTAAAGTTGACCTTTCGGGGTTCACCAGCTTGTTCTGAAATGATCGTGTCTTGTGTGAAGTTACTCTAGTTTAACTAGACATTTGTGGCTGCTCGTCAGCGAATAACTTTACAGATGGACAGGGATGGAAGTGTGTATTGGCCGGGAACGCCGAGATCCCGGAAGAGCCCTAAGGGAGTGGCTGGGGCATTGTTATGGCTCAGTCCGATCCCTGAATGCTTGGCCAGCACATAACTTTTTGATTTTTTTTTTAGCCTCTATTTATTTTATTTTTTTAATTTGGTTTAGTTTGATATTTACATCTGCTCGGCAGGTCTCCGGTAGTATTAAAAACGAAACAAAGGTCAGTGTCATAAATGAATGAATATTTAATAATGGACTATAATCAATATTGAGTTTCGTTCGATCAATATGACTACTACTGATAGTGGAACACAAAAATGTACATTAAGGATTGAATTCTAAAATGCCATTCAATTGGGCTAAATACTATAAAATAGAATTAACTGTCATTGACATGCAGGCGTGCATTATTTATTTTATTTTTTTTTGGAGGGGCGTTCGAACCCCACAGCAAAGTAAAGCTAATCTATAGGAACTTAGGCTAGAGGTCGTAAAAGTAAGTCCTAAAATGTTCCCAATAAAAATCCCAAGGCTTGCGTCAAACGTTTCTACGCAGTACGGTGTTGAGACAAGGACCTCGTATTCAAAATTGGCATGAGCTCGCCGCGCGCAGGAATTTACCACTCGCGCAGCGCCGGAATCGGAAGTGCGCCCTCAATAGTTCAGGTACACGTGTGTTGACTGTGTGCGAATATATCTGATGTCGAGATCATTGCTAGCTACTTTGAGCATGGTGCTGAAGGTGAGGAAACGTTATTTTCGGCATAGGCCTAATTAATTGTTCAGAAGTGTAATTGATTTAATGTACCTAGCAGCAGTACCATGTGGTTTGTGTATTGGTGGCTGTTATTGTGCAAAGGTTAATGATGAGACTGCTCTTGTTGTGGATTTGGACTCGGCATTAATTAATAATTATGCGCCTAAAAAGTATTCCCCACTCCTAGGCTAGCTCCCCCCCCCCCCGACTGCCCCACCCAAGACGTGGGGATTGTCACTTTTGAAGTGACAAAATCCCCATCCCTTTGGCAAAATTTAAGTGACAATCCCCGAACATTCCCCCCGACATACATACGTGGGGCGCACTAGTAATTGCATAGTAATCGCACTAGTAGTAGTAGTAGTCCGAAAATTTGGGACTCTCAATACTAGTGTATGAGAGTCCCAAAACTTAAGGTATCCATATCGTGCAAAACTTTGTGCTGCATGATAAAACCAGTGTGAATCAAATTTGCAAGCTTCTTACTAACTACAGTTTCTTCAATAATTCCCGAAACTTCTGCCTAGCAAAGTTGCTGTTGTGAGCATTGCATCACCAAAAATTCAGCTTTTAATTCTAATTTTGCAGAGAGTTATCAAAATGCATACGTGAAACATCACGTTGATGTGTACTGCAATGCATTGTGCAAAAAGACTCCTCAGCTATAACATTTTCATCGTGTAGATAAAACAGCGCCCTCTTGTTGATCTGAGTGAATGCAAAATGTTTCATTTTTTAGCAGAGGGCGCTATGTTCATTTGGCCATTGATTAAAAAACAAGTAAGCTGCAAGGCTCTTCCTACACCTACCCAGAATACATTGGGAATCACACATATATTTCCAGAGCATGGAGAATGACGTGGGAGGTTTTTGAACTGCCAAAACCTTGCCTTAAAATTGGATTTAAGGTCTCAAATTTTGCAGGTGACATGCTTGCAACTATAGCATTTTGATGTATGTGTTGTGTGGGCATTAACTAGCCAAATGGTGAGTAAAAAAACGTCAGTAGTAATTTTGCACGTTTTTATGCACTCACGGTCCCAGTCTGTAGTAGTAGCAGCTCTACTGAGTGGAGCGTTGAACTACGGTTGGCCCTACCCTCCGTACAAACACTCCACCGATTTGGCATACTTTGGTGACATGACACGGTATGCATTTTGTGCATACCCTCGCGAGGGCAAAAGGCCCCCCCAAAAAAGGTAAAGAGAATACAAATGAGAAAGACAGTAACCTTGGATAGATCCACACATTCATGACATTCTATAAGACCCCTTAAATCCTTCCAAACAACCGGTAATTTCTGAAGTCTGAACTTACTGCTCACAATTAAATGTGTCTGCCGAGTTGTACAGTCCATTTCATGGACATGACTGATGCATAATTCATCGCGCGCATGTGTGACGTCACTATTGAAGAAAAACAAGTTGCGCTTAATCAATGACTGTTTCATGTAGTCATATGTGCCACATGTTGGCCCAGGCAGGATTCGAACCCGGGTCATAGCGGTAGGAGGCGAGGAAAGTACCGCTACGCCAATCTGACTCCCCTATGAGACTGGTCTGAAAATTTCTAAGTATTTTCTCAGTAAATACTACAATGTTGTCCCCGCTAATTTGGACTTTTTAGGACATATCACTTTCTGATGGCTGATTAAAAAATTAGTGATGGCCAGATATGGGAATCTTTCCGAATTTGCTACTCCAAGGTCCTCAGTATTTCACCGGCAAGGTTTGAGTTCTCAATTCAATTTTTAAAGGACCCTTTTGTTTAACATATTTTTGCACTTGAGGCCAAGCCAAAGGATGTTAATGTACCACAGTTTTAGTTATCATAAAAACATGCATTCTGAGCCATGTTGTTACTTGGGTCAATATTGGTCAAGTGACCCATTGGTTTGTTAAAAGTATACCAGGGGAAGTGGAAGGAAACTTCGATGTGACCTTTTAAACAACAGGAGGGTTAATGCCAAAATGACAATTTCAATATAGGCCTAGGCCTACTCTTTAATATATTTTTTTACAAGTAGGTGTTTCATAGTTGGGCAGTTTGACATGACGTCCTGCAAATTAATTTTAAAGGGAAAATACAACATTTGCAAACATCAAAAAATAAAACTACCAAATCATTTTGAAATACCTTGCTGGACTGTTAGTGAATGACAGTGTAAAGCATCCTGTAAAATCATGGCACCTGGTATACTGTCATTTTCAAGAAAAGTGGCATTTTTTTATCAATTTCCAACGCTGATCGGCCGATCAGCGTTGGAAAAAACCAATTGACCATCGCACTTGTTTGCAATCGATTACAAACCTATGAACGGGTACGAGCCAGCTAGACTGGTTCCCTGACCTTACAATTCCCCAATGTATGTAAACTGCTCTGTTTCTTCTTATATGGAGTCAGGGAACCAGACTACAGGAGAATGATTGTTTTTCTTGGTTTTTATAGCATTTTCGAACCCAAAACCTCAAAAAAGGCAGTGTAACTATATTTGCTGTATATTTCCAACCCCCAATTCCATCCATTTCTGAAAATTACAGTAAAAGCAAATGATGTATATTCCCTTTAAAGGTAACTTTATTGGACAAATTGATTTGATTCGTATTCCACAGAATTACAGCTCTCTTTCTCGATGAACTTGACTCTTGCCCGTCTTTTAAGAGCACCTAGTCAACCATTGGCTTCTAGTATTGATACATTACGGGGCCATTGTAGTGGGCCATTCTGTCCGTCCAAGGCATCACCGATGTCTGCGATTCTGTCGAGAGTCAACCCGACCACCGGTACTAGCGAGTGGGTGGTGGAGGACTCGACGTACGACTATCATCAGGAGATTGCGCGGTCGGCGTACACTGATATGCTGCACGATGATGAGAGAGTATGTCAGTGGAAGGACAGATTTTGTCACAAAGTTTGGAATTCCTAATTCACTTGGGAAAGAATGTTGCAACCTGATGCTGCTTTTTTCTTCATATATAATCTCAATGAAGGTCCGTCAATGCAAAAATGATAATGAGACATGAATCTGAGACTGAGAAACATTTCCAATTGTCTTGACTCTCCATTGTCTTGACTCTCCATACACTTTGTACACAACTACTGAAGTAGCGTCAGGTTGCAACATTCTCTCCTTAACCTATTTAAACTTGTTGGAAGAGTCTCAAATTCAAATGGGCCCAAGCAGTAGCATTTATTTGTTTTTATTTTAAAGTTCCCAAATTTATCAATATCTTTGTTCAAGGGGCACTAGTCAGCTAGAAGCTGTAAACCCGTGTGCATGCCATGTATGATGTAGCCAGGGATCACACCCAAAGTCATGATGCTTGCGATATTAGCAACGCTGCTTTGGGTACATATCTATACTTGTGTTAATTGTTAAGCATTTATAAGTAGCTTTAAAAAAAGTGCGCTTTACAACTATTTAACATTCAACTGTTTTATTTAAGTGTTTAGGTTTTTTTTAAATGACTTTTGCAGAATAAGAAGTACTATGAAGGTATCAGACGTGCCATCAAGCTCATGCATGCCAGGGGAAAGAAGGCCAATGTTCTTGACATCGGCACCGGAACCGGCCTACTGTCGATGATGGCGGCAGAGAGTGGCGCGGACACTGTTTATGCTTGCGAGGTATGGACGGTCTCGTGAAGAATAATGTGGCAATAGTTCACAATTTGAGCGAAAAAGGGCATTATTTTAGTGACAGCAAATCCCGGAGTGGATTGGGTTATATCCCCCTCCCCCCCGACTTTTTGACCTGGGGAGGGGGGTGGAGGTGGGGAGGGGCCATTGGTACACCCCCCCCCCCTTTCTGTAGCAATTAAGCACATTTGTTTTAGCCAATTATCAAAATATGTCAATGTCAAAATATGAACAAGTAAAAAAAAAGGTGCCAGATCTGTCTTTATGAACAGCATCGACTAGTGTCATATGGTGTCTGCACAACCCCCCCCCCCCCCAACATACTTTTTGAATGTGCAACGTCAGGGAAGTTTCAGGATTTTGGGGGCATCATCACCCCCCCCCCCCCCCCCAGTTGTTAACACAGACTCAGGCTACTGAGCGACACCATTTTGTGGATGTTGTGGGTTTCAAAAAGTAGTGCAATTGAGCAACTTTTTTCAACCAATTCAGTTTGCCAAATATGTAATTTTCAAATCATAGCGAAATACAACTTTATGTATGTTTACAACTATTCAACCTTAGATTTTGTGTTTCAACCCCAAACTCATATTCTTACAGCATGTTAGAAAAGTATGGCCCACAGACAGTTTTATTGCATTCTGCTTAAAACATTCTGCTTTGTTGGTTATTAATTGTTTTTCTAGGCATTTGAACCTATTGCAAAAGTCGCCAAGAATATCATCGCCAAGAACGGTTTTGCGGAAAGAATCAACATAATAGCCAAAAGGTCAACGGAGGTCACTGTTGGACTAGGTAAAACTTCAGTTGTGGGATATCTTAATTAACCAGTTAACGCTGGAGGACAGTGTATATTTACAGGGGCGGATGACGGGTTAAGCCATCAAGATTTGCATAAGACTCCGACTGTGAACATGTACACACGACATTGGTTTTGTACTCACCGTATTTTGAACTTGACCTTGGCCGCTGTACACGGCCTGTTGTCATAGCAAATATCACTCCATGGCAGGGCTTCGGAGTGTTGCAAAATAGGAAGTAACGGTGAGAAGTATCATACAAATATTGTACAAATGACTCTCAAGAGTCAGTTTTTTGTGATGTCTGACTTGATTATAAAGATTAGCCGATACATTTTTGTCTTTTTCAAAAATGGTATAGGATTTAAGAAGGTAGAATCCAGCCATTTTTACTTGTCATGGGCCCAAGAAAATGCATATAATGTGCCAGTGGTTTATTGCAAAGTGGCAGATTCTGTCACCACAAAATAAGCACGAAATTTGATATTTTTTTTTGAGAATTGAGATCTTTATATTTCTGGATTCTGCAGAACAAGAGCTGTCTATTGGTATATAACACTTGAGGGTACTGAGTTCAGCAACGAAAATACAGACCGCCAACTAAAACGAACTTGTGAAACTATTTTTTTCGAGCAAATGGCACGTAAACGTAAAACTCCGCTGTGCAATGAATAAACAGTCAACTAATTAAACAGGATGAAAATAGGTACTTCAAACTACAGTGGAACGTCGTTATACTGAACACCGCTATACCGAGCATTCGGCTATACCGAACATCATCCTTGGCTCTTGATTTTTGTGAACAAAATTGACAAATATTGCTGTTGAAAAACGTCAACAAAAAAGCGAAAAGTGGCTGTTATTTCCCCAAGGAATAGAAGGGAAAGCCACTTATTGCTGTAGATACCGGTAGTAAGCTCACACTCTGTGTATTTACATTATTCAATAGTCGGTATGACTCATGTTCAAAGTCATCTCTCAGTAACTAGAAGTACCAGGGCGTGCAGGGTGAAATTCTGAAGGGCGCTATTTTTAAAAAAATTAGTACCAGAGCACCGGCAGCTTAAATATCGCTATACCGAACAATTGCTATTACGAACAACTTCTGTGGATTCCGCGATGTTCGTTATAGCGGCGTTCCACTGTAGCTTTTTTATTGGACTTTTTTATGCACATTTTGTGGTGACAGACAGGTCACATATGGCATGACATGAATTTTATCTTGCTCTTTCCAGAAGGTGACATGCCACACAAGGGCAACATTCTGCCAGCTGAGGTGTTTGATACCGAGCTCATAGGTGAAGGGGCTGTGCCGACGTACCTCCATGCTCACCGACATTTACTCGAGGTAGGTTATACTCTCCCCCTCACCCCTGCCTTCCCCCCCCCTCCCCCCCCCCCAAAAAAAGACTAGACAAGTCTTGCAAAGCTGGTCCCTTACTAATTTGGTCTGTAGGACATAGCTTGTCAAACGTCTGGGCTAAGGCGAGGCTTAAAGGGTCCATGCGATGACATTTTTCTTAGGAACACATTTTATGCAACCTCCTACTCCGTAAGTGTAACAAACATATTTAAAAGTGCTCTTTTTTAAAACATTTAAAACTGTCCATGCTTTTTTTTGACAACTGAGGGCGCTGTTGCTATGATGTCATTTCGAGAAGACACTGTTTAGATTAGGGGTTTTCTGTTCAAATTGTGAAACCGAAATTTGCTCATTGAAAACATCTGTGAGAAAGGGCTGCTCATAGTACTTCTAGTAATTACACAACAATCACAAAGAAAAGACTTCTAGCAACTTTTTGTGCTGAAATACCTGAAACATTGAGGTTTGTTCCTGGAATGACATCACAATTTTGCTCATGAATATGAAAATTGGCATTAGGAGAAAAAACAAAAAGGCACCAAAATACTCTTAAAAATGGCAAGGCGAAAAATAAAAAAAATTAAGTTAAACTGGATTTAAAGGTGCATTTTCAAGGATAGCGTTAAAAATATTATATTGCATGGGTCCTGTAAGCAAAGCTGCTACAAAGAGGACAATAGTGGCCCTGTGGGGACCAGCCAAAGTGAAATTCCCCCAGGAAAAGTATTTGTGTTTATACAAAGTTTCTGTTTTCCAAGTGATTTCCAAAGTTGGAGATCTTGCTTGAAAAGAGGGTGGACATTGTTGAGTCGTTTCAAATTTGAGATATTCAGTTTAAATGAAGACAGTGTGAATGTCTTTATCATATTTACATCTTGTATTGTTTTGAATGGTTAAACTGCCAATGTATTGCAGACAAAGTTTTTGTTAATACTGCAGTTGATATAAGGCATTTTTTATTCACTTTGATTTTAATGACCTAAAAGGGCTTCATGCTGTTTAATTTTCCAGAAAGACTCCATCTGTATTCCCCATTCAGCCACGGTCTGGGCACAAGTCATTCAGTCAGGTCTCGTCTGGAACTGGCACAAACTCCAGCCAATCCAAATCGCCGGTCGCGACGACGTCATCAGGCCTCTGGCCAAGATGGCCGCCTGCTCGGGCGCGGCCTCAGTCCACGACGTGCAGCTCAGCCAGGTGTCGCCCGACCAGTTCCGGCCGATCACGGCTCCCTTGGACATGATCGAATTCAACTTCAGCACTGGGGACTTTGCCGAGCGTCGAGCCGCGACTGTTGAAACTGCGGCGGAGTCGGACGGGATGTGCCACGGTGTCTTCATGTGGTGGGACTTGAGCATGGACACGGAGGGGGAGATTCGACTTAGCACCGCACCCACGTGGGCCCATCCCGAGGGTTTGGACGCTCAGTGGAGGGACCACTGGATGCAGGCCGTCTACTTCTTGGACCAACCCCTGCAGGTGCGCAAAGGTGTGTGTGTGTGTTTAGAACTCTCTCTATGTGTTTAGAATTTGCACACAAAAACCCGCGCCATGGAACAAGGATGATCCTAACTGTTGAATAGTAAATCCCATTCCCCATGGGCGAATGGGACTTTTCTAGCCCCCGCGTGAATAGGAGCAATAATGAATGTCACGTGATGTGAGTTCTACCAATCAAATGACAAGGATCTGCATGTCAGTTATATAATGTACCTTGTTGCACTTTTATCAATCCAAATAGAGCATGAATAATCCAGTTTGAAGCTTCTGAAATGATTGTCGTTGTATGTGTACTAGTAGATTTGCCATTGTTGAGCAAACCCATTCTTGTACGAGTATAAAAGGTACAGTTGACGCAGATCAATGTTGTAGATTTATAGGATTCAAGATTTTGTGCCTACTAAAAAAAATGTTCACGTTCTGATTGTAGGAGAGCCGCTTCATGTCACTCTGTCCCACGATGACTACAGCCTGTGGTTCAATGTGAGCCAGTCACCAAAACCCAACGTGGAGCCAGAGAGGCCGGTTTGTCACTGCGGTGCGCATGTCGCCTGGAGTCGGCCTCGGATAGGCATGCTGAACGATGCAGCACGGACGGAAACCTTCACTCAGGCTCTAAGAAAGGTTTGATAACTTGTCTTCCCATTATAGAAAAATCACTTCACCTAACGGAAGAACAATGATGCGATGACATTACCCATTGCTATATGAGATTCGAACTGGCCAGCAGGCTCCAGCAAGCTCATTGGTCAAGTGTTTAAGGCTAGCATGCAACTTTTCCTTGGGTCAGGTCCCAGTTCCATGGCAGGAACTTTCATTTGGAGATTCAGACCAAAATAGGGCCACTTCATCACATCACTTCATCACATCTCTTGGTGTTCCTACTTCCATAATTTCTGAACTAAAGATGGCACCAGCATGCGATTTTCACAGCAGTAATGCTGAGATTTAAATCTGTAAAAAAAACACCAATTGACCAGTGTCGACAAACGACTCACTTAACTTGATCGCATCACATTTATAGGTAGCAACTGATGAGACGTAATATTCCTCATCCCTGTTATCTCTCAACAGGTTGTGAACGACAAGACGTTGTGTGTCAGTGTAAGCGATGGATCGATGCTGCCTCTCATCGCAGCTAGGCTGGGAGCCAAACAGGTAAGGGCAGATGTTTCTGCAGTGTGTGGTCGGGAAATGTAACTGACTAACTGTAATGTATAAAGCCGCATCTGAATAACTTGGCTAAGGCTAGCATTAACACATTGTCTATAGGAAGTGGCTTCAGCTGCTTCCAAAGACCCGTGTGTAATTGCAAGCGGTAGCAAAGTAATTTGGACTTAGCCCTAATTGTGGTTGACATTATACCCAGTTTAAGTGAAGCATATGAGCCTTCTTGTGAAGGGTGGCAAACGTCTTAATCTTATCTACCTTGCCGTTGTAGTGGTTAGTTAACTTAAAGGTAAGTCCATAATTTGTAATTTGGCATTATGTTCGTTTGAAACAACAAAAGTGCTCAAATTCTAAAGAAGGGTGCTGAACAACTAACCTGATGAAGTTTCAGCTCAGTGAATGCTGTATATTCCGAGAAAACAATATCTAGGATCTCGATTTGAAATCAAAAGTTGCTGAGTCTTGTTTTGAATTGGGCCTGAATTCAGCGTCCGAGACACGTCCTCACTGAGCCGATTGCAGCTATGCGATGTCGCGCACTAAACCGACGAATTATAGCAACCGCGCGTGTGTGCATCTTGTCAACGCTTGTGCGCATTTCGCCGAATTAAAAACGAACTACTAACGGAAATTTCCAAGAATGCGTCTTTAGACGCATCGTCGGAAAGGCCTTCCTTCATTGATTTCTTCAATATGACAGCTTGCCAGAAAGAGTAATTTCACAGGGACTTTAGTCTCATTACTATCTTTAAACCAAGTATGCTTTTCCACAATAATTACGTCACTTACTTTTTGGATAGCTGCAAATGATGGACCCTACCTTTAATTGGCTTACCAAATGCCAAACTTTGTTCTAGCTGGGATTCCAATCAGTTTGACTTCACTAATATAGGCAGAATCTTGAATTTTGGAGCTTGATTGATGTAAAATGTCGCTAGGTATGTATATTGGTTCTCCAGATTATTTTTCCTGATTTTTCTCTCTCTCTGTCTTCTCTTTTTTTATCAAGGTGTACAGTCTTGAGCCAAACTTCATGACTCACCGAGTGATGCAAGACATAATTAAGGGCAACAATCTCACTGAGGAAGTAATCCTGTCTGATGAGAGCGCACTCAATCTACCCCAGGATTTCTTCAAGGGTCAGAAAGTATGTGTTGCATTCAGTTACTGAGTTTTTATGAAAAAAATGTAACAATTAAAATTAGGTTTTAAGTTTCTGGCTTAAAAATTCATCAGCCAGTAGTAAGTTCAGTTGAAGACATTGGTCGTCTACTCGTGGTTGATTTGTGACCTTACTTTCGCATGCACTGACAAAAACGTGCGTACCTCCCTAGGCAAAGATTATTAAAACATCATCATGAAACTTCTTGGTCCTGACTCCCTGCAGTTCATTATGATGTGCACGGCTATATTGTAACCAGCCATGCGACAGACTTGGGAGACTGGTCCCGAATATGTACAACATAATTGTCTGTACCGTCGTTGACTAACATGAGTTCGTGCGAAGATAGGTGTGTTTTAACCATAGTTTTCTCTCAAACTGTCTCAAGACTGCGGAAGAATCTCGTTTTGTTTTGGGGCTATAACAGGTAACTCAGTAAACTTTTTGAAGAGTCCGTAAAAGTTTGGGGCATTTTTGCTGGAACAAGCCCTTTCTAGCTTGGCGTTCATCCTCTTGAAAAGAAACTTGAGAAGTCCTGCATAATTTACACTCAATTCAAATAAGCTTTTTGAAAATAAATTTATTTTTTGGATAAATGCAAATGATCGGTCTTGACGTCACTTGCTTGTAGTTGAATCTCATTTCTTCACATCCAGATCGACGTTCTGATGGGCGAGCCCTTCTTCCTAACCAGCATTCTCCCCTGGCACAACCTGCACTTCTGGTACGCCCGAACGGCCCTTTCCCCTCACATGGCAGAGGGAGCCCTCGTGCTACCAAGCAGGGCCAGGTTGAGGGGCGTCGCCGCAGAATTTGACCATCTGTGGAAGTTCCATGCCCCCGTGGGCAACATTGAGGGATTCGATGTGCGGACCTTTGATGGACTTGTACAGGTAAGAACAAAATTAGTTTCAGGTGTAAAATAAAGGTGAATCTTTTTTTTCTCACATGAGGGCTGTGAAATCACAGTGCATGTGGATTATGTCAGTCAAGGGTTAAAATATCACACATCTCACCCCGTTTTATTCCACACAGAGTTCCTCGGCCATCAGTGACGCACCCACAGAGCCCCACCATCTATGGGAGTACCCAGGCCAAGCCCTGAGCCAAGACTTCAACCTGATGGAGTTTGATTTCTGTCAGCCTGTACCGACCGATACGCAGACGCAGAGCGGGACTGCCGAAATCCTTGGGTGAGTTCTCAATGGAAAATATCATTTCACTTTACCATTGTTACTCTACACTTTACCATTGTGAGCCTAATTGTTCAATTCTTTAGAATTGTGTACTAAAAATGAGAAGAGAATGATCATGAATACCAAGTATGTTTGTAATTATGCTAAATCAACAAATCAACGAATATGTATTATGATACATCAACATGTATCGATATATAACGTTTTTGGTACTAAAACCAGTTGGATGAAATCAACAAGGCAAAATCAATTTTGAGTTTTGATGCAATTTTTTGGGCAAAGTAACATGGTCAGTTAATAATATTTCACCTTCTGATTTCGCATTACATTTACAATGTCTGCAGATGCCAACAGAAGTTATTCAACCCCAAAACACACCCCCCCCCAAAAAAAAGGTTTAGTTTTAGGGGTGGGGTGGAAAATCCCCAACAAATATTGCAGGGAACGCACATCAGAAAACTCTATCCTCATGTTGGTCAGGTTGGGAGTCAAACTTGTGTTGCCGAGGTTGAAGGCAGTAACTTGACTCTCCGAATCTTGGGAGTACTATTTTTCCCAGTCATACAATAATTAGTGCATCTTGTCAGGGGAATAGCCACTTTTACTTCCCTGATGCAATGGAACATGAGGGAAGCCCATTTGGCCCATAAATATGCATGAGGTATGATAATGAAATATTTCATTCATTTTTGGTTTTTCCAGGCAAGGTACTTGCCACGGCGTTGCCCTCTGGATGGAGTATCAGCTAGACCAAGATACCTGGGTCTCCACTGGACTCCAGCGCCCCGTCCCCCCTACCCCCATCCGAGACCTAGCCTGGGACAGGCACTCCAAGCAAGGGGTGTACTTCATCAAGACTAACCCCAGGGTGGCGCCTGGATCACGGATGCAATTTGACGTCTCATTCAACCCGTCCCACGGGAGCGTCCATTTCAAATTTGAGGTCGTATGACAGGAGTTGGTTTTTTTTTAGTGTGACCATTCAGGATTAGGCCATAAGTCCCGCCCACCTTTGGTTTGGGTACATTTCTCACTGTGCTTGTGACTAGGTTTGACTGAGGTACTATTGTCACCTGACCAAACGTTGTGATCCGATTGGTCATTGTGGATTGTTTGACTGGCAGGCAGCGAGTGTCCATTGTTCCAGATTGGGACATAGGCCCCGCCCACCTTTGGTTTGGTACATTTTTCACAGTGCTTGTTACCAAGTTTGACTGGGCTACTGTGGTCACCTGACCAAACATCGTGATCGAATTGGTCAGCGGGCACTGTTTGATTGACTAGTAGGAAGGGGGTCTATTAGGCCTATGAAACGAGACACTAGTCCAAGAACCCAGGCTTTCGAGTATCGGGAGGAATGTATTTGGATAATGACATTTAACATTCCTTTGAATTCAATTTGGAGTTGACAGTTTGTGCATTTATAACTCAATTTCAGCCAAAGGGTACACACCCAAACTGCTCATCACAGCGTACTGATGGATGCAAAAATACACTTTTTATGAAAGCACTGGGGAGTGTGGCCTGGTGGTTAGAGTTAGTGACTCATGATCAGAGGGTCAGGGGTTCGAATCCAGCTGCTGGTCATATGTTGTGTCCTTGTGCAAGCCACTTCACCCCCACTTGCCTCTCTCCACCCAGGAGTATAAACGGCATTAGCTGGGAGTAACCTGCGATGGACTAGCATCCCATCCAGGGGGAGTAGAAATATTCTCAGTGATTTCATGCTACTGAAACGGGAGATAAACGCCGGCCTGATGGGCCACATAGGCTCCAGACAGACTTTACTACTTTTACAATGAAAGCACTAGTATATTAAAGCAACTTTGAATATTGTCAGTTTGTGAGACATACCATAATTGTTTATTTGGTTCTACAAAGAGGCACTTTTATTGACTCTGAAAGACTTCATTTTATTAATGAACTGAAAAAGAAAATTGAAAACCATTCAATTTCTTTTAACATGCATTCTCCAAAACAATTTTGACATTAACAATGACAAGAAATACTGTATTTCCATACTTAAATTAAAATATTTTATCGACACTGAGATTAAAGGAAAGCATAAATTAGAGCATTTTTATCTATCATTTTGATTTGTAAACTGTTACAATGATGAATCATGATAGTGGCTTGAATTATAAATAAAATTGTAGTTTTTTTTTTTACATTTTTTTGTTGCATGATCAATAATGCCAGCACATTATACTAACAAATATTATGTTGTATTTTGTTTTTCGAGTTTGTTAATTCTTTTAAGTTGCATATTGTTTTTGAACATCCTTTAGGATAAAAAATAAAAGGAACTTTCAGCCATTCCCCAAACTACATGCAAAAAATTTTATAAACTATTCTCATTCATCTTTTTATTGTACCAGTATATATTCCCATGAAATACCAGCATGTTTTTATCACTTGCTTCCCTTTGACTGTTACACATTTCCAGAACCGCTGTTATGCATACCAGCATAAGTTCGTGCATTAAATTCAGAAAAGTCTAGAAAATACCCCACATTTAAATAGAAATAAACCTTTCTGTTGCATGATTGAAATTTGGAATAGACCCCTTACATTGACATCTTATCTGCAAGGGGGTATATTCAAGTAAATACATTTGCATAGTAAAATTTCATGTTTACATTTCAAAACACTTTTGTGATCCATCCGGTTCGTTAGTAAAAACGTCATACATGCGCGCGCACCACTGATTACTAGCGCCCATTGGATAAGCTCTCAAGTTGCGATAGCTTCTGGTTCCAATGGTTCCAATGCTACCTAATGGCCAGTGGGCGTGGTTTAAAATGAACTGACGTCACACTAACGAACCGGATAACCAACTGACAGACTAACTAACTTCGTAAGATCCGTTCATCTACACCTGAGTATTTCAATCTATTTCAGGAAACTTAGAGGAAGCATTTCACTTTGGCAAATTCTTTGGCTGTCCGTCCTGGTCCAACAAGTGTTGGGATTGGTCCTCCACGGTCTCCGGTCCCGGCCCAACCTGGGTGTGGATGATATACCGTAGGCTGTTGGGCAAGGGGTCAAAGGTCACCGCGGCCTTCAGCTCCTGTTCAAAGAAACGAAAGAAAAACTCAACTGAACCCATTGGCACTTGTATTACATTACGTTACTCTGTATCCACAAACAGCTGGGATAATTTGGCCATTTCCATTAGTAAAGCCAATCACATGGTGGTGTAAAACAACCTTTTTAAACACCGCTGATAGGTGCTTAAAACTGGCCAGTAATAAAAGTGGACCCTGAGTAAGGACTTTTTTTCTATTTTCATCTTTGTATTTCATTTTTAACCAAAGGGTTTAATTTATTCGCTAAAGTCGGTACTTTTTCACGTTTGTGAAATTTGGGGTACGATACTGCAATTTATAGACTTTTTATATGTAGAATCATCTTCTAACAAGACCGAGGCTGAAAAGTTGCAGTCAACTGTGCAACTATGTTGGCATAGTCTTGGTGTTGGCATTCTCTTGATGGCATAATTAACTAATTAGCACTTGATTACATTATATTGCATTGTATTTATACCCCGATGAATCAGTTCCTGGGCAATTTTGGGCAATGCAGAAAGTAACAGGCAGGGCAGCTAGGACTTTGACGTGGAACAGGGACCAAAGTTCCATGTCAACACTAGGACGTGTGGAAGGTTGCCCAGTTAACCCCTTAAGCACGGGTTATAATGGGGACATTCCTCCACACATAGAGCAAGTGGCCCGCATGACTGCACAGCCTTTGTGTGGTAGCGGGACTGCACAAAAGCAGCAGCTGTGGAACTACCCACTAGCCATGTGCCATGGCATACCACAGCTGGCAACTGCATTCCAATGAGGATTAGCGGCCGCGGCCATGACCGCTTCCCGAGCGCATGGGGTTAAGGATACAATAACTGAGGCAATCCCTGCTGATTTGTTTGTTTTGTTTGAATATTTACCTGGCTTGGTGTCTTGATATCTACTGGCAGTCCTCGGATGAATGATGCTCCGTTGGTCTCCTCTCCTTGAGGAAAGAAGTGAGTGATGAGAGACAGAAGCTCTTCAACATCATCCTCTAAGGTGAAGAGAACGGCATTGGGGCCAGCATCAAAGGTGTACGCTGCCTGGCAAGAGGAATAATAATAAAAAAACAATGCTAATACACAAGTCTCCAATAGTAGAGCTGAAATATGAAGAAGGCAAAGACAAGTGCTTGAGAAGTCTAATTGTCTTGTAGTTGAGTATCAATTGTTTTAAACTGGCGTTCCAGAGTGGAGGTGATTCCTTTCAACATTTGAATTAATTTCGTGAAAAATTCAACACTTGAAACTTTTAGGAGCTACTAAATCAAAAGGTCGACTGTTTCAGTCATTCGGAAACGACTCAAAGAGCAAACCAATGGAATATCAACACTAAGGTCTAATGCTTTGCAAATAAGACCTGTTTACAGGCATCCTTGATTCTGTGTAAAATAAAGACAGAGTGGGTAAATACAAAAGTCTCTTTAAAATTTAATTTCTGTTGAAAGTTTTGGAATATGTGTAAACGGGTTTAATTTTTTTTTTTCACTGAAATGGTCAAACATCACATTTTTTTACTTTGGTTTGATTGTAGAATGCGTTGTAGGCATGCACCAGCCTGACGATGGTTCTGGAGGTATCGTTCATGTAGGAGATGGGTGGATGGGTGTCCAGACACACTGCGTGAAACTGGTTGCTGTCCTAGAGTAAAAAGGCAAATAAGTTGTACTTCAAACTGAAACCTGAAAGTTAGAACGTCTGAGTAATTATTTCACGCCACATTTAAGGCATCTCCTTTTAAAAATTGTGTAGAGTTCTATACATTAGGGCATGGTTTAATCTGCTTTCCACACAGAATAATTTATGATACAAATGTAAGACCTTGGTTTTATACTGAGGGACGATAAGACGGGGTAGAAATGGCTTTTCAAAACTATTTTCCTGATAAAAAAATCACCACACTTTTTAGCCCATTTCGTATTTTTTTTTCTAATCTGTCGATAACTCACCATCATTGTAAAAAAAATTGTTTAACTACCAAGAAAATCTTTCGTACCTTCATTGTCAATTCTGCAAATGTTTCAAAATTCCTCTCCTTGATTGCAGTTGCCATAGCGACCATTCTCTCCGGTACGATGACGTCGGCTCGATACTTGAGTAGCGGGCTCGTCTGAACAGTGGCCTGCATGCCCGTGGTGCTGCTGGTAGCTTTCTTCTGGTCGCTCACCTAAGAGGAAACATCCACAATAACCAAAATCGGAAATCATCTTTTCAACCTACATTCAAATTGTAGCCAGTCTACTGAGGCAAAGCCGAGGGTGCCGTGTGTCTGCAAGGGTGTAAAAACCACACATGTGCCACAACCCCCAGTCAATAATATTCAGTGTTGTAAGGTACTTGTGTCGATACATCACAAGTCAATTCACAAGTAGTCACAAGTTGTAGAAGATTGACAATAACAAAGGAATGCGTTTGTCACAGGTTATTTGAATCGCTTGTGAGTTGACTTGTGATGACTTGGGATGACTTGTGATTGACTTGTGATGACCTGTGGTTGACTTGTGATGACCTGTGATTGACTTGTGATGGTCTTGTGATAGACTTGTGATGGACTTGCGATGAACTTCTGATGGACTTCTGATGGACTTGTGACCTATCACAAGTACCCTTACAATTGTTTTGTTGCATCATGCTAATGAGCCACGCCCATTACCCTTGAGCAAGCTCCTTTGCCACAATTGCCCCTCTCCACCCAGGAGTTTCAAATCAAATCAAATCACATTTATTTCCTCTTCATGACAGAAATGAAAAAGTAATATAAGTACTTAAACATATAAAGGCCACTAGAGGTGGCAAAACCTTAAAAGCATAGCTTGTATCAGTTTAATTTTAGTTTAGTTTAAATGGGCACCTGCAAGGGTAGATTTGCACTGATGTTTGAACTGCTGCATTAGATCTGATTTTACAACCTGATGATCAGGGGTAAGAACTGGGAGGCACTTTAAGAGATTTTTTCACAAAAGCTCTAACTATTTAATTTCCACTAGCAGTGGGAAAGAAGGTATTTCATTGTGGCACTCACCACCAATATGAGTATGCGGATCTTGGGCCAGTAGTCTTCTGAAACAACTTGCTTTGCGATGCTGTCCTCTCCATCTTTCTTCCTTCCCATCAGCCACTGCACAAAGCCGCCGTACATGCTGCGACACGCGCTGCCCGAGCCCTGCCTGGCTATGTCTGAGATATTGCCTTCTACACCGTAGACTTTTGCAAGAGATGCAACTGTGGGGAAAATTACCCCCACCAAAAAAAAAAGTGTTGGAAATTTTAAAAATTTTAATGGTTTCACCATCTGTTTTGAAATCAATGATGTTCAATAAGCTGATAATAAGTTCCCAACTTTAATTAACATATCTACTAATTTGTTTTTTTGATTAACTTTTTTTTATAATTTATTTCAAAAATACCTCACCCAGACAAGCATAGCCAGCAGCAGATGAGGCAAGTCCGGCTGCCGTTGGGAAGTTATTCTCAGAGCAGATGTGCACGTGCCAATCGAGCATCTCCTCGGGGGCGGAGCCTCCGCCCCCAACTGGCAAACCGGCATCCTTGGATGGGGAACTCTTCCGCTTACGCGCTCTTTGACGAACTTTAAAAATACGAATAAAACAGAGCAAATTGAGCTGACGCAAGTAATGCATTTTTCTTCAAATTTTTTTGATAGCTCAGTGTAAGTTGCAGTGCCCAAGTTGAGCTGAACAAAATACATGTACACAGCTTCCATGGAGCCCGCCCCCCCCCCCCCCCCCCCCCCCAACTGAGGACAAGTTTTATTTAAATTCAGAGACAATGAAAGTACAAAGTGTCTACTCATGCATATCACAGATGAAAAAAGACCTTGGGATTTTTCCCAAGATCTTGGGAATTTACGTTAGGCCTTGGGAATGTTTCAATGAAGCCTTGGGAATTTTTTTGGCGTATTGTGAACACACGAAAGTATGGATTGCACATGTGCAAAATGTAAACTAAAGCACTTTGTGAGCCCCATTCACATAAAAATAGGGTATGTGCTGCTATTTTAATACATAATCCTGATATCTTGTGAAATCATGGATTTTTTTCAGAGGTCATCTTGGGATTTTTGAAATTTGATGACTGGCCATACTGGTCCAGAGTGTGAGGATGCTCTCTACATGTGTATATATATTCAAATACTTCCAGACATGTTGAGAAAGATGAAAACAATGGTGCATATACTTACTTTCTCGAAGGCATTTCTGCAAGCGTGGATTGTCTAATGACTGCTCCCTGGAAATAAAATTTAAATAAAATCAAAGACGGCTTTACTTTCTAATACAATAAGATGAACTCAATTTGAAAATAACTAGTTTGGGTTTTGAGAAGTCAGTGAAATCCAAAACCTTCATTTCTTTTATGGTTATTTAATAAGCTGTCTCCAAATTGTAATGAGCCCTCCTATGCAAACAGACATTCTTTGAAAAGTTGTCCTTTCAGTCAAAATCAATAAAGCGACTGCTTTCAACAGTTAAGAGCTCCCATACACCCTACGTACGGCAGGATTGACTGGCTGTGACTGTTTATGTAACTTTATACAGCTGTGCTTTGACTGTAGGTAATTGATAAGCCAGCTGTGACTACTTCTTGCCTGCTTATGTCTGTTGACTGAATCTGACTTGTCACAGTGCTTGCTTCAAATATGATCCGACTGTTGGTGACTAGCCTGTATAAAAGGCATGGCAGGGAAGAGGATTCATTTTTTTGACTGTCTGTAACTGTTCAAATAGCAGGAGGGTGAATGCACAACTGACGACAAGTGCTACTTCTTGCACTTCCAACTGTACTTCTCTCAATTCTAATGACACAATTTTTTGGTTGTAATTTTGAACAGTTTCATGGGGTAGAATTTGCGATTTTCGTACGCAGTTACGGTTGGTGCCGTGCGATTCAGCGCGTTATTGCGCATTCACGGTACATTGCGGTGATCACATTCTTTTTTTCGTGTTGCATTTTGTCGTCGCCATCGTCATTTACCCCCAAATTTCCCTAAAAAATTCAAAACTCTGCCCTCTATCTACCGTACGACATACCTGTTTGTTCTTAATGTTACCAACTAGTTTGGTAAGTCAAATAAATTAAAAATGGATTTGGTTCTCTTATACTAATAGGAACGGGGCCCTACACTACATGATCACCATTACTGTTGTCATTTTCAAGACTTTTTGACAATTTAGCAGAGCGTTGTTGACTATTTACTTTCCGTTGAGCCATATCCTATCAGCCTGGAATGCACTGCTTGCAGCCACAGTGGTCTTGGTGCAGAGCTGGTCAAGATGAAGCGTTGCACTCAGAGAAGAGTTGACGGGAAGAATCAGCTTTTCATTTCTCTTTCCCCCTACAATAAATGGACAAATAAAAAAACGAAGAACAATGAAAGAAATCAAACACATCAAGTAGAAAAGGACTAGTTGAAAAAAATATTATTATTGATCACAAATACCATATAATATTGAAGTCACTATCCATGTTTTGTGGATGATGATCCTCAAAATTCCCCAGTCCAAGTCTTCAAATCGAAAGCTTTGCCTCACTATAACCTTCAACCCTACACAACATGTACTATATTTTTTTGAATTCTTGAATGAGTTTAAGAGAATATCAATTTACCCACATTTACATTTCCATACATTAATATTAATAATAAAAAATACCTCAGAAGTCATAACTAAAATACAAACTTGAATCATAACCCTAACAGTGCTAAATCCTCAAAACGTTTATTAACAGCAATGGAGAAATGGGAAAGGGGGAGGGACACCAACAACAAAAATAAAAACAAATCACAATAATAAAATACAAAGCTTAAAAAGAATAATAAATGTGAAATGACAACAATAAAAAAATCAAATTCAAATATCAATTAAAATAAAAGTTTGAATCAAGTGATTTGTAAATCATCATCCTTGAGTATATGCATCCATGTAGGAAAGAATCAGACCAGCAGAAACGGGACATCAGCAGAGATGCTGGTACTCTGGTCCGGCTAGGCCTAACTAAATTTGGCCTACAAATTCAGTACAAATCAAATGCACTGCCGTTCTCAGTATTAGCACAACCAAATACACCTTTTTTGTGCTGATTTAAGAACTAAAATACTACGGTTTGTGATTCAGTACGATCTATAGCCATATCTTACAATATTTGATGACTGCTATATTCACAGGAGCTCTGCAAGTGACGATTTTCATGATTATTTCAAGACCGGCGGCGAGCAGACGATCGAACGGCACGTCCCACAACTTTATGTAAATTATTGACCTTTGAACTTTCATGAGAAAATGTGAATCTGGTAACCCACATTATCGCATGCTTCTTACACGCTGAATCAAACGTAACGGTTGGGAAACAGACTAAAAGCAAGATGGCAGCCCCCATGGACAGCATGTTTCGGCTACTTGTTGGGAAGCGAAAATTAAATTTCATCGGCTTGAGATCAGATTTGAAGAGATGGGTGAGTTTATATGGAGACTTACAGTGGAACCATCTTTGAATTTTTAACAGAGCAGTGAAATGTTTGTCTTAATTACCAACGTTACGTTACGTTACGCATATGCATGTTGTTACTGTTACTGTTACGCGTTGCCAATTGCCGTTGGCACGTGGCGCGGCCCGGCCCGGGCCTCGGCCCAGACCATGGAGCTGCATGTATAAAAAGTTATAGCCCCATAAATGTGGCCTATTTACTGGACTGCCTCCGTAAACATAGGCCACACATCCACATGTACAAAAATCGTGTCGATTTTGCCAAATTTTGATTTTCACATTTTAGGCTTAGTTTGTAGGGTTTTTTTGCTTTAGAAGCATACTCACCCTCTTTATTAGCCCCATAAATGTGGCCTATTTACTGGACTGCCTCCGTAAACATAGGCCACACATCCACATGTACAAAAAACGTGTCGACTTTGCCAAATTTTGATTTTCACATTTAGGCTTACTTTGTAGATTTTTTTTGCTTTAGAAGCATTCTCACCCCCTATATAGGCTAATCAGAAAGTGCTGCCTTTTTCAGATGTTTAATTTTTGTGAAATTTCATGTTGAAATTTTGATACGCAAACGTGTGCAAACGTGTGCATCTGGAAATTTCACGAAAAATGGACATCTGAAAAAGGCAGCACTTTCTGATTAGCCTATATAGAGGGTGAGAATGCTTCTAAAGCAAAAAAAAAAACGTAAAAAGTAAGCCTAAATGTGAAAATCAAAATTTGGCAAAGTCGACACGTTTTTTGTACATGTGGATGTGTGGCCTATGTTTACGGAGGCAGTCCAGTAAATAGGCCACATTTATGGGGCTACCTCTTTATAAGCTAATCAGAAATTGCTGCCTTTTTCAGATGTATATTTTTCGTGAAATTTCCAGATTCATTTTTACACGTTTGCGTATCAAAATTTCAACATGAAATTTCACAAAAATTAGACATCTGAAAAAGGCAGCACTTTCTGACTAGCCTATAAAAAGAGGGTGAGTATGCTTCTAAAGCAAAAAAATCCTACAAACTAAGCCTAAATGTGAAAATCAAAATTTGGCAAAGTCGACACGATTTTTGTACATGTGGATGTGTGGCCTATGTTTACGGAGGCAGTCCAGTAAATAGGCCACATTTATGGGGCTAAAAAAGTTATATAGCTCCATGCCCAGACCCAGTCGGAAATGTGGGGGAGTGTGTAGTTGAGGGTGTATACTATTAAAACTGTAGGAAAAAATGTTGCAACCTGACGTCACCTCAAACAATCTCGATGAACATTTAATAAAAGGTCAATAAGTGCAAAAATGATGATTAGCATGAGAAGACATAAATCTGGGACTGAGATTGAGAAACATTTCCACTTTTGTTAGGAAATACTTAGAAAATTGTCTTGACTCTCCATAGACTTTGTACACAATCGCGGAAGTGGTGTCAGGTTGCAACATTTTTTCCCAACTGTAAATGTTTCATAAGTTTCAAAAGGGATAGACATACATATATGATAAAGCATGTATAGTGCACCTTTTGTGGTTTGAATTGGAAATAATAAAAAATTTCCAGAAAAGAATGTAGGTTTTGTGATTCTGTAGTGATTTAGTAGTAGTTTTGTTTTATTATTTAAATGATAGTGGATAGGCCTATATTGCGGATCCGGCTTTTTATTAGTAAACAGTATTTAGTCGGAGAGATCTTACAGTGCCCTCTTTTATGCAGAGATGAGTATGCCTTCATTATATTATGTAGGCCTATTAAAATTCGCAGTGGCTATCGTTACGGCAGCCGTAACGCATTTCCCATTTTCTATCGTTACGGACTACTGCAACTTTTATAAAAACATGAGAAGAAAATATAAAATTAGAAGGAAAAAAGTGAATTTGAACGTTATGAAATTCGGACTTTATTTCCCTTTTAAAAAAAATCCTCCAAAGCCTCAGGTTAGAAAAGGAAAAAAATTCGAGTGCAAAACTGAGCTACGAACCCGCAACCTTGCGGTGCAAAATCCTACCCTTTATTGACTGAGCTGTCGCACTGCTCGCTAAATCGTGGGGAAACAAATAATTATATACCTGCGTGAGTATCAAAAAAGTATCGTAGAGGGCGCTAAACAACGGCTGCCGTAACGATAGCCACTTCGATTAAAATTACCACCATTGTCGAGCAGCAAGTGTCATTTGGGAAAGAATTCCATACCTGGACATCACTTGACACCCTGTGCACAAACCCTATGAGAATGGTCTGAACAATTTTAAGTGTTTTCTCAGATGCTTCTATATTTTCCCTGCTAAATTAGACTTTTTAGGACATGTTATCAACCTGATAGGTCATTGCAGGGAGGAATTAGTGATGTCCATGTATGGAATTCTTCCCAAAACGGTCACTACGCATGTTCAGTGCCGTTCAGGCTTAATATTGCTTACTAAAAGAAAGCCGGATCTGGTGCAATATCCACAGCCATATATAATCTAAATTTTTCTGTGCATATTTTGTAGCTAGCCACAGTGACGAACTACCAGACCACCGTTGATGACTCCTTAACTGAGTTGAAAACATTCAGAAAACATCCCGGGATCATGCGACCCAAAAATGTCAAACTTCCTGATGCTTTACTGCAGAACCTCAACCAATACCTGGCTGGTATTAAAGTGAAAGTTGATTCATCTGTTTGTCTTACCCAATAGTTCTATTACCCTTGTCTACAGCCTTTTCAAATTTTTCACAAATATTATCGGGAGTCCAAAACTAAACATACTAAAAGCATACAGTGTTCTTTGTACCAAACATACAGAAAATCAGTCTTATCTACATGTAGGCTTTTAAGTTGGTGTCACTCTTTATTTTAAACATTGGAAAAAAAAAGAATATCTCAAAATAAGGCCTTTGTTTCCTGAATAGAGAACTTTCTCCAGAAAGTCTCACTGATTTTTTTTCTCAGATTTCTTTACCCTAACTGAACTCAACCCATCGAACCCCAACAGCATGTATTGTTGGAATCTGTCTGGATGGCTACAGTACCCCTAAACTGACAGTCTTTTACATTGGGTTGGCACACCTCCAGAAACTAAGTCAGAAATATGTATGCACAGTTTCCCATACAGTGTTGGAGTTTGCCAGGATGGGTATGGTTCCTAGTAAATCATGCTAGGGAGTTAGGGTTAAAAAGTACCACTCATTCATCAACTTGAATATAAATATAAGAGTGCAAATCCTTCAAATGCACTGAACGAGTTTCATATTGTTGACCAGAATAATTTTCCTGACATTTTAAGCATGGTGAACAGTTGTCATACAAAGACACATTAAGTTTAACTTAATCCTAAACCCCTAGGCCCTTTTTGCTAGGAACCATCTTCAATTCTTCAAAATCCTCCAAAACGAAAGATACCCACTGCCTCAAATGAAGGATACCTACTGCCTCAATCCTTCAAAATCCTCTAACAGCCCATCATCTTAGCATTCATCTTCACTCCTTCAAAATCCTCCTCTTCTTCAAACACCATTCAGCCTCAATCCTCCAAAATCAACCAATACTGAATGGTCCACGTGCCCTCAGTCCTCCTCAATCCTCCTAAATTGTATGTTGCATTCAGCCTCAATCCTCCAAAATCCTCCAAAAACCACTCGGAGGACTATGGAGGATCGAGGAAGGTTATAGGGTAACACACTGACTCACAGTTTTGTAACACTTTTGTAACTTGAGGTATGAATACTTTTTTGTTCATCAGACAAGCCAGTGAAACAGCTTAAGCCGCGGGCCACAGCACTCGGGAATTACCTGTGGAGCAGACAACAACCTCTGGAGGAAGCAGGGCTGAGGGCCAAGGCACAGGAGTATGCAAGGATACAAGGAGTGGAGGGTAGGAAAGCCAAGTCCATCACAAGTCCTCACAAGCCAGTCACAAGTCCTCACAAGGTCAATCACAAGTCTACCACAAGTCCTTACAAGTCCGTCACAAGACTCTTGACCTTACTTGTGACGGACTTGACTACAACACAGGGGTTATGAGGCTTCTTTATTCATTATGGGTGGACTTACTTCATTTCTTTCTTTCTTTCTGGTAATGAAAACAAGGATTCCTCAAAAGTGCCCTAGGCACTGTAGCTCGAAAGCTTGCAGAAACATGTAGAGAGAAGACAGTGAGAGGAAGTTACAGTTTTAGAGGTGGGAGGAAAAACCCCAGAAGAATATTCTGGGGAAAACCCACAGAATCAGGTAGGGACTGAAAACCCAATCCACATGTGGACCAGGACAGGAATCGAACCCAGCAAGGCGTTGTAAGGTGAGGACAGTAACCACTTAAAAACGATTGATGCATATTTTGGTTGAATAAAACCAGTACTGAAGAAATGAAGATTTCAAATTGATTTTTGTCTGTTTCATTTGCCTTGTTATTTGCCAGAGTAAAGTAAATGTTTGTGGGGACTAATCCCCGTAAAAGTTTGATGTATGATTTATTTATTATCTGTTTACATTTTTTTCAAGACCTTGATGAGGAAATGTTATACAGTCATGACCTACCCAAAGACCGCAAAAAGAAAGTGTCTTCCGTCATGAACACTTTGCGGAGACACGTCTACCATTGGCAGCCCATCACGTGAGTAGTCAGAAATATAGGCAGCGGTCCAAGGATCTCTTTAAAAAAGCAAACCCATTTGTCTTCATAGATCGTGTGGTTTGCTTTATATTTAGTGGGTATGCTGGAGCTTCATTGCATGCAGTATAACTTGGCCCAATTCTGTGGAGCTGCTAAGCAGTGTTGTAGTCGAGTCCATCACAAGTCCTTTCACGAGTCCTTTTACAAGTCCTGGCACAAGTCCATGTAAAGGGTGAACAATGACAAAGGAAGGCTTTTGTTACGGTTTCAGGTCAACTCGGTCCGAAACCAACTCGGTCCGAGTCAACTTGGTCCCAAATCAAGTCGGTCCCGAGTCAACTCAGGCCCAGGTCAACTCGGTCCAAGATCAGCTAGGTCCTAGGTCAACTCGGTCCCAGGTCAACTCGGTCCCAGGTCAACTCGGTCCAAGATCAGCTAGGCCCCAGGTCAACTAGGTCCCAAATCGACTTAGTCCCTATGGAAAAATATACACAAACACTTGAAATTTTTCGCAACAATCTCATCTTGAGCGTTGGGTGATGCATTATGTGCACCAGCCCATAGTGGTCGCCGGCTAATGTTAAGTTTTCTCTGTTTGTTTAACGTGGATTTCTAGGCTGTGTGGCCGGTCTATATAGCCTGCAGGGAATTAATAGGCCTCTTAACTAATAAATGACAGAGTTGACCTGGGACCAAGTTGACTTGGGACCGAGTTGACTTGGGACCGAGTTGACTTGGGACCGAGTTGGTTTCGGACCAAGTTGACACGGGACCGAGTTGACTTGGGACCGAGTTGACACGGACCGAGTTGGACAGTTCATTTGAATAGCTAGTGACTTGACTTGAGATTAAAGGACTTGTGATGGACTTGTGCTGGACTTGCAGGGACTTGTGATGGACTCGACTACAACACTGCCGCTAAGCAGAAAATAGTGCTTTGCACATTTTCTTGCTCAGCAGATTGTTGACCCAAAATCAGCTGAGAAACAATCTCAACCTTTACATAGCACATGACATAGGAGCTGGTCATCTGTTGTTACTACGCCTACTTGTTCATGCTTAGCAGTTCTATGACTCCGATAACCACAGATCTCCTGCACTTACGATTGCCATTCTGTGCTAACAGCGCTAGCTAAAAAATTCTGCGCATGTGCAAAAGCCAACATTCCTTGCTTGCCTGTAAAATTGGGCCCCAATACTTCACTTCAGTTTTGAATCTGAGTCTATAAAGGCCAAATCTTTCTTCACCCGAATGGGAAAGTGAAGCGAATGTCATGACGTCAATTAATCATCGTTTGAATGTGTTACCCCTAATGAATTCGCTTCGCTCTCAAAGTCACATGAAGTACGAATCAAGCTTAATTTGGAATGAATCTAGCTCTGTGGCCAATTTCGTGGAGCTGGTGGAATAGAAATTTGCGGTTTGAAGAAAACATTTGCTCAGGCAGCAATTTTAAACCTTTTAGTACATGTTCACTGGAGTTTCACGAATTCTGTTTCTTTGAAATTATTTCTTGCCTGTATTAAACCCATTCCTCTATTCATCAACACAAGTTTGCAACACAAGGTTGCAACGCCACTTTGCAACAAATCTTGTAGTCAATTTTAAATAATCTTGTCATGGTTTATTCAAGAGGGTTTTGCTTTTAGATAAATCAGATACCACTACTAGATATTGTTTTTCTTACGTGCCTCAGGTATGATGAAGTTACAGTGTGTGCCTACACCCTAGCCAGGATAGCACCAAACTATGCCACAATCTACAGGGTGCTCCAAGAGGTACACAGATCAATTGTAATAAGGGAATAAATATGTACTTGGCCGGTAAAAACCAAGTACGTTTAAAGATATAGTCCATCATTTGTAATTTGTGCATTTTGTTCGTTTGAAGCAACAAAAGTGTTCAAAATCTAATGAAGGATACTGAGCAACTAACCTGATGAAGTTTCAGTTCAGCTTCAGCTGTATATTCCGAGAAAAACAGCATTCTAGGATCTCAATTTCAAATCAACAGTTGCTGAATCATGTTTTGAATGGTTTTGAATTGCAGCTATACGCGATGTCGCGCAATGATCCGACGAATTATAGCAACCGCGCGTGCCTGTGCGTCGTGCCAATGCTTGCGCGCGCTGCGCCGAATAACAAAACGAACTACTAATTAAAATTTTCCTACGGTGCGTCTTAAGACGCACCGTTGGAAAGGCCTTCTTTCGTTGATTACTTCAAAATGATAGCTTGCCAGAAAGATTAATTTCACAGGGAGTTTAGTCCACTTACTATCTTTCAACCAAGTATGTTTTTCAACAATAATACGCCAGTTACTTTTTCGGATGGCTGCAAATGATGGACTATAGCTTTAAAACTGGCTAGACGTCTGGACGCCGATTTCAACTCGGGCCATTATCAGCGTCCAGGCTCCTAGCCAGTTTTAAATGTACTTGTTTGAAACCGACCAAGCACATACTTATTCCCATTCCTAAATCCCTTTCAGCCAAAAAGTGAAAACAAAATCAAAAATTCACAAATTTCCAATGATTTTGTTCAACAATTTACTTCATGGTTTGTGAAGCACCCCTCTTGCCATATCTGTGGTACGTACCTCGTGTGCATAGTGCTAAAAATCTCTCTCCAGTCTCTCCTTATATGGAAATTGGGGCGCACACGGCACGTACTGCGCGATGTGGCGCTGAACTCGGGAATTGTATTTAAAGCCAGCGGGTGTTTCATCAGTGGTTTAAAGCCAACCACGTGATGTCTCTTGACCAGTAGGAATGGGTAAACTATCTCAGGTATTTATGAATTACTTCGAAGTTCAAAGCCCAAAAAGAGAACTTTAATAAATGTTTTTTTTTTCAGCCAACAAATTTCTTCTCAATTTGTGTGAATGCCATAACTTTAACATTTAATTTACTCCTGGTCACAAACATTGTTTTCAGTAGCAGAACCCCCCCCCCATAAAAAAAATCTCTTTGGTTTAAAAAATGTGTCCAGGAGTGCCATCATGCAGTCAACTTTTGTATCAATGTGCTTCATATGGTCATCTTTATTATCTCACTGCTACATTCTATGATCATTCCATATAAGTCCATTTTTTGTTTTAGACAATCTTCCTTTTCTGTTTTGAAGATCCAAAAGAGGCTTCCAGACTTCAGCCCTCAGAACCTGCTGGACTTCGGTTCTGGTATCGGAACAGCATCATGGTGAGCAGCATCATGTTGAATTCAACATTCAACCTTTCCTCTGAGAAACTTAAAATCCTAACCGTGCTGAATCCCACAGGATCCAACTATGTCAGTCTGATGGAGCCTGTTGGATTGAGCAGTAAACCCCTTGTGTACATTCCTGATGCAAAATGTTGGACTCAGCAGGCAACTAAACCGAATTATAATGCCAAGTTGGACTCCGTTGGATTCAGCAGACAACTGAAAATGAGGCACAGTGGATTGAGCAGGAAACTCCGGTTGGACTCTGTTGGATTTAGCAGGGTTGTCCTGAGGAACTACCAAGGGGTTAGGGTTAATAAACTGAATAGGGCAAAATTCTATTGTCATTGACTGCAATATCAGATTTGCATTGGTCAAGCTCGGCAGAAATTTTTTTCTGCAGTGTTGTTGTAGAGTTCATCTCAACTCCTCACAAGTCAGTCACGATCATTCAATCCCAAGTCAAGTCATAAGCTATTCAAATGAACCATGGCAAAGGCAAACCTGCCCCTCTTATTTTTACCTGCAGGGCTGCACACACCCTGTGGGGCGATGCCATCAAAGAGTTTTACTGCGTGGATACCTCCAGACCCATGCATGACGTGGCGGAGGCACTCATGAGGGAACAAGAAGCCGAGAATGAGGAAAATAACTCCATCATCAAAGGGGTCTACTTCAGACACTTCTTGCCAATGTCACTACAGGTCAGCACTCCATTTTGAAAAATAAACAAAATATTCGAAAGTTTTGTTCACCGTGGGCTATTTTTAAATTTCCACCAAAACTTAAATATATTTGTTTCAAATTGATATTTTTCTGTCATTACAAAAGTTATTCAGTTTTCAATGAGACATGGAGCAAAGGAAATCTGCCCAGATTTACTTAAAGGTGATATACAATATTTGCAAACATTTAAAAAACCTATCAAATCATTATGACATACCTTACTTGACTGTTAGTAAATAATAGTCTCAACAAGCATCCTATGAAATCATGGCACTTGGTTTGCTGTCATTTTCAAGAAAAGTGGAATTTTTTCTATCAATTTCCAACGATGGTCCGCCGACAATCATTGGGACATAAATTACTTTTTTCCCCCTAGTTCCACATTAGTCCACAATTTGTATGCAATCGGTTACACATCTACAAATGGGTGCAAGCTAGCTAGACTGGTTTCCTGACCTGACAATTCCCCGACATTTATAAAGTCCTCCGTTTGGTCTGAATAGGGTCAGGGAACAAAACTTCAAGAACAGCATTTTTTCTTTGTTTTTACGGCATCTATGAACACAAAACTTTAAACAGGTCATTGTGACAATTTTTGCTATAAAATGCTTTACCCCCAAATCCATCCATTTCTGAAAATTACAGCAAAAGCAAATGTTGTATATTCCCTTTAAACATATTGCGAACAGTGAAGTGAGCAAAGCTATAAAATTATGAGCCAAAGCTGTCAACAATTATTAGATCACATGCATTCGAATGTACCTTTCAAAAAAAAAAGGTTCAAGTCTCGTAGAAACATCCCTATGTGAAAACAATTCACATAGAAATGTACGTGAATTGTTTTCGTTTTGCTGAAAGAACACGCACCTTTTTTTGTGATCCGTGGACAGAACTTTAAAACGGTGGTTGTGTTTAAAATTCCGTAACTTGAAAAGTACATGAGTGATTTGAATGACTCTCGTACTAAAAGAAAGCTTACGAATTGGGCTTTCATATCCTAGATTTTGAAATGATACATGCAGAACTTTATGGAAAAAATGGTCCTGCCATTTGAGTTTCCTTTTGTTTGACTCACCCTGTATAGTAGCAAGAGTCACAATTAATTACTTACGATGGATTTTTTGGCATAGATAAATTAACATTTAAATTTGGTTTGGCTATTCATTGACATCTCAATTTTGATTTTGTTTGTTTTGTACAGAAGAAGTATGACTTGACGATAAGCGCCTACTCCTTACTGGAGTTACCGAGCAGTGCCGATCGGCTAAACACCCTCCGGACGTTATGGCGCAAAACGGACCAGTTTTTGGTCCTTGTCGAGTGCGGCACCAACGAAGGCTACAAGACTCTCATGGAGGCCAGGGATTTCATTCTCAACGACCTTCAGAGAGAAGAGAACAGAAATGAGACGGGTAGAGGGGTTGCCAGGGGTGTTGATAGGGGAGAGCTGGGATTGGCTGAGGATTCTACAAACCTTGTTGGTCATGTCTTCGCTCCAGTGAGTGATAAGTAATTTTCACTACTTATAGTTTCATATTCTTAATTCAAATCCTTTAAAATAATTTGGATCAGCGTGACTTTATGACTTGGCATGTTAAATTCCTTTTGGCCCTAACTCCCTGGCATGATTTACTAGGAACCATACCCATCCTGGCAAATTCCAACACAATATGGAAAACTGCACACACATATTTGTGATATTGATTTTGGAGGTGCCCCAACCCAATGTAAAAGACTGTCAGTTTAGGGGTACTGTACCCATCCTGACAGATTCCAACAAAACATGCCGTGGGGGTTTGATGGGTTGATTTCTGTTAGGGTTAATGTACTACGTCTCCCCTTTTATTGAACCGATAACGTTGATCTATTCAGTTTTTCAGCTATTTGTGAATTTTTGGATTTTTTGGTAGTGTCAACATGACCAATCCTGCCCAAGGACCATAGACAACTCGGGAACGCCTTGCAACTTTGAGCAGGACTTTCATGATTTCAACAAAAGAGGGCACTCCTCAGAGTTGACCAGGGAGCGATTCTGCTACCTCGTGCTCAGGAAAGGTCCCAGAACATCAGGTAAATGTACATTATAGTTTCCAACATTTAAAAAAAATGACATGGAATTATTGTTGGTGACTTTAACCCTCCTATGCAAACATACATTCTGTGCAAAGTTGTCCTTTCACTCAAGTCAAAAACTTATGAATAGTTTTATTGTGGTACCCACTGCTACATTAGATTCAAAACCAGCCAGCTGACGCTGGCAAACTCGGTGGTCGAGTGGTAGATGTCTGCGCTAGTAAGCAGGAGGTCTTGGGTTCGAGTCCAACCCAAGTGATTTTTTTTCTCACAATCACTCGGGGCAACACTGAGCTTTAAAAAAAAGAAGATATTAGTGAATGTGTTTGTGTTGTACATTTCTGATTGGAATGGCACAACGTTTCTGCAAATAGGAAAATGTCCTGTGCACCGAACACTAAAAAATACTTCAGCTGAAGCCCTGTATGAGATATGCTTTATGGAACCATGATTTGTTTAAAACTTTTTGGATGATTTATACTGTTTTTCCCCCCTTTTTTGGTACAGTTGATAATACTGACCACTGGCCAAGAATCGTCCGTCCAGTTTTGCCGCGTGCTCGGCATGTAATCTGCAGGCTATGTTGCTCCAACGGTCAGTTGGAAGAAACGATCATCACTCGAGCCAAGCATGGGAGGTCAGTTTTTGATCTTGTACAGAACAAGTATCCATAAAAGCACACCCCTAGTTTTTAAAGGCACACTTTCCCAATGCCCGTTTTATCCTTTGATATTGCAGGGAGCTCTATCGGTGCGCAAGGTACTCTGCCTGGGGCGACCTTCTCCCCATCTCTCGACCTCAGGACAGTGATGTGCCAGGCAGGCAGACAGACTCCGAGGGAGAACACTCGGGGATTGATTGAGGTTTTTGGAGGGTCAAGACTGAAGCAACAGTTCGAATCCCACCGTGGCCGAGATGGGAATTGGGGTTTCTTTGATATCCCACCTGTGTGTGTGTGTAGGAATCTTGTTATTCTTTACAACTGAGGACTTAGGACAATGGGGTGTGTGCGATAACAATAACACCCGAGGACCTGAGCCAAGTCCTCAGGAGGTTTTATTGTACAAACCTTATGGGACCTGTTGAGAAAAAGTACACACGGTAGGAACAAAAGAAGGGAACAATAGGAGGTCCTCACAAGTATAGGATAACACCACTGTGTTTGTACGTGGGTTTGTTTTTGCATTCAATAGGGGACATTGAACAATAGAGGACAATAGGGTCCACAATTCCCGAAGGTCCACGATTGATGATCGTGTACAAAACATATGGGAGGTCTTCCTAAAAAGTTGAAGTACAAACAACAGAGGGACAATAGGGGTGCACGAATGAAGGTGTTTACACACTTGTGTGTGTGGTGGTGGGGGGGGGGGGGGGCCTTGAGGAGGGAGCGGAGATGTGTTTTTTTTTTTTTTACACAACTAATAAAAATAGGTTTTTTTTGGGGGGGGGAGGAAGTGGGCAGTTGAGAGGTTGCGGGAATGTGCAGTTTTATTTACACATCAAATTGGTATACAAATGGATTTTCTATAAACCAAAAATAGTTTCATTTTCAGTAGTGACTTTTTTTTGGGGGGGGGTTAAGGCGTTTTGGCTATTTGAATTGTATACACAATGCTCATTAAAACAGACACAAGTAAAAACCCCTGTTTTTCTCTCAATCATTTGAGTCTTGCAGATGTACATTTATTTTCATTAACATCATTTTGTATAAACAGTGATGTTTTTAAATATATTTTTACATTGTTGATAATCCTCATCACAATTTGTTTCAAAAGCTGGTGAATTTGGCTTCGGCCACTCATACCCACAGTCCAACAGATGGATTGCATTAGGCAGCATCTTTGAGGTGTGTTTTATCTCAGTAGATAAACAATGAATGCACAAATGGTATACTCATGCGTATCCCAGTTGAACATAACAGACCTCTAAAGATGGCTACAGTGCAAACGATGTGTAGGAAAGGAGCTGATGATGTTAATCTTGTATACACAAAATTTTGTGAAAGGAAGTCCTGTAAATATCCATGCTGTAATGGTCCAAAATTTCTGACATCAAAACGCTGCGTCCTAATAACCGCCATACTTAATACGTGAACGCGCATTGTGGGCGCATAAGAACGTGCAAGGGAGATGGTCACACGACGCACGCGTTGTTTACCATCAGAATGAGCGTCCGCGTAACATGGCGGTTATAGAACGCAGCATTTTGATATCGGAAACCTGCTTCAGAGTGTTCTATTCATATGTGAAAAACAGTAAAGACGAATCCCGGCATGTGATCTCTGCACACTCACAAGGCCCCCCTCAATGGAGAAACCATTGTGCAAGCTATTGTCCAAAGCAACTGCCTGTGACAGATTTTCTGAACAATAGCTAGCACAATGCTTTTTCGCCATTGAAGGGGGCCTTTCGTGACAGAATTGATAGCATGCCCGAATTGGTTTTGTTCATTCTTTGGTATCCACAAAATACTACTTTCTCTATAAAGCCACAGGTGGTACCGAACAGATCTACAATCCGAGATGTCAAGGAAACAATCACCATATTGAATTGATACTTGGTGCAAGGAAGGAGCATCAAATTTATATGCCAATTTACATGCCATTTGTCAATTTTTACATTTGTACATACATTAATTGTTATAAACAAGCTATAAATGGCAACAAAACATGAGAAACATAGGGAATTCAACTTTAAATATAAACTACAGTTTATAAGTCTGTTTACTGGCAATGTCAATATCGGTGTTAAGGCGTAATGTTTAACCCAATCCGTGGCAGCAGGCACCCATTTTCAAAATATAGCTTCATTTACATGTACAGTGTAATGAATATTCATCTTTGAATGTCACAATCCATTGATACATTCGCAAAGATACTTTTGAGGAGTAGAGTATCACTACTCTGTCGTCATCCCAATTCTAAAGTACCATTAAAGTACACATTTAAAAAAAAAAATCTAATCACGTTTATTTTTGTTATTACATGTACCAGTACAAGTTTATACAATCTAGACTGCCCGATTTCTTTCAATGAGAACATGGGTGTCAAAAGTACCGGTACAGTACGAAGCCCTGTCACGTTTCCAGTTAAAGTCAGAGTTGGTCTTTAATACTTAACAATATTACCATAAATGTGAGCTGTATCTGAAATGCACACTTGAGACAAAGTTTAGATAAATCAATGTATGCAATATTTCAGAGCTAATGTTTATTAACGGAACCCCATTGTTGACTTTCGGATGATCCTCGGGCCTCTACTCGGACCCGCTTTTGCAAGGCTCAATGACAGGCTAGATTTGTATAGGTGCGTGTCAACCATTTGTAGTACACAAATATTACTTAATTGTTACAAGAAGTGGAAAGAATGTATTATCCAGATGCCACTTCAGCGGTTGTGTACAAAGTCTATGGAGAGTCAAGACAATTTTCTGTCTTTCCCAACAAAATCGGAAATGTTGCTCAGTCCCAGATTCATGTCTTTTCAACATTTCTGCAATGACTGACCTTTATTGAGATGATATATGAAGAAAAAAGTGGCGTCAGATTGCAGCATTCTTTCCCAAGAAGTATAATTATTGGTGTAGTTCCCCAAAGTTCAATTGCACCGATCCCTCTACTGTTATGTTTTAAAAGAAAATATAAGGAGAAAAGTATTCACCAAACCACAAATTGGTTCAAAATGGCAAGTGAACAACAGGCCTAGTGAACAATGCGAGCAAAAAATTAAAAACATAAATGACAATATCCGCAAAAATGCAATTTTAAATATCGCATGGATGTTGAAGTAACCATAAAGCTTAAGACAAAAAAATAAAATGGCATAGAATGCAGTGTGGCTGAAGAGAATTAGAAACAAATGAAAATAAACCTTTTTTTTCCAAGTAACTTAGGACATTGAATAGGTTATTTTGTTATTACTACATGTGATCTGTTTATTTTACCAAACAACATAAGCGAACAATTTTTTACTTTATTTTGTTTTAATATTGTAAATCTAAGTTGTAATTTGGTAAAATTCCATTCATTATTTGAGTTGGTCTTACCGGTTGTATTTGTTTAGACCCCCCCCCCCATCTTAAAATGTGTCCTACGTTTTCAAATTCACAGCATGCCATCGCAATTTCATGTTCACATATTTGTGTTCGAATTCAATTTTGCAACAAAATATCAACCAGATGTATACTTTTGGTACACATTTATCTTTTTTTTGTCTCTCTCTCTCTCTCTTCTAATAGCCGCCGTTAAACCCCACGGTTCCCTCCTGCACTGTCTTCAACTCCTCGGGATTGTCGATGTAGATTTGCGTCTTGTGGCTGAAGGCCACGTGCTTCATCAACTCCCACTCGTCGTCTGCCTCGTCCTTGCAGTAGGCGCAGATCCACTGGTCGGGGCCTGTCGCGGAGAAAGACGAGATTTCGTTGGACTTTGACCTGAAGATCTGACCTTCCAAGTACGTGCATGAGGACAGAGTCAGACGACCTTCTCAAAAACTTTAAAAACTCCACTTATTGTATGAAAAAGTGATTGGCACTTCGAGACCACTCAAACAAGGCCAGCGTGTGAGGCCCGCCACAGGCGTGTTCTGGTCTGTGTGCGAATCGCTCAAAGTATGCGTGACCAATTCTTCATCAGAATGAGCAGTAAACGTGTAATGGCATTCTGGACTGGGCAGCTAGGTAGCCTTGATAATTCTGCCTTTCCTCAGGCTTAGCTTTTTTAGTATGCAACCACACAGCAATCTGTGCACACACACGCGTAGATATTGAATTCATGTTGACCTTGTGCTAGATTTCAAAAGGACAAGAACACGCTTGCCTTCATCTGTATTTCTATTGAGCCAGTGGTCATTTATTACTGTTGGACAGACTTTGACTAAATTGAACGATGGTGACTGTACTGAAAAGGAACGCGAAATAGGAGGAGCCGAAACTCGTCAAGAGGTGGAGCATTCGGTGGAGCCTGAGCCGGTGCAAAAGGTGAGGCAGACAGCATGTTGGGAGTTGATGAACGAACAAACGTACTGCAAACAATTTCACTTCGTCAATCTGAGGTTGCATACAAAGGATTTAATAGCATATCCATCCATTTTTATGACCACCGGATGGACAAAAAAGGAAAAGAAAACCTTCCAAGGCTGAAAACTTTCAGATCTGCACCCAACTTCTCTCAGGAAAAGGTTCGAGAGAGCAAATCTGTCATCTACATGTATACCCAGGGCCAGAATTTCTCATAGTTCCGGTTTTTGTTGACAGTTGAAAAAAAAGAAAATCCATGTCCTACAATGGCTTAACACTTGGAACCGTGTCTTTGGAGACCAATTTGAAAATTTGAATAGATACAGTTTATATTAAGGAACTATTTTCAATCAACTTTAACTACCCGGACCACCCTTCTCCATCCCTTCCCCGGGCCAGTATGTACACAGGTCTGGAAGCCATTGTCGCGGTCAAAACTCGTCCATGTAGACCTGTGTCTGGTGTTCCCTGGCCACGTGTCTCATCAAGCCCCAACAGCTGTCTACATGCACCTTGCAGTATGCACACATCCATATGGGCGGCTCTGCACAATGAAAAGACGGGTATACTGAAGTTGACACGGAGCACCCAATTTGGTGCATTTTTCCAGAGACCCGTATGCAGTATAGCACAGTAAAGACTTTTTTCTTCAAAATTGTGGTGCAATGACAGAAGTAAACAATTCAACAATAGCTCCACGCACACACAATAAAGTAACGAAGTGTGTCGTTTATCATTGTTCTGGTTCACGCACTGGTTAGCGCATTGATGTCAACTCATTTTCTAATCAACTGCTGCCTCATGGATTTTGCTCATGGTTTTTGTCCAAGTAATTTTATTTTATGTCTCCCTATCTATAAAAAAACAAATGAGTGCCTCCTCCAGAAAAGTTCCTCCCCCTCCCCAAGCAAAGTGGGCCCCGGTTACACCACTACCTTAAGCCTTCATAAACAAAAAAGTAATACAACAGGCAATTTTTTTTCCTCCAGGATATCGAGAACTATTTGCATAGCATGCATACTCACCCTGCCCAGCGAACTGCTGCGCCTTTTTGCCGGTGAAGGTCTTCTGCTTCTTAGCTGCTGGTGGGCCGGCGGGCACAATGACCGGCAGGGTGGCCGGGTCTAAGTAACCACTGTTTCAGGTAGAGAACAAAAATAGATGAGGGAGATTAGGAACCAGACCACAAGTTGAATCAGACAATGTTGAATGTACTATAACCTCTAACTCGCCCAGGACACAATTTCATGGCTCTGCTTACCGTTAGCAAAAAATCTGCACTTACTATAGCAGAAAATTCTGTGCTTACGGTAAGCGTACTTCACGGGTTAGCGGGGAATTTTTTCGCCAATTTACTAATTTTGCCTCGTTTACAGTTGATTTCTGCTCGGCATTCTGCTCAGCATTCTGCTCAGCTCCACAAAATTGGGTCCTATTTTAAGCATACAATTTACACATGTTCACACCTTGTGACGTTTCCTTGAACTCTCTTGAAACCCTTCGGCCGGTTTGGGTTTGGTTCACTTGCAATTCTCACATCTACAGGGAAAAAAGTAATAAAGTTCAATTGATAAAAAGTCATCTTGAATGTTGATTTTTTTTTCTGCACATGATTGCTTTATGCAGTTTTTCCTGTAGACTGTATGCCGAGTAATGATCTGTTCTCAATCTGACCATGCTTAACCCTAACTGTTTAACCCTAGTCTGACCATGCTTAACCCCTAATCCGACCATGCTTACCCTGTTTCTGGCAGTTTATGGCAATATGCGCTGCAGCACCTTGTAAGGTGCTACATAATGGGTCTCATATTTCTCATAAACTTCGTTTACCTGTCTTTAATAATAGACATAATTTCCAGCGCCTTGAGTACCTAATTGTTGGTAGATACGTGCGCTATATAAGACTCTGAACTCTGAAATTGTCTAATACTTGGCATTCTTAAATTTGGTGCTTCTCTAGAATGTCAGCCTGCAACGGGTGTAACTCCGCAGAGATCTGTTACAAAGTTCAGCAGATAGAATGAGGAGAGTGTAAATACATGTACTGCAAAATCCCTCTCACCGATTGGCTGACGGGATAGTATGGCTCCGTACTCGCCCTCGATTGCCTGCCTGGCATTCAGCTCATTGTTGTACTGCACAAAGCCGTAGCCCTCGTGGATGGATACGCCCGTGATGCGGCCGTACTTGCTGAACCGGCTCACGATCTCCTGCGTGGTCACCTGGCCCGTGTTCAGGTTGCCGATGAAGATGCGCGAGGCCCGCGACTTCATGTCGTTGCGGTTGGTCACGTTGCTGATGCCGGGGCTCAGGCCGGCGTACTGGTTGGCGTGGCCCACCGCGGCCCCTGCTCCCGCGCCGTGGGGACTGCCTGCGAATTGGGGATTGGCCCCCGGTGGGCTGCCAAAGCCACCGTGCTGTCCGTAGCCAAATCCGCTGGGGTTATGGCCGCCGAACATGTTCATAGTGTAGCAGCCTTACTACAGTGCGTGGAAATGTTTATGAACAATTGCAAAAAAAAAAAACCAATTACTAATCAAATAGATTTAACAAATCACACACAAAAAGAGAAACAAAACAGCATAAAAATGCATGGTATTTTACGGGGGAACAAATTATTCAAACAACTACATGCATCTTAATGAAGATTTTCATGAAGCCATGATAAATTTTGTATGTGATTCACTTCATGATAGAAATCCATAATACTGACCAAAACTCACCAATAAATTCAATTTTGGTTCCAAAAAACAATGATCAAAAAGATTTCAGATGCGAACACAAATAAAACCCTAATATGAAGTATGACAAATTGACAGACTAATAACAATCATTAGACTCGATAAATAAATAAATAAATTGAATAAAATAAAATACTCACTGTGTGAAAAATGTTGTTCAATAAATGTCAGCAAAAAGGATCCCAAAAAAGGCTCCAAAAATAGTTGCCAAAAATGTCACGTTGGTTATGAAAAAAACACTGTGGGTAGATACACAGATAATAAAACACAATAAGAAAATAAAAATCAATAAATAACGGATCCTGTAGACATTCTCATTATCTGATTTTGAAATTGTCCAAATAAAAAAAAAAAAAAAAAAACATCCTAAAGTGTTTTCTTGGGTTGTGTGACAGATCAAACATTGTGACCTACTTTCAATTTCATGAAGGCACATATAAGGCCGAATAAAAAAACAAACATGTTTCTTGTCCGGGTTTTCGAAAAAAAGGAGGAAGCGGGGCTTTTTATTTTTTATTTGTTTCAAGATGGCCGCCATTTAAACAATTTCCTGCAATTCAATTGTTGGTGTTTCCACTGTTCAAAGACACTTTTAAAATGAAAGATAAGTTGGACAAGAGAACTGAACATATTTACAGTGTCATTTAGACTTGTATTGGTCTACAATTTATTTTCCGATGAATTTGTGGACTTTTTCGGTGTTTTTTTACCGCATTTTTCAAAAATAAAACATAATTTAAAAAATCCAGGCGGCCTCCAAAAAGGAAGCGGGTGGGGACGAGAAACATGTTTTTGTTTTTTTACTTCGCCTTACTTCAATAAAATAATAAACTGTTTCTGATATGAGTTTTTTTCATCCTAATATAATATCATTCTTATATCATCAGTGATATCAATGTACTTCATTCACTTGATTAGGGTTACGACAGATACCCAACTTCAAAATGGTGGGTACACTACCCGTTTGCATATTTTTAAATAATATTTTTAGAACCCGAACTTTCTGTGTAATCTGGCAGAAGCATTCCGATAGAAAAACACAGCATTTTATTGATCATTTGTTTGCCAATAAAAATATCCCCATGTCTATGCATTTTATTTATCAAGTTGGCTGTAGTGTTCCACTGTACTTTGTCAGAAAATTTAGGACTAAAAATAATTTGCAATGAGGCAAATCCTCCAAAACAATAAAACTTAGATAAGAAAATAGAGTTGCACCCCTTCCCCTAAAAAAATGTTTAAAAAATCTGTAATTCTGTACAAGCCTGAATTCTATATAATTTCCCCCTCACGCAACTGAAATAGAATGCTCCATTTGAAGAAAAAAACAAGTAAACTGTCCCTGTGGTTTGGTTTGACGTTTTGGTCTGCATGTACCTTTAAAAGTTAGTGAAGTCCAATGCATCAAAAATATAAATCATTTGGTGTACCCACGGACCATTTACCATAGGAGAAAAAAGGAGAACTAAAACTTTAATTTAAATAGCTTCATCAGAAAACGTGGCATGAAAGTTGGGCTTAAGTTAAAAATTGTTTAAATAATTTTTCCAATAAATCAAAGTTCTATAGAACAAGAAATGGGTCTGTAGGCCTACCAATGACAATGTTGTAATCGGACTTAAAACTAATTACAAATTACAGCCCCCCCCCAAAAAAAAATTCTGTGAAATTAGGTGGTCATAATATTGTTTATCAGTGTGCAATTTTTGCAAACAAAAATATCAGGGGAAATTGCTCACTTTCATTTTCTGTACTACGTTTGTTGTAATTGCAAATATTTTTTTTAAAAATGGGGAAAATTTGGGCATATCTATTTTCAACTTCACTTTACACTACAGAAAATAACATTAGGCTTTCATTATTATCAGTATCACAGAAGAAAAATGATATTCACAAACAACTTTTGGAGTGAAATATAACTTACTTAGCCTAAACCAAAACTGTGTTTTAATAAAAACTTGGTAAAAAAAAGTAAAAAGTAAAACAAATCAATAAACATTCATGACATTTAGCTGGAGTTACCCAGCCCTGAGTTTTATCATTGGGTTGTCTATTAGGGCTGGAGCGCATTTTTCTCAAAACTTGTAGTATTTGCAAAAAAAATTTGAAAAATGTTCAATTTTGTCTCCATTACACACTAATTGCAACTGCAACTCACCCCAAACTTGCCTGGAATAACCATTACACAGGTCCTTGAAGTAAAAAACGATCCACGATGAAGATTCAGCCTCCAATTGCAGTGAAAACAGGAGGAATAACCGCTAACTTGACAACCTTGCTGGATTGGCCAGGACCGCTATTGGTTTGTGCACAAAAAAAATTGTGTACAATGAATGGCGGTCGATTACCATGCACGTACAGCTCGCTGGTACTAGGCGTTTTTGCGGTCGGTGCATGACGTGACGCGGAAGCGTAATACCCGATGACTGTTTCATGCATTAATAAGAGGTTCACTCGCATCACAGTGCGGTACTGGAACGGCAACCGTCGAGTTGGCCGGCTATCGTGCATTCATAGTGCAGTGTTACTGCCGTTCCAGTACCGCACTGTGATGCGAGTGAACCTCTTATTAATGCATGAAACAGTCATCGGGTATTACGCTTCCGCGTCACGTCATGCACCGACCGCAAAAACGCCTAGTACCAGCGAGCTGTACGTGCATGGTAATCGACCGCCATTCATTGTACACAATTTTTTTTGTGCACAAACCAATAGCGGTCCTGGCCAATCCAGCAAGGTTGTCAAGTTAGCGGTTATTCCTCCTGTTTTCACTGCAATTGGAGGCTGAATCTTCATCGTGGATCGTTTTTTACTTCAAGGACCTGTGTAATGGTTATTCCAGGCAAGTTTGGGGTGAGTTGCAGTTGCAATTAGTGTGTAATGGAGACAAAATTGAACATTTTTCAAATTTTTTTTGCAAATACTACAAGTTTTGAGAAAAATGCGCTCCAGCCCTAATAGACAACCCAATGATAAAACTCAGGGCTGGGTAACTCCAGCTACATGACATTGAATAAGGCAAGGCAAAGAGTGAAAAATGAAAAATTAAGAACAAATTGTATTTATTTTCGACCAAATGAAAACCAAAAGTCTGCAAGATCATTATTATGATCACCCCCAAATCCCCTGGGGCAATTTGGTTTAGGACCGGGGCAAGTAACTTAGCAAGGCAATGGGCAAGCGAATCCCCGGGGTCGTGTGTTTGCATGGGAAACAGGTCAACTCGTACGCGAACCAACTCGTACGCGAGTCAACTCGTACGCGGATTGGTCAACTCGTACGCGAGACAACTCGTACGCGAACCAACTCGTACGCGTGCCAACTCGTACGCGAGCCAACTCGTACGCGAGCCAACTCGTACGCGAACCAACTCGTACGCGGGCCGTTTTAGGAGTGGTTTCGAGGATTGGGTTGGCATGGTTGGGAAGAATTTGGGAATAGTGTGACGGGTAGTCCGTAGTTCAATGTGTGACCGTTGTGTGTGATTGGGAGTGAGAGAATAGACAATTGCACTGTCTAACTGAAAACCCAATCGGTCCTTTTCAGGGCCACCACGCATTTGCAGTGATATTAAATAAAATTCAATTTTTTAAAAATAAATCAAATTCACCTCCCCATTGTTTTATTTTACAAAATATAATTTGGAGACATAATAATTAGGACTCAAAATTATCGGACCAAAGCTAAAAATTAATTTTCGGACCCAAGAAAAAAAATTATTTTCAGGGCAACCTCGAATTTCCGGTGAAATTAAATAAAATTCTAATTTTTAAAAATCAATGAAATTCACCTCCCCATTGTTTTAATTTACAAAATATAATTTGGATATATAATAATTAGGACTAAAAAATTATCGGACCCAAGCAAAAAATTAATTTTCTGACCCAAGAAAATCGCATTTGACCCAAGAAACCTCGCATTTCCGGTGAAATTATATAAAATTCTGATTTTAACAAAAAATAAAAATCAACTCCCCATTTCTTTTTTTACAAAATATTATTTGGATATATAATAATTAGGACTAAAAAACTATCTGACCCAAGCAAAAAACTGGCGGACACTGTCCGTACAACTGTATAAGCATGCGTGATGCTATATTCCTTTTTTTTTTTTATAGTAGCTCCTTTTTATACAATAGACCTCGCAAATATCGGTGTTTTCTTGTCATTTTACTTGTCTAACCAACCAGCAATTGTACCGCGGCATACACAGGTTACAGCGATTCAATCATGCATTCTTTATACACAGTGCGCGGTGCGGCGGGAACCAATCATACTGGTTATCGCGAAGACAACTTCCCAATCAATCAAGCGAACTTGTAAAAAAAAAAAAACACGCAGAATTCTTCTACTGTAAGTAGCACTGGCGGATTCAAAAATCAACTACATTTAATTTGAAAATCTCAATCTTTCAGAAAAGGTAAAATTATGCCGACCTACCGTACCGAACCTTACTCCTAGAACTATGAGGCTCACGCGGAGCCTCATAGTTCAAGGAGTAACCGAACCTAATTTCATATGTCCATGTGAGCTAAACCAATCGTCTAAACTCACGCGTACGAGTTGGTCCGCGTACGAGTTGGTCCGCGTACGAGTCGGTCCGCGTACGAGTCGGTCCGCGTACGAGTCGGTTCGCGTACGATTTGACCCGCGTACGAGTTGGTCGCGTACGAGTTGGTTCGCGTACGAGTTGACCTGTATTCTTTGCATGTAGCCGGTAACTGGCAAGGGGGCGAGTTGGTAAGGATCAGGTTAATTTGTAGTACATTTTGGGGCAAGTTGACCATCATTCGCACGATCCGACACGGTCGTCTATTTTACGATCCAACTACATTGTATTATACACGTGCACCAGATTAATGCTTCGGTATGTGATTGCATTGTGCATACAACTTCTAAATACCGAACGTATTTGCCTACTTTAAATACTCACCGGCTGCTACAAACGCGAAATATTCCTACATTTGTTTATCGATATGTGCTGCGTACTTAACTTCACGAGCGAAAAATAGTTCACTGGTTAACAAGAGATTTATTTTTTAACTCGGTTTAATCTCCGAAATACGAAAAGAGTCGTCAGGGCGGGTACCAGTATTGGAGGACGGCCACTTTTCCGGGGGTGCCACCTCTATAGTGCACAAAAAGAGATTTTTTTTTATTTTAAGATATGAAGTTTGTTATGTATCATTAAGAAATTATTATAAAATCTGTTGACAATTCAATCATTTTGGAAAGAACAGAGTGAAAATCTCTGATTGTTTTTTTCACAGATTCATTTCCTAAAGGATTACTTCTTCGAAGTATAATGAAAAATTATCATGATAAAATTAGCTTGTATTCCGTCCCTCCTTGCATTTCAGATGACATAAAGAGTGTAAAACATTGTAAAACGATATAATGCTGAATGTTCATCCAGACATATTCATCGTTTGGCCCCTTTTTTCGAAAGAATTTTAACGTCTGGGTGGAATGTACATAGACTATACTGCTTTCAGTTTCATTCCTTATGAAAAAAAGAGAGAACTCTTCCCTCGAAGTAGAAAGGGTCTGAAGTACATTTTGACCTTGCTTGGCAAAAGAAAAGTAATTCAACTTATGCACAGTGTCATTCATATGTTGTCGCGCCGGCTGGTATGCAAACAATTCGGCGGCACTTTAATGTGAGCACAACCTATTGACCTTGGCGACGGTCGGTTCCCGAACCGCAAATCGGTAGTCAGTAAAACCTGGCATCGTGATAGGTCAATTCCTTGATTGATATTGACCTGGGAAATTGCCAGCCAATCAGCAAGGAGTAGCAATATGCAAATGAGATAAAATCTCATTGTATGAATGTATGACCGCGGTATGACAGACACGAGCCGTCGGGTCCCTGATGGGGACCGTCAAATCCATAACGGTGTCACCAGCTGATTATTGAGAGCAATTCATTTGTTCATAGGTTAAGTGAAAATGATGGAATTTAATATGCATGCACAAAAATGAAAAAATTTCTTAAAATATGTGATATTATTTTATAAATATAGATGTATAAATATAGATGTGATCATTCGTAATTTAAACAACAGATCAATCTATTGATGTTCATGAGATCAGGATATGTTTTAAAAAGACACCCCTAAAAAAGAATTTCTTTGAGTCCATTATGTCTATGTTAGGTCATTCATCGGTCGGGTATCTTTTCTGTGTGATGACCGGGTGTGCTCGATTTCGCGACTCGACTGTACACTGCTGCTGTGAATGAAACCCGCTAGTAACATACTGAAAGGTTGTTGGATATCCCCTTCAGATTTCGTCGTCTTTCACGACTTCTTTCTCACGACAGTTGTAACTGGACGTAAGTATGTGAGTGTGAATGCCTGGGGTCCATCCTGTGTTGGTTGATTCTCTCTGTAAATTCTTCATATTTGTTGTGGAGGGGCGTGAAGGTAAAATGGTTTTGACGACACAGCTATTTTTGATCGATTTTCAGAATTTGATTGTTGCACGCCCTCAGTGCATATGCAGAATGAGTGAACAATTTTTTCTTCCAAAATCGAAGTTCAAATTTTAAACACTCTATTTTTGAGCTGATGGATTTTCATACTTAAATTCAAAACCTAGGCACTTTTAAATTAAAAAAAGGCGATCAAACCATTGAACAAATCAATGGAATTTGTAAAACAAATATGTGGAAAGGGCATTCCCCTTGTGAAGATTTCATTTTCGTGTTGGGACTTGTTTCCTGAAAATGTAGTGCAGTGCTGTAGTAGTACTAGTGGAGAACAAAGTTGTGAATACTGTTTCAAGGTTTGCATGAGAAATTACTACATGTACAGTATTAAATGCCAGTTACTGTTTTATCACCACCGATCCCTAGCCCCGGCAACTTTGTCATGTTTGTGGACTATGAAGTTTTAAGACCCCCCTTATTAATTGGTCCCCCTTTTTACATCCATGGTTTTAACACACACTTTTTTCTAATAAACTGCAAGGTGCACCCCTTGACCCATGGAAAGGGCGTGTCACTCATTGCACAACAGTGGGCCATCCTTTTATGGAATCTACACACCCCATACACGTATCAGAGGAGTGATGCACCACGTTTTTGACCTACCTTTTACGATCGTAATGCACCTACTGAAGAAACTTGACACACCTCAGAAATTGTTTGACACGCCAAATCGTGACTTGACCCGTGCCACAGCTTTATAAAGGATATGAAGCACCATTCCGTGCAGTCATGGGCTCCATATAGAACCATCCACTCTTGGTGCCCCATGTTAAATGTTGGATACATTGTGCATGTACCACTATACTATACATGTACCTCATATATGATTGAGAGCCGAATTCTCACTGGCCGGTCTGGTCTATTCACCATCAAGTGCAAGATGCTATTTTTGCTGTTTAGCGCGCGTTACCCATGCATGCGCTTTATGAAGCAATCGAGAAACTGTCACATGGGTGAGTACGCACGCGCGCCCTAGCTTCACATGAAAAGATGGTTACACGTGTAAACGTTAAGTAGCGTTTTCCCGAGCTCAATGATGCTGAACTGGAGAATATTGTGGACAATAAAGATGTCTCCTATACTAAAGAAAAGTTGTCCGTAATCGGTATAAACTCTTGGGAGTTACTGTATTGCAAACAAACTGACCTTTCTGGGGTTGAGTAATAAGATTCTTCTGGTGAGCTGGACAAGTTTCTCTGAAGATTTTATGCCCGCGAGGTGCATACTGAAACAGGAAATTTGGGCCACTAAATATGTGTGAGGTATAGTAAAACAAATATAGTACGGTTTATTTCGGGTGGACAGTCGATATTTGCTCCCCGAGGTATTGGAAGTTGACAAACTAGTTCCTGAGGCAAACAAACCATGTTATATTTGTATATTGTGCAAAATACCTCTCCCCCTTCCAATAGTACATGTAGTATTAAATAGTGCGAACATGTCATTGCTTCATCAAAATGGTGGGGGAGGGAGGAGGGGGGAGAGGGGATTTCACATAGTGTACAGTGATTCTGTGGTTGGACTGGATAAGACTGTACAGTACAGTACATCTGTATGTATTTTGGAAACCTGCGGTCTGTCGGAATTTGTTTTGGTTTCAATTTCTGTCCCAGAACAACGTGCCTGCCCAGAAGCGAAACATTTGTACTTGTGAGGTTGTTGCCTTTTTTTAGCTTGGGAAACCCCAGTTCTAAATGTTAACAATTAGAGCTGGGGGATTCGGTTGTTCAATTTCAACATGTTTTAGTCAACAAATTGCCTTTTTCTCCCCGTATCACAACTGGTCAAGATAAAAATCACAAAAACACAGTACAGCAGTCATTTGTGAAACACAGGATATACTGAAAACAGAGCAATATTAAAATAACCATGAAAAACACCCCCCTCCCCAACAAGTCATTTGTGCTCAAGTTGCCTTTCACAGCATTCCCATCATTGGGATTGTCATGCTCTGTCCTGGTTCCCACCTTCTGTGTATCATGGCTCCCCATAAGAAAGTGCACATGTGGATCAGCTATTAGACCTCACCCTAACTCCCTAGCATGATTTACTAGGAACCATACCCATCCTGGCAATTTCCAACACCATATGGGAAACTGCACACACATATTTCTAACATTGATTCTGGAGGTGTGCCAGTCCAAAAGACTGTCAGTTTAGGGGTACTGTACCCATCCTGACAGATTCCAACAAAACATGCCATTGGGGTTTGATGGGTTGAGTACTGTTAGGGTTAAAGGCATGAATATACAACATTTGCTTTTGCTGTAATTTTCAGAAATAGATGGATTTTGGGGAGTTAGCACTTTATAGCAAATATTGTTACACTGACTTGTTTGAAGTTTTGTGTTTGTAGATGCTGGAAAAACCAAGAAAAACAATTGTGTGCTTGTAGTCTTTTTCCCTGACCCCACTTAAATTGAAATGGAGCAATTAATAGACGTCAGGGAATTGTAAGATCAGGGAACCAGTCTAGAAGGCTTGTCTCCTTCATATGTGTGTAATCGCTTGCAAACAAAATTCAGACTAAATTGAAAATTGGGGGCAATATTTGAAAAAAAGTCCAGTTTTTGTTTGTTGGAATTTGATACAAAATACCACTTTTCTTGAAAATGTCGGCACACCAGGTGCTATGATTTTACAGGATGTCCAGTCATCACTTACAGTCCAGTAAGGTATTTCATATTAATTTGGTAGTTTTTTTTTTTTTATGTTTGCATATGTTGTATTTTCCCTTTAAAGGGAATGTACATCATTGGCTTTTGCTGTAATTTTCAGAAATGGAGTATTTGAGGGGTTAGTATAATATATCAAATATTGTTACACTGACATGTTTGAAGTTTTATGTTCGAAAATGCTGGAAAAACCAAGAAAAACAAAATTGTTCAAGTAGTCTGGTTCCCTGACTCCACTAAAGATGAAATGGATCAATTTATAGTTGCCAGAAAATTGTAAGGTAAGGGAACCAGTCTAGCTGGCCTGCACCCGTTCATGAACATGTAACCAATACCAAACAAAATTTGGACTGAAAAAAGGGTAAATTTGGAGCAGTAGTTGAAATATAGTTAGGTTTTTCCAACGGTGGTCGGCTGACCACCGTTGGAAATGTATACAAAAATACCATTTTCTTGAAAATGACTTCACACCAGTTGCCATACTTTTACAGGATGCTTTAGACTCTCATTTACCAACATCCTAATAAGGTATTTCTTAAAAACTTGGTAGTTTTATTTTTGGATGTTTGCAAATGTTGTATATTCCCTTTCATATTCAGTAATTTACGTAAGCTCAAAAGACTTTATCTGTTTCTGTTTGTTTTCTCTTCTATTTCCGCAGCTGAAACTCTGACCCTATTACACAAGTCGGCCATGCCAATCTTCAAAGTCGCTTCGTGTCTGAATAGCCGTGGGCTGAGTGGCCCACGTCCCCCTCTGGAAATTGAACACCATGTCCAAACAGGGCTCGGGCAGTGATAAGGAAGAATTAGGAGAGAGGAACACAGCTTACCATGCAGGATTCCTGAGACCAGGTACGTGTTTTAACCCTCCTGCTATCTGAACAGTCACAGACAGTCAAAAACTTGATCCTCTTCCCCTGCCATGCCTTTTGCACAGGCTAGTCACCAACAGTCAGATAAGATTTCAAGCAAGCACTGCGACTAGTCAAATTCAGTCAACAGACAAAAGAAGGCAAGAAGTAGGCTACAGTCCTTCTGATTTGAGGCGTGCGATCGCACCCCCACGCCATCGCACGCCTAAAAGCTTCACGAGAAGTGGGAATAATCGCACGCCTGAATCCCTCTGTACCGCACACCTCGGCATTTATTTACTGCATAAATGTACTTCTGTGAGCTCTTGAAATGGCTTTACTGTAAACCAAGATGAATATTATAAACAACAGATTGTTCAGTCCCAGTTTGGACCACAGCATGAAACGCCTAGAAAAATCACTCGCCCAGAAAAATCACACACCTAGAAAAATCAAGGTGTGCATTTTTCCACACACCTTTGATTTTCAAATTAGAAGGACTTGTAGGCACAGCTGGCTTATCAGTCAGCTACAGTCAAAGCATAACTGCATAAAGTTACATCAACAGTCACAGCCAGTCATCCCTGCTTTATGTAGGCTGGGAGCTTTTAACTGTTGAAAATAGTCACTTGATTGATTTTGACTGACAGGACAACTTGGCACGAAGCAATGCTTGCATAAGAGGGTTAGTAATACGTTCAAGCAAATTTGAATGACTGTTACTGTCTGTTGCCTCGCTTTGCTGGCGAGTTGCCCGCTTCACAGACATTCACCCGCTTTGTACCGTAGGTGACCAACTCGTGAACACATGCCCACACACACACATGAAACCTTTTAGGCTTTATAGTACAGCGGTGATTCATGCCCTGCATACCAAGGGCTGTCGCGGCTGTGTTCATGTCTGGTTTGGATTTGACATAAGCTACATGTACTAGTAGATGTACATGATAACATTGTGTACTAACTAGTGCTTCAGACAAAATTTTTAGAATGGAAAATAAGCTTTTCTATCAGAATTGCAAACAAAAAAACCCTATTCTGAGAGTATTTTCAATTTACATTATGGTCTGAATCCAAATTATTGGATTGGAGTGGATGCATCCATCTAGCTTCATAACGGAAAACGATGGCCACTTACAAATGTAGATGTGTACAAAAATGTAATCAGCAGTATTTATGTAACAGACAAGTTAAGATAAGCCGTACATGCACCACACCCTTTTCATTAACCCTAACTCCCTAGAGGCATTTTTGCTAGGATGCAACCTCAATCCTGCAAAATCCTCCAACTGCCTCCATGTAAAAATTGCAGACAGCCTCAATCCTGGAAAATCCTCTGTTATTTCTTGAGTGTGGTCCTTGCAGGGGTGACCACTGCCTCAATCCTGCAAAATCCTCCAGCAATCACTGTCAATATGCAGAGCCAGTGACATCCTGGAGCCGTGCGGAGGATTCCAAGTATAATCTAGGCCTGAATCTATGCGCGGCTGAACATAAACAACACAAGGTCCGGCCCAAGATATTGACACAGTGCATCTTCCAAAATCAGCCACAATTTTTGCCATATAGCCTCAATCCTGCAAAATCCTCCATTTTGCAAAGAGGATTTGGAGGATTTGGGAAGGTTATGGTTAAGAGTGGAAGAGGCACATAGGCCTTCATCACACAGGTACTGCTCACAGACTTCCTTCCCCTTCCCCTTCCCCTTCCCCTTCCCCCTCCCTACCCCCAGTAACGGTTTCCAACTGACGTTGTAGGATTAGGCTACATTTACTTTGAGATAAATTAATATGCTTCTTTTGTTGTTGTTTTTTTTAATCAGGGCCACCACTACAATACCAAGCAACTGACATAGTTCATCAAGCTACCTCAGAAACACCTCACCATCCTTCCCGGCCGCCAAACTTTGCCCAGCCATGGAGAGTCGAGCGCCCGTTGAGCACCCTCCAAACCATCTCGGAGAGAACGTTGTACTCCACACCCTCGCCTGAAGCAGCACGGATCTCTTCAATGGGAAACAAGAATGATTCGGACAAGAGCCCGGCATATCTTGGCCCTTCAAGCAGCAAAGGGGACTTTGTGAGGACCGCAGCTGACAGACACGAGAGAAGTAGCCAGCCAGAGGTGGCCAGACATGAGACCAGAGATGGTGGCAACCTTATCAGCCATTCCGCACCTTCACACAGTGGGGACTGGCTGAAGCATACCCATAGCCAATCACTGACAGAAGCCCCTGGGACGAGTCAGCAAGTTGTGCCACTGGTTACCCCATCAGCTCTGGCAGACATGGGACATTTGTACAAGCTACCCACTGCCCCTTCACCCAGCCGACCCCAGATTTACCAGTCTGGGTTGTTTGCACCATTATACACATCGGCAGCTATTACACCACAGCAGTTCCCTGCATATGCCAGCCCTTCAGCTGTTCAAGTGTCAACGGTACCGGCCTACGGTCCATACCTAAGTGGGTATCCTCTCGGTTACCCCGTGGTAGCTGCCCAAGGTGCTGTTGGACCTGGCCCCTATCCAACAGTCGAGTCGTATTCAGCCATGTTAGCCAGCATGGGCAGTCAAGTGCAGCAAGCGCAAGGCACCCGTCTACCTGCAACGACTTACTTGCCACATGGAGTGATACCTTTACCGTACGGTACCCAGCTCACCCCCGGTGTACCTGGACTTCATGTGTTACCTAAAGGAGCTGTACAAGAGTCGCTGCCCACTGTAGCGTACATTAACCAGCAACTTGCAGCTCCGGGCATTCTTCAAAGTGGACCCCATGTTTTGACAAGTTTAGTTCCTGTGAGTGGTGGTATACTCAGTTTTCCTCCTAGAACCGAGGATGAGGCAAGCCGACTTGATCAATCTCAAGAGAAAGGAAGTGAGCAGGAGCCAGTCTCCAGTATACAATTGATTAGGGGGACAGGAGAAGACAGATCCACGCAGAGACACTCTGAAGCGTCACCGAGGCAGACCTTTGCAACTCAGCCACATGTGATGTTTGATAAACCAGAGGACCCGCGCCCGGAAAACCTCCATTTGGCAGCAGTTGAGAGGCAGTCTGTGCCAGACAGAAAGCCCTACATAGTACCCAGCATGCGTCATGAATCAGTCATTTCTGCCATTCCTCAAGGCAGCGATAAATCCAGGCCAGCTGGTCAAGAGGAACATCCTTCAGGGGAGCACTCCCGCTGGGCTGGAAGTGCGGAGGGGACAGGGGCTTACACCGTCTCGGTTCCACCAGCAGCACAGCATTCACCACATGTCCGGTTCCATCTGAGCCCCTCACCACAAGCCAGACCCTCTCCAACTATCGTCCACCCTCCGCCTGCAGAAACGGAAGGTGGGGCTACAACGGCGGTGACCACCTCTATGCCGAGCCAAATGTCTTACCTAATATCAGCAGCTGAAAGGGTCAATCAGACCCCGTCCCAACCCCAGGAGATGATGGCGCATTCTTCAACATTGGAGCCCGACCGCTCACGCGTCCAACATTTGCTGGCCGCCCCACAGATACCAGTGCCGCCAGCATTTAGCAACATACCCTCTTACTTCATGCTGGGATCAGTTATTCAGCTTGCAAGCGGGGAGTTGAAACGCGTGGAGGACATCCGAACGGAGGACTTTGTACAAAGTGCCGAGATGTGTGAGGGACTTAAGATCGATTCCAGTACCGTAGTACGGATCAGCGAGCATGCAGACAATGGTGTGGCACTCATTAGCTTCCTGGTTGGGGAGCACAAGGCTCAGGTACTCATATTTTTTTAACAGGTTTCATGTATTCAATGTTGTGTTTGCTAACTCCCTTTATATGTACAGGGTGAGTAAAAAAAACGAAACCCAAATGTCGGAACCATTGTTTTAGTGAAGTTCTGCATGTAGCACTTTCAAACTCTAGGATATGAAAGCCAAATTCATAAGCTTTCTTTTAGTACAAGAATCGTTCACATCACTCATGTGCTTTTCAAGTTACGGAGTTTTAAATACAACCACCGTTTAAAGTTCTGTCCACGGATCACTAAAAAGGTGTGCGTTCTTTCAGCAAAACTAAACCAATTCACACACATCCGTAGGTGATTTGTTTTTGTTTTGCTGAAAGAACACTCAACTTTTTTGTGATCCGTGGACAGAACCTTAAAACGGCAGTTGTGTTTAAAATGCCGTAACTTGAAAAGTACATAAATGATTTGAATAATTCTTGTACTAAAAGAAAGCTTATGAATTGGACTTTCATATCCTGGATTTTGAAAGTGCTGTATGCAGAACTTCACTAGAACAATGGTCCCGACATTTGGGTTTCGTTTTTTTTACTCACCCTGTATAGCGTTCCTATCATACATACCCTAAACTAATCCAGATTTTGTGTTCTATATTATTAAAAGAAAGTTATAACTGTGCCACTATTGCATAGCTGCCAACTATTACGAATTTTTCGTAATTATTACGAATTGTTTGTTAAATTACGAAAATACGATTTGCCACTAAAACATTACAAATTTCCCATTTTCTACCTAACGAGAAAAAAAATACTTGTAAAGTATCGTTTTTGACCGAAAACGTCTGGCGAAATGTCGCGATAATGGATGGACTGGTGACAAGTTTAATAAGAATGCAGTCAAGCACCTGATAGACATCAATGCAGTGTACGCAGTGGAGTACTTGAAGACCAGACTAAAACTATTTTTCAATGGTGTGTCATTTGTGTGCATCTCGTGGATGTGCAACCTCGTCCCCAGTGCTTACTTTATTTCCAACCGTGTTTCCAATAGTAAACCCTGGATAGGAAACTTTCTTCCTGTATCCTGATTGGATACCGCAATTGGCTAGTAATGGATTTTTATCGTGTACTTGGTGCTATTATTCACAACGTGCAGTACGTGTTTTCGCTATCATTCGTCCACGCCTTCTCGAAAATACTAATTTCCTTTCCAATTTGCTCATATTAATATGAAATATGATACTGCATGTTGTCTCGATAAGATCGTAACAGTTTGATTTCAAAAATGGTGTTTTCGTAACTCACGCCGTGCTCGCGCTGCTACGAATTGACTCTGTTTTTACCCCAGACACCGCATACAAAAACAAACGCTAATGTGTAACGCATATCCAGGCACCAGATTGTTCCTCATTTGCATACCTGTTCAAAAATCTTGCACATGCAAATGATCCAATACCAGGGTGAGAGAGCAGGTAGTGGTGGGCGTGTACTGCTCGACACCCTGGGGACGAGGTTGGTGGATGTGTGGTTGTGTGTACTGTATGTGAGTACTTTTCAGTGACGATCGTGAGCACAATTGGTCGCTTATTGCCGGGATAAGACCCATCAGTGCGAGTTTTTATTCATGGAATTTATTAAGAGTATGGTTGGAATAATTGGTAATAGAGTTTGAATTTGTCACAACGTCCAGAAAAGATAAATCAGCATGCGTTTGCAAGGTATGTTGGCGGGATATTTCTATTGCATACGGTGGCCCTAAATCATTGTGTGTAAAAACATTGATACGAACTCGAAACTCCACATCGATAGCATGCATCTAAAAAAAAATATGCGCACATGTTATTATTGTTATTATTTATTTGACTTCAACAAACAAATACAGACATTAAAACTATTTTTTTATATTTTTTTTTTTTATATTATCTTTTGGCCTACAGTACATTATTATTCACAACAAGAAGGGTATGCACATGTATGTGTACATGTCCATGTAAACCATGTACCTATACTCGATGTTGGTAAAGCTTTTGATAAAACGAGCAGTTGAAAATGACCGCGTGGGTTGATTACTAATTGGGATTTTGAAAAGTTGGCAGCTATGCTATTGATTTCAAAATACAAACAATGTGTCAATGTTTTCTGCAAAGTGGCAGATTTTGGAGAATTCAGGAAGGTTCCCTGAAAAAAATGTTCATGCTTTGCCGAATTAGGAGCTTTTCACAATAAACGTTTTTCTCCGTTGGTTTTGCAGGTGTCATTAGAGGCTCCCATGGAGCATCCATTTTTCGTCTTTGGACAAGGTTGGTCGGCGGTCAAACCTGACCGATCCTTAAAGAGCTACCACCTCGGCTGCCACAAACTGGCAGTCGGCGACGTGTGTGTATCGTTAACTGTCAAGGACAAAAACGGAAGGTGGTTGCTTCAACCGCAGCTGTCGGAGCAACCCTTGTCACAGCAGCAGCATCAGCAACTGCAGTCGCATCAAACACAGACGTATCAACAACTGCCAATGCTGCCGCCGCAGCAACAGCAACAGCAACAACAGGAAATTCCAATGCAAAGTGTGTTTTCAAGTACCCCGAAAGAGTTACCGTCTTGGTCCCCGGAACCCAAGAGACAAAGACTTCTGGAACCTGTTCAGGAGGACGCTGGCTGGGAAGACAAGCCAGACCCCCGATCCCACACCTCCTGGCAACGCGAAGCCCAGCAACATGGCAGCCATCTTGAATCCACTTCACAGTACGCGTTTGCGGTTCCGCCTCCGGTGAGTGCTAGTGTGTCCATGGAGCAGCCAGCGATTGCTGGAAAGCTCACTGCGCAGACGGATAGCAATGCAAACATGGTTCTGGTACGGACAGCCAACACCCTGGCCCAAGAAAAGAGTCCGAAATTGTCACCGAGGACGGACGGCAAACCTTTGCAGCCGCTGAAGCGTCGATGGTCAGATCCAATGCACCAGGCTCAGTTAGCTGCAGAGCAAGAGAAGTATGGGTTATCCACAAAACCAACTGAGTCACAGTGAAATAAGAGTTTGTAACTCCTATCACAATACTTTATGGGGAACATCGATTCCTTTTGAGGCCAGGTCATGCTTAATGCAAATGCCAAAATGAAGCAAATGTGATGTCACGCAAAATTCACCAGAGTTAAAAATAGTGGGAACTTTGTGACAAAATGCAATTATTTGACATGACGTCAAAAATTTGCATTGGCATTTGTGCTGAGTCGATTCCTTTTGAGGCCAGGTCATGCTTAATGCAAATGCCAAAATGAAGCGAATGTGATGTCACGCCAAATTCACCAGAGTTAAAAAGAGCAGGAACTTTGCGACAAAATGCAATTATTTGACATGACGTCACAAATTTCCATTGGCATTTGTGCTGAGTATGAACCGGTGTCATATGAAATTAAGACTCCTATGGAATCCGGTCTCTTTGACCTTATATGGGCTCTTATCCTTCACGCGTGACCTAACACTGTCCGAATTATCTTCACTTAAGCATGCACAATACAACCCATGAAATCCTATTTCATAAGAGTCCAATTTTCCACACTACACTAGCCTTAACTTAAAGGGCCCATGCAATGTAATTTTTTTTAATGCAATCCTAGAAAATGCATCTTTGTGTCCCATTCAACCTTATCTTCAATTTTTTTGTGCTATTGTCAAGGGAAGTTTGGTGCATTTGGTTTTTATGCTCATTCAAATTTCCATATTCATGAGCAAAAGTGTGATGTCATTTTAGGCAGAAACCTTAATTTCATCAGTTGTTTTAGCACCAAAAGTTGCCAGAAATGTGAATATTTTGCTGTCGTAAAATTTCTTTTCTGTGATGATTCGCTGTTGTGTCAGTACATGGCTGTAAGCCAGTGAGCAAACTTTTCTCACAGATGTTTTCAATGAGCAAATTTTTGGGGTCACAATTTGCACAGAAAACCCCTAAACTGAACAGTGTCTTCCTGAAATGACATCACAGCAACAGCGCCCTCAGTTGTCTTGAGAAGCGTGGATAATTTTAAATGTTTAAAGAAGTGCACTTTTCAATAACTCATACCAAAAAGAGATGTCAAATATTTTTAATATATGTAAGAGGAGTAGAAAGTTGCAGAAATATATTAAGAAGAAAAATTCATTTCATGGGCCCTTTAAATCCTTAAAAATCTGTGTAGTTTGAAAAATGTTTTTGGCATGGGGAAGGGGTAGTCAACAGATAAAACAAAGCCATGATGTCAAGCAATACATGCAGTTGATATTAATACAACAAAATACATCTTAGGTGCATAGCATGGGATTTAAAGAAGTCTTCTCTTCAGTTCATGTTACTGTCATTTTCTGTCAAATGTATAAAAAGGAATGTCTTAAATCTCCCAACATATAGCCTTGACCACTTTGAGCACTTCTTAGAAACATCGTGAATTTCTGATTCGAAACATGTTCCCATTTTAGGAATAGTAACCTTGCATGCACAATGCACATTGACTAGAGCCCCCCCCCCCCCCCCAACGCTGCTCCAACAGGATCCAACTATTTTGCATTTACATGTATGTCAGATTCTTTTGGATTGAGCGGTAAAAATCCTTGTCTACTCCTGCTGGATTTTGTTAGATTCGGTTGGGTTCTGTTGCGTTCAGGAGGCAACGGTCGGAAAGATAAGGCACAGTTGACCAGCAGCTTAGGAAATTTGAAAAGTAACAGTTCAGGCTCGATCCAGGTCAAACAGACTGTTTGGACAGTGTGGAAAGGCCTTTCTAGTTGTTGGACTTCGATGGGTTCAGCAAGATGCTGAGAGAAAATAGGAACAAGTAGTGTTCCCTTTGTAAAAAAAAAAAGATGAAAATTGAGATTAACCCTATCTCCCTTGAGTGATTTGCTGAGAACCTTTCTCACTCCTGCAAATTCCAACATCATGGTAAATTCTACACCCAAACTGATTATGGTGGTGTGCTTAACCCAATAATCACTAGTGCAGTACTCACTCCAACAGATTCCAACAAACCCTGGTGTTGGAGTTTGACTGGATGAGGATTGTTTAGTGTATTGCCATTATGCGATTTCACTCTGAATTATAGGAAAAGTACGGGTGAATGTAACTCTTGCGTCTGGAAAATTATACATAATAATTGTACCTTCCTTACTGTCTGCCTAGGGATAACTGCTGACGATCATATAATGTAGACAATATGTTATTGTCAAGGTTTTTCCCCCAGTATGTTAAGTTTTTGGCAGTGTGCCAGGTATTTGCTTTATGGATTGACTGGAAATTTCTCATGTACACAATGTACATGTACATGAAACTAGACTAACTTGGTCTTTCAGATATTTATACAAGCGAAGAATGCCCGATCAGGTGTTCACCTTTAATTTTTAAATTTGGTTTTCATTATCTGGACTGTAGTGGTCAGCTTAAAAGTCAAACGACAATGTCAAACAACAATGTCCAAGTGCCACATACCAGTTGTCTTCACCCTAACTTCCTTCAGTGATTTAACCTTAACCGCCCTGAATCCTTCAAAATCCTCTTTGCCAAAGTGGAGGAATTTGGAGGATTGAGGTTACATGGCAAAAGTGCGTTACTGATTTCGTGGGATGCACCTTGTCAAGGTCTTGGGCCGGACCTTGTGTTGTTTTTGCTCAGCCATGCATAAATATAGGCCTGGATTATACTTGAAATCCTCTGTACTGCTCCAGGATGTCACTGGCCAAGCCTCAACATATTGACAGTCACTGCCGCAGGATTTTGCAGGATTCAGGCGGTGGTCACCCCTCCACTGACAATATTCAAGAAATAATGAAGGAATTTGCAGGATTGAGGCTATATGCTGTTTTTCCATGTGACCAATTGGAGGATTTTGCAGGATTGAGGCTGCATCCTAGCAAAAGGCCTAGGGAGTTGGGGTTAATAGCCTACCTTTCTCACTCTTGCAAAATCCAACATCATATTGTAAACTCAACACCGAAACTGTTGGACTCTAATTATGGTGGTATGCCTGACCCCATGTAAAGCATAATCAGTTTACTAGTGCAATCCTCACTCCAACAGACTCAAACAAAACAATGAAAACATGCAGTTGGATTCTGAAGGGTTTGGGGTGGTTAGGGTAACAAAGCAAAATCAGGCCTTTGTTAAATGTTTTTCCTAACGGTTATACATTTTTTGCCACAAAAAAACCCTGTATACTAATAAAAAAAAAAAGGCAAAAGCTTGTTGTTTTTTATAATTTAAATAAAAATTAATTTCCAATTTCAGTGAAAATTGCCTACAATTTTTTCCTGACCATTTTGAACTGCAAACAGGAATATAAATTGACAAATTGCAAAATCCACTTGAGTTAATTCACACGAAAATGTTTAGGATCGTCAAGGGTTCATAATGTAACGGGGGAAAAAGCATAACCTTTTAGGAAACACTGCTAACCTGATCGACCCCCTTTATTTTTCCCTTTTTATGTGTGTCTAGTCGCGTGTGTCTGCTCCCACTTGCAACAACACTCTGAATAGAAACATGACATTGCCCCGTAGTTGAACCTCACATTAAAAACGAAGTTGGTGATTTATAACAAAGTAAGGGCAGGCTGTGTTTAAAGGTAGAGTACATCATTTGCAGCCATCCAAAAAGGTAACTGACCAAATTACTGTTGAAAAAGCTACTTGGTTTAAAGATAGTAGTGGCACTAAACTCCCTGTGAAATTATTCCTTCTGGCATGCTGTCATTTTGGAGAAAGCAATAAAATGTCATTTCCAAAGATGCGTATAAAGACGCATCTTTTGAAATTTTCGTTAGTCGTTTGAATTTAATTCAGCGAAGCCTTGAATGGGTACGCACAAGCGTTGACATGACGCACCACGCGCGCGTGGTTGATATAATTCGTCGGTTTAGTGCCTGACATTGCGGAGCTGCAATCGGCTGAATAAAAACGTGACCCGGACGCTGATTTCGGGCAATATTCAACACATGACTCGCAACTCTTTAATTGAAATTGAGATCCTAGAATATTGTTTTTATCGAAATTTGCAGCATTCTCTGAGCTAAAGTTTCATCAGGTTAGGTATTAAGCATCCGTCTTAGACTCTTTACATTTAGAACACTTTTTGTTGGTATTCTACCTTTAAAAAGAACAAAGAACATGTAACAGGAAGAGGTTAGCTTTTTGTGCTATCAGTGAACAGACTTCTATGTACATGTTTTACGCACTTGGTCGTATACAATGTACATACACATCTGCATTGTATGTTCATAGCCCAGGAGTGCCATCCATATTAAAACTACAACAGTTTGCCCTAACTCAAATGTAAATTTTAGTAGCCTTGATAGGGTTAAAAGTGAAGCTTGCACCTTTTTATTAATTTGTTAGACAGATATTACTAGAATTTTGGTTTAAGGTTGTGAAATACAAATGTAGTTTAGAAAACTGTGTAAAATGTGACTTTTTGCGTTCATTTTTGTGTAGCATTAGCTGCGTATTTCGGATATGCTGCTGCAAATTTTTTTAACACAATTTTTTTCGTGGGACTTATTTTGAACATGGTTTTACAAGCCGGCTATCAGTCATAAAGAGAAAGGTAAATGCTTTTTTTTTTAATTTTATTTTTAGACAAATTTCCTTAAAACAAACGTCTTACATCAAGATTGGTTTGCGATTCAAAGTTCCATTGGATTTAAAGATGGTGTGTACATGTACATAAATGTGGTTCATTTTTTCCTTTCCGCAAACAAACAAAAAAGCTTAAACAGGAAAACGGGTAAAGCAGACAAGCGGTTATTTTCACCTGATGAAGGAAGCTACTCACAGGAAACATGTCTGTATTTTGGTGAGTGGTGTAAGGCCGGGCATGTTTGAAGGGTAAAAACAACAGCACCAGTCAAAACTTATGAAAAATTACAGTTCAATGAAGCAAAAACACTTACAGCTGGTCATGCATTTAAATTTGAAATGTTTTTGTTTTGTTGATGGAAATTTTCATAAGAATATACCATGCATTTTGTTTTTCCTTTTATTTTTGTAAACCTGAATTTTATAAAATTTTATTTCCAGAGATTTTGTGTGTGGTGGATTTTGACTGGTGTGTGTGGGAGAGCAATAAAAGTGTGTGATTATGAAAGAACTTTAAAGATAAAAAAAATATAAAGATGTTTTTAAATCGTCTGTTTATAGACCTCATCAGTATTTTATCTATATTTACATGTACTGTAAAAAAAAAAAAATGTGTAAACAATTGTATAAATTCCTAAAAACAAAAATGTTTTAATAAAATGTTAAAATTGAAAATCATTCGCAGTATAGTTGTAAACGCTTATATTGATATGTACTGTAAAGTGTATTTTATTTGTAGATAACTTGAATAGAGAAGAAAGGGCTATAAACTTTATATTGTGTACATGCTACCACATTTCCTGGGGGAAAAGAAATTGTATATAGGAACATGGAGATCATGACATCTACATTAAGGTTTAAAATTTTAACTGCGTTTGCTGACTTAACATCTGTTAGACTTTTAAGATATATCAGAAGAAAGATAAATTAATTTTTTTTTCTGCACTCTGGATCTAGTTGTATGAAAGTCCACATTAAAAGTAGGATACTTTCGTTTGAAAAATGAATGGACGCCTGTTCGCTTCTGAAAGATGTTACAGACGAGAATTCGGAGGAAAAGATCGGAACTTTGTGATTTCTTTTCATAAGGTTTCTCATAAACACTCAGGAATTTGCTTTAGAATGTCAAACTGTTGATGTGGAATGATTTACCTCGGTAGAATTTTGAAACAAATTCACCGCCAGTTTCACAGACAATTTCAATAGCACACGGTAAAACACCATGAAATGGTGATGTGTATGTTAATATGCAGACTATTTACAAGTCCATTTGTAGTATTTTTCACTCTATTCACAATGGAATTTATATTGAGAGGGCAATCGGAATGTGAATTCCGACGGAATTATGCATGTAGAAAAATATGTTTACTCAGCATTTGCTACTCAAGAAAATCTCTGTGTACACCAGTTATTTATTTTCCGTTTTTATGATTTTGCACATTTCAGAATGTAAGAGAATGAACTTATAAATAGTTCGGTAATTTTTTGGATTTTCATATTGTTCCCCGCCCCCCAAATTGATTTTAGCATGTTTTAGCGAGATATTTTAGTGGCCATTGACAACGATGCTGCATGGAGCTTGCTCGTGTGTCCCAGACGCTTAATTAAAAAAAAAAAGCTTTCAATTTAGTGCGCCTTCAAGTTTATCTTGAATATTATTAAATACACACAAACGAGTTTCCATCAAATAAGTTCTTATAGGGTGCGATGAAATTCTGGAAATTATGTGTTTAAAATAATTCTTATTTTCACATAGCAAAAAAAATGTCTAGAAAGGAGACTTTGAACTTGAAGATACCAATTTTATGTGTGTTTCTGCAACCATACTTCATCTGTAGAATGTTTGTATCAATGTTATTATTCTTTTTTAAGATGCATAAAAGATGCATTCAACTTTCAGTTTCTTTCGTCATTTTTTTTCAGCGGGGTTTTAATGATAACATGAGCAAGACCGGGGAACTTTCCGTCTGGAATGCGAGTTGCATTTTCTTTGCCTGTATCCCGAGTCAGAAAGTTAAAAAATGCTTTGTGTTTTACCAGTCCGTAAAATCTTGCACTTTCAGTAACGGCCCTTATTTTGCAGCTGTAGCGTATAGAAGTACTAAAGGTTATCAGATATGAACGCTTTCCCAACTGTCACTTTTGGTGTTTTATCCAATTTTTTTTTTTATATATTAAATATAGAACTGTAAATCGTTATGATCTATAGTTATACTAGATCCTTATAGATCATATTATTGTTTATGATCTGTTGAATCCTGAAGGCAAAATAAACATTCAAAATAAATATTGAAAATTGCCAAGCTCTAAAAGTGTGTTATTTGTGTTTTGTTCATGCATGTTGGGTTTTTTCAGTTATCTTTTTTTATTTTTTTTTATTTTCTGGAAAACTGTTACTGAAATGTTTCATTGTTGTAATAAATTGTGTTAAACAATTTTTACTGGAATCAACTACTTCCATCTGTTTTCTTGCTATAAACATTGAGCTATAAAAAGGAGGCTAGATAGAACATGCCAAGTACAACCATGGAGGTAGCATAACTTAAGGCTACAGATAGAACATGCCAAGCATATAATATGAGCGCAATACAACTGTTAGTTGCGATCTGACCTACTACATGTAATAGGTGAAACAATGTCCCAGGTTATTTTATGTAGGTGTCCCCCCGTGCACTGTGCCAGACGCTGTACTTGTACTTCTGCGCATGCGCTACACTGTAGATCGTGTGCTTTTCGTGAGTGGAGCTGGGAGTTTTTCGACGAACAGAAATTTAGAAAATTGTGTTTAATATCGTTGATTTTTGAAGCTGGTGAGTTTTTTTATGCGTCAGCAGCCTTGTCTTGTATCATAGCCTATTTTAATGGTTTCGTAGATGCGTAGGTGGTTTTATAAATGGTGGAGATTAAGGTAGAAAATTGGCCACATGATGAGTGTTAACGATGACGTCGTCGATGGACGATGAACGTGCTTGGTAAACGTGTGAATGCGGCAGCCGTGAATGCAGTGAAGCTACACTGCGTGTTGCATTCTGGGACATCCTATAAACGACACTTTTGTTATTGACAGTCGAGTCTATGGTAGGGGGCTAGGCCTATAAATAAATTGATCGTATAAATATCCATTTGTTTTTGATGTGGTTTGTAGAAAAAGACATAGGCCTAAGAAACATTCAATTCAAGTTTGGATTCCCACGGATTCTGCAAATGCCTAAGCAAATGCTTGGAAAGCCGAAGAAGAATTGATTAAACTAAGCAGGGATTTTTTTGCTTTGGGAAGAGTTCCAATCTGGCCACCACTTATGAGTTATTCACTGCCGAACACAATTATCTTCACCTCACCTTGTGTTTTCATGGTCGATAAATCCAGGCATTAGGCTTGGGAAAACTGAAAACATGATCGACTTAGTCTGAGGAAAAATGTGGTGTTTTTTTTTTTTTAAAAAGAGCACATTTTGGGTGCACACATTGTTCGAACAGCCGATAGGCAGCTGCAGCCAGTGGCAGCCATATTGAACTTGAAGAGTCTGGAAGTAGTGCACTTGACAATGCACTAGCCAATAATATGCGATATGGCCTACCTCATGAATATTTCATTTCTCATGAATATTTAGCTTATTCAACAGGCACCTTAAATATATCAAATGGACCCGCAACGGCAATAAAAGCAGATAAAGACTCGTGTGTTTAATTAGAAAGTTTCTCGCCCTCCAGGTTCGATTCCCAGCAAGACCAATGAATGGTCGTAAGTGAAGGATAGGGGTGAGAGTCGAGAAGGGAAAGTAGAGGAAATAACGATGTAGGACAAAACTTTTTGGCACTCCTAAATTTATTGAAAAAAGTGGCGGCCGGATATGTAACTGTTTCCATTTTTTTGTCCTTGAAATGTGTACATTTAATGCAGAATGAAGTGTTGATTATTTTGCACACCAATTCAGAGTGCAGATTATGACTGAAATGCTTAAAACTTACATTTTCTCCATATCATTGTCCTTAATTCTAGCTCCATTCTATGACCACGGCCTACCCACATGACCTTGAAAAGTTAGGGAAATTGTGGCATTTTTCCACGGGAATCCTTCAGCCTGATACTTGGCATGCATGTTCACTTGCTCAAGTATCCCAAAAGTGGCATAAATGATAAAAAATACCACACAATTACATTCTAGGGCTAGCATCATACCTACCTTCAAATGGTCCCACAATGTAATGCAACATAGGGTACCTTCACTGCACATTTTTGAGCTGGGAGTTATCTGTAAAAATGCCCGGGGGCGTAAGGGCCTTGCATATAGCAAATCTTTGAAAAGTGACCTTGGTTATAAAATATTTGGCAATATAAAATTGGAAAGAATGGTGCATCCTGACGCCACTTTTTTTGGTTGTGTACAAAGTCTATGGAGAGTCGAGTGCATTTTCGAAGTATTTTCTAACAAAATTGGAAATGTTTCTCAGTTCCAGATTCATGTCTTTTCAACATTTTTGCAATGACTGACCTTCATTGAGATGAAAATGATGAAAAAAGTGGTGTCAGGATGCAACATTCTTTCCATAAAATTGTTCCGACTTTAAATTTCCCAAATCGTCCAAAGCCACCCACATGTAAGCCAGCAAGGTAAATGGGGCCTGCTGAAAAAAAAGTACAAGTCCAAGTCCTGGACCTGATGAGTGTGGATCCTTGGGCCAAAATGTTGAACACAAAATAGTAGCAGTGGCAATCTTTGAACCAAGCAACACTGCAAAGCCATAGTACTTGTGGTGGGGTATTCTGCATTTGTGCAAAAATACTTGACTCCTTGGCCGTCTAATAATAGTCGGACTTTGTGCACAGTTATCAAGTAGTTTTGCTGCTCCATGTGTCATGTAATTGTATAAAGGTAAGATACATGTACATGTAGGTGATCGATTTTTTAATGCATGTAGTTATTATTTGTATACAAGTTAGCTGCAATGTTTATTATGCTAAGTTTTTGCTGACCGTTTAAATTTTCTTAAGTGTAGGAGGAATGCAGTATCATAATACCACTTTTTCCATGTATTTCACTCCAATGATAAGTTGTTGCAAACTTGTTGAAAGAACAAAAATTAATATGGAACCATGCAGTAAATTCAGTTTTGTTTGAAAATAATTTGCAAACTCACACGACTCATTGTAGACTTTTTATCTAACAAAGTGGTGTCTGAATACTATATTCTTTCTCATGTTATAAGTCATTACATTAGCCTATGTAGGCCTTGACTAATGCTGAACTTGGACTGCAGTCGACTATCTGTTCCAGTTGCAGTGATTCAGGTGCTGCATTTCAAAATGTAAGAAGAGGTGACTGGGGGCTTGTTCTATGGAGCTCGTAAATATGCCCAGTATACGAAGGAAAAAAAGGATTCCTGCAGAGAGGTTACAAGCCATGAGAGATTTGCTTTTGGCAATCTGAAAACTGATACAGTCAACTCTTTGTTGATACAAAGTCTGTTAATACAAATTCTGGTTAAAGCAAACATTAAGTCATGGGTCCCGACTGTTTACAATGAAATGGGACCGATGCTCCTTTTTAATTCTGATGTAACAAACGTTTTGGCTAGGTCCGACTGAGTTTGTATTCACGGGAGTCGACTGTACATGTAATGATGTTTTTGTATGCTTTCTCAGATTATGAGGCAACATATTCAGCCCCATGAAACTTGGCCCTTGTACAAATGTTTGTAATGTATGTGTAAATTTACAGTGATTTATCTCATCCACCTTGTCGAATTCGACTAGTAAGGAATTTCCAAGAGTACACGTATACCATTTGTGTTGCATTTTGTTGGTCTTGGAAGTTCGAAACGTCAGCAACAACTTAGTTACCCCTTACAGATGTGTTAAATGCATAGAGCTATATTAAATTACTAGGGTGCTAACTTCATTCTTACGCGCGGAGATACTTTGAAGCCGTCCTGTGCGCAGACGTTTTGAATTCATGTGCGTGTTTGTAGAACATAATTAAATTAGATGGAGTGGATTTTGAAAGTCTGCTCTAAATGTAACGTGCAAGAACAACATACGCAAACAACTTAAGCACGCCATGGCGGTTAAAAAACGTCACAGCAAAAATCAGCTGCAGCAGATATGCGCACGCGTTTGCGTTGTTTGCGCAAAGCAAAATGAAATGCTCTTGTACTGATTGTGCGTTTCGGTTATGAGCGCATCACCTTCAATAATGCACCTGTATAGAATACAAATGCAGATATGCAAATAGCCGTACAAAATTTGGAGTTTTCCATAGGTTTGTGCACAAACATGGATGCGCCCAGCACGCATCACTTTGTACATCGAGTCAGCGCTCTACAAATTTAATATAGCTCTATGGTTAAATGGCACTAGAAGTTCCCGATCCGGTATGCCCCCTGCCCACTGCGCATTCAGACAACACCACGTGCGCCTTACCAGTACCACACTGTTCTAGCTGCAGGGGACATTCAACACTTACTTGCACCCATGTCCAACTTCTGTGCACACATGTCGGACATAAATTATGGCTGTGATTGGTCGAAACGCTGTGGGGTGGGTCATAATGGATCAGTCTTAAAGACATTTTTGTCTTTATAAGTTATTCAAATAAGCTGTAATATACTCTTATATTTGTAAATGTTGGAAAGTTTTGGAAATTAAAAAAAATAATCACAAACCAGCTGTGTGGAACCTTTCATTTGTAGTGTTGTGTGTTTTTATTAAAGTTGTTTTAAAGATATTTCCAAACTTGCATATCTGTATTTACATGTATGTCTACATGTAGTTGGAGCCTCATTTTTCTGCTCCATGCTGACATTTTTTTTCTTCTGTTTTTTCATTTTTTAAACTTGCAGTTTTGCTGTTTTTTCAATATCGTCGTGACATTTTTCTGCGACTTTTTTGGTGACGTTTTTGGAGTCATTTTTCAAGACCTTTTTGCAGACATTTTTGACATCCCTTTTAAAAGACGGTGAGTACTTTTTTTTATTTTTTCCCCCCTGAAAATTTTTGTGAAGTGTTTTTTGTAAGTTTGTATTTCAATTTTTGTTTTTGAAAATTTTGAATTACGTGGAGGTGATTTCTTTACGAAAAACCTTGAATTGGGTTTTGCTTCCCAAAGATTTTATTGGAAAGGCTCATCCGAATGTCTGACCTTTGCCCCATTTTCAATATACTAACTGACTTGTAGTCTGCCAAAACGTTTTGTTGCATCCTCTTCAGCTTGTGTAATTTCAATCCCAAAATCGGCCTAGAATTTTTACACACCGAGCGTTTAACCCTAACCCCCTAGGCCCTATTACATAGTAGGAACCATCCTCGGTCTTACAAAATCCTGCAATTGCCACAATGTCAAAATTGGATTCAGCCTCAATCCTCCGAAATCATCTGTTATTTTCCAATATGTTGAGGGGTGACCATTACCTCAATCCTTCAAAACAGTCGCTGTTATAAATGGGTTGAGGCAGCGCTGATGATATTGAGCATAGATCGGGGGCTCAGTTATGCGTGGCTGAACATAAACAATGCAGGGTACAGCCTACGAACTCGACACAATGCATCCTCCAAAATGAAGCAACAATTTTTTGCCATTCATCCTCCATCCTTTTAAAAATTCTCCAAAACCATTTGTGGGATTGAGGGTTGGGGTTAATGAGTTGCTATCACATTTTCATTTTTTTTCTACATGTATTGTGGGCACACAAGTTTGTCCAAATTATGAACAGAGCAACAATGAGCACATTATTTTGCTAAACAGTTTAGTTTTTGGCGGGCGTCTGGATGTAGACTTGTAAAATATTTAAAACGGTGGTTTGTCATGTGTACATGTTAACATTTTCAACCCAACTTGATAAGAGAAATTCCTGGATGACAAAATGTGGTACGAAAGTGTATCAAGTATAAAAGGGTTCATTAATCCAACCAATATCGTCTTGGGAATCTTGTAGTATCCGTGCCACGCGCATGCACCCGTTTTCGCCTTGTGCATGCAGCGTGCATTCAAAACATTGCATATTGACTCCAAACCAAACCAAATTTTTGCCAGTACTGAGTACATTGTTGTATACAAGATTCTACCCAACTTGTGTGCATCTTCATGGCAACTCTTTTGTTGAATTCAGTTCGTGTGCGACTGAAAATGGACCGTATTTGCCTACAGTAGTAACACAAGCATTTTTCAAGGGGAGATAGCGGTTCCCTCATACATGTACATGTAATTAGTGGTTTGTCACTTTGTTGTGATAATGCCCTCTTGCGGCGGCAGGTGATCACGATCGCAACATCTTTACCCAAGACTAGGGGTTTGGGAAATTGTGACTCGGCAGTTCATTCTGAGCACTGTTTAAAACATGGGCCAACAACTATTTGGGGGTTCAAGTTCCTGCCTTTAAAACTTGGGGAACGGGTATTTCCATCACAAATTTTGTGACATTTCTTTGAGGACTCAAGTTTGTCAGATTGTGATGACAGATTTCATCATCTCTAAAGTATACGTTGTAGTCATTAGGCCCCCCAAAAAAGTATTCGGTTTCTGGTATGCGCGCGTGTCGCCCTAGCCATGCGCATCAGCAAAATTAAAAACTTTTTTTTTTTCAATGTAAGATGATGTCTCAAAACCGCCAAACTTGCTTGTTTGACAGGAACCCTGCTGCTGCACAATTTTAACGTGTTTTTTTTATGGGGGGGGGGGGGGAAGTCAAAAAAAGCCGCGTCGTCGCACCACTTTTGGGGCAAGCTCCATGTACCAAAAACCGGAGGCTTTTTTTTTTGGCCTTATGGTAAAAATGAAAGTAAACAGAATCAAGCACCGTTGATGCCATGCGCCTACATTCTTCTCCGAAGACAGGTTTGTGCACTTGGAAGATGGAAAATGTGCATACACTTGCACAAACCAGTCCGTGCATATGTGTTAGAATCTTCCAGCGAACTTGAATCCTTGATCTCGATTAGTCGATCCAGGGCAACAACAGTGTGATATATACCTAATGCCATGGTCCATATCGCACTCCACGTATTGCGCTATTCTAAGATGCATGCGCTATTCCTACTGCACGCACGTGTAATAGGTGAACTGTTGAAGAGTTCGTGTAGGACAAGCGTGTTGCATCTGTGCATCAAGTTTGCTTGAAGATAAATTTGTTATCCTGTTCGTGCTCGGGGGGAACATGGGATAATGTAGTGCGTCTGTGCCCCATATACCACACGGCCTTCCGCCTAGTGGCATGTGAGACACAGATGCACTGCATTATCCCGTGTTTTGCTCACGCTAGTGGGATATTAACTTACTGTCCTACAAACTGGCTCTCGTAAATTAGTTGTTGGCCAAGCACTGTTCTGCTGTACACACATCTGAGCTACTGCTCGCATGTGTACTGCCTTTGGAGTCAATACAGCTTCACTTTCTCATAAAAATTATCTTTGAAGTAAGTTAGTTTTGTTCCATCAAAACTAATGCGGGAGGAACCACCACCAAATTAAAGAAAGCCTTAGTACCCCGTGCTCTGAAACACTGAGCGCCCTCAATGAAAATGCAATAAAAAATAATCTTCATTTTGCTGAATCTCTCCATGGTCTACACATAATCAATCATTCTTGAAAGCAAGGTTCACAAGCTGTGCACTTATGTGCAATTTGCAGTTCCTTCAGACATGGTAAGTTTAATTTTACAAAGCACACCGTTCATTATTTATTGTTAATCACCCATTGGCAAAAACTACAATCACAGAATATGATTTTTAATTTACTGTAGCCTTAGTCAAGGCATGCAGTGGTAGTGTCTGATGATCAGTGCCACTGACATATACAGCAGCCACGCGCTATGCACTCGCACGTATGTACTGTTTGAAACGCGAACAGCGACCCCAAGCGGCTAGGCTACAATATGCAAATCAGGTGGTGTTGAATGAACGCCTGTTTACATCCGTGGGCTTTGGCTGATATTTTTCTTTATTTTGTCACTGGATTTCCAACGACGACCCAATATGCGAATAAAGATGAGATTATTACTCAGTGCTTGGTCGTGGAGGCTCATATTTTACATGGACATCGAGCTAGCTCTTCATTCTCCAAAAAGTTTGGAGTCCGCAGACCAAATATAACTTCATATAAATCCAGCGACAGTATAACATAAATTATGGTTATGGTTGTTCCAAGACATTCATTCAGCCCCACCTGATTTGCATATTGTAGCCTAGCCGCGTGAGGTCGCTGTTCGTGCTTCGAACAAAACGTGTAAGTGTATTGTTTGCGACCAACCATCGATCATCAGACTTTATCGTCGAACACCTCGACCAAGGTTAAATTTACTGATGCAATTTAAAAACAAAAAGTAGGATGCTTACAGATTGGATGCCAAATTTATTGACCCTGTGCACCAGTTTTGGCCAAATTAGTTCTAATAGCCCAGTGGATGGAGAAAGGCAAACATACTGAGTGCCTATTCAAATCTTTGCCAAAAGCAAAACCGGAATAAAGCTCTTGTTTCATGTATTGAATGAATTATTCCAACCACTGTCCAGTGGCAGTGTGCAAAACATGTATGCATGAATATTCTTTGGTACCTACTTGTGATGGGGGAATCGGAGATTTCAAACTCTGGCTATCCTTTTTTTGTCCGAATAAGGGTCATCCGATTTCTCCGAAAGCTCGCATTCAGCTCACAGTTACGCCAACAAAAAGTGACGAGTGAGGTGTCGATGCAATGCCTTCCTCGATAATTGGTTAAATAGTGTTGGACTCAGTGAACACTGGGCTTTATACAAAAACACTCCAGAGCTGTAATGTTTGGGGGAAAAAAAGTTGGGAACTCTCTGATCAGTCGAATGGGCAGGCTACTCATGAACCAAGAAGACCGCCTGCGAGGAAATGCAAAACCTTACAATCAGAGACCATGGAGCAAATTGGGGAATGTCGCTGTTGTATTCTTTAGCTTGTGTCACAAAAATGGAAGGCTGAAATTTTTGAAACGTTGGTTTCGAATATCCGGTTTCCAAAATCCAAACCGAATAGTGGAATTCAAACGAATTTTGCAAATCTGGATTTTAATCCCACCACTATAGCCTTCTCGAGGTCACAAAAGTACCTCTTCAACAATTTTTTTTTCCTGTAATGGTGGACAAGAACAAACAGATCAACTGTATAGAACTGTACAATTTAAGTTAACAGGTGTGCTTGCATGTACCATAGAGCAAGGACAACAGTCTGTTGTCCTTGCTCTATGCATGTACATGTTCTCCTGTCTGGCCTGTACCAAAATGTAATGGGGGTGTTAACAATCTAAACTCCTTTTAGTCTGGGAGGGGCTTCACTTTGGTTTCCTTTTGAACACTCGTTTAGGATCCAACAATGAACCGCTACTACGGTGGCAACCCCGGCTTCGGTTTCAACCACGTGGGCTTTAACCGTTATGCCGCCCCCCGCCAGATGTCCACCATCAGCAACAACACCAACAGCAACGACCTCAAGTCCAGGGAGTCGCGCCTCTTTGTGGGCAACCTGAACCCGGACTCCCTGACTCAGGACAAGCTGGAGGAGATTTTCTCGCGCCACGGGCAGATCATCGGGATCTCCCTGCACAAGGGGTTCGCCTTCCTCCAGTACAGCACGAAAGAGGAGGCCAGACAGGCTTGCAGAATGGAGCAAGGGAGAGTTCTCAACTTCCAACCCATGGGTTCGTATCTTTTTTTTAGCCTTCCTTTCATAGCTACAGTTGTGTATTTGAGGGTAATTTGGTCAATTTGACCAACAAAGAACTGTGCGGGGCATAGACAGGCTCTCAAATAAGATCCGCCTTCATCTAGCTGGACACTGCTACCGGCACACAGGAGAACCAGTGTCTGGATTCATCCTGTGGACACCTACACACCAGGGGGGAAACCAAGAAAAAATACCCACAACCCATGTGTGAAAACCTTGATGTGGAAATGGCAGACCTGCCAGTCCTAGTGAACGACAAGTCCTTGTGGAGGGTGCTCGCCAATGCTCCTGCCTCGGCTGCCAAATGATAAAATGATGATGATGATGATGATTTGAGGTACTTGTGATGGACCGCAAGTCGGCATCAGTCGTTCGTCACATGACAATCACAAGTCATCCAGACCCAAGTCAACTCACAAGCTATTCAAATTCTTTTGTTACTGTTCATCTCCTGTTACTTGTGACTGGACTTGTGAATTAACTTGGGATTTATCTGTGACCGGACATGTGATGTACTTTTGATCCAGCACACGTATCTCGACTGCAGGAATTTGGGGAAAGAATTTAGCATCTCTGTGCCACTTTTTTTCCACCATTTATCATCTCAGTGAAGGTCAGTCAATGCAAAAATGTGGAAAAAACATGAATCTAGGACTGAGAAACATTTCCAATTTTGTTACAAAATACTTAGCAAATGCACCCAACTCTCCCTAGACTTTGTACATAACCAAAGAAGTGGCGTATGGATACTACATTCTGTCCAAATTTAGATCAATGCCAGCTTCCTAGGTAGTTATGCCAGGAGTTTTCCTGAATCGTTTAGAATCCTGAATCCTTGAGCACTAAAAACAGAGAGGCTAGCATTTTGAAAATATTTGTAAATTTAGAAATAAACAGCTGAGTGGGTGAAATCTGTAATTAGATGAGTTCATGGTACATGTATTGGGTGGTAGTCCACCTCACTCCAAACTTAATCGGCCAATTTTCACTACCCCAGGAAACTTCCGACTGAACATAAAATGTTTCTCTCTTGCAGATATCAACATAGTCAGTGATCCGAATCCAAACCGTGCAAAAGGCTTCAAGAGAGTTCAGAATCCAGCATATTACAACGGGTGAGAGGAAACTGTTGCAGTTGATAATTAGCATTTCTTTTGCTACCTGCCGATTTATTTGCTCAATTCTTTTGACAGAACCGGTTACGAAGGCCACTGGGTTCTTGTTCACTGTTAATGTGGCAGGCATATCCAAAAGCAGACTTGTTGGTGGCGGGATGTAAACTGTCCTTTTTTCTTCCATTGTTAATGCAATTTACCAACACATTCATTCAGAAACTATCTTTAACTTCAGAATTCAAATTTAAATTGCATGTGTCTCTCCCCCCCCCCCCCCCACCAAAAAAAACACACATTAAACTACTGTTTAATTGTAAACATAGTACAACATGATTTGGCAGTGGCTAAAAAGAACCCAGATTTCAAATATTTCCTGTGAAGCACTGCAGGTAAACACAGGATTTTCACCACCACTGTCAACTCTTTTTTTGGCTGGACTCGAAGGTCCAGTCCATTCACAGTTCCCAGTCACTCTGAAAATCAGGGAAAATCTGGAAAATGAGTTTTCCGTTTTGCCAGTTGGGAAAAACTCAGGGAATTTGACAGTGACCCAGAAAAGAAAGTTTTTTGGGGCCAGTTTTGTCCAAGTTGTGTCCATTGCAACTATTTCTCATGGAACTTTGGAAATTTCTCGGGAAAATATCAGGGGAAAAAAAAACCTCAGTGACTGACTATTTCTGAGTCAGTCTGAGTGACTGAGTCACTGAGTATAAATAAAGTACTAAACTGAGAGTTTCGGGTCCGGGTCAACTAGGCAAACCTAGTCTTTTTTTGTATATCGAATCACGTTTGTTTGCCATTTTCAAGCCAAGTTTTGTGCGGAGTATAACACCTTTGGGCTGTAAACTTGACGGGAAGCGTTTTGTTTTTGTCCCATTTGCCAGCAGCGGGTATGTCGACCCAGCTACTCTGCCACTGATTCCAGCAGCCGGCCAGGCAGGTCCCCCAGCCGCCAAGAAGGTCCGACGCTTCATGGAGAACTCCCAGATGGACACAGAAGGCGATGGTATGTCGCGACAACTCTTTTGTTATCAATAAAAGTTTGATGTCAAATACCACTTTTGTCACACACCACTTTTGATGTGACAATCTCTTCAGGCACTCATATTCACATAATCACATTGTGATTGCACATTCGGGGAAAGTTGTGACATCGCTGTCCATTAGAAAACCTGCACAAATTTCTTCTTGATTTTTCATTCTATGAAGGGCGCTGTTTCTGTTATAATTTTGTTACGCACAGTGAAGAAGACAAGATAACTCGTACAAGTTTAATACTTTTGAAGTGACAGCACAACTTGACCCGAATTCATGATCACAACATCATTGTTATTATTATTTATTTATTTCTGGTAATGAAACCAAGGATTCCTTAAAAGCGCCCCAGGCACTGTAGCTCGCAAGCCTGAAGAAACCTGTACAGAGGAGACAATGAGAAGAAATTACAGTTTTTAGAGGTGGGAGGAAAATTCCAGAAGAATATTCTGGGGAAACCCACGGAATCAGGTACGGACTGAAAACCCAATCCACATATTGGCCCAGGCGGGATTCGAACCTGGGTCACAGCAGTGGAAGGCGAGGAAAGTACCGCTAGGCCAACCCGACTCCCCATGAAAATGTGTGCCCATTTTATATTTTTATTTTTGAAATCTGCATCCCTCTAAAAGGCTTTCATAGTGGGTTGCTTTTTCCCCTAATGCACAAAAAGATAATAATTTGAAGTAAATTATTTGAAGTTTGTACAGTAATTATTCCATAAGTAAATGTTGTCGCATGTTTTTTCCGTTCAGCATCTCTGAAGAAGTTTTGTATTGCTAGAAAAATAAGCAGAAAAAACACCCCCAAAGCCCACCTATTTTTTATGAAATTTGAAAATAGCATGGACAGAGCAACTGTACTCTGGCCGAGGCACTGATAGCATTATAAAAGAATTTCAAAGAATACCTGAATTTTTTTTCTTGTAACAGAACCATCGTCTTGGACTTGCGCGTACTGCAAGGAGGAGAGCCCGACCTGCTGGAGTCTTGTCAAACACGTGGCCACCACTCATCAGACCCGCATCTACATGGAGGATTCAGAGAAAGTCTCTGCTTGAGGCAGACAGCGTTGCCATCTAAGTCTGTGGAGATGCTAAGCACACATGCTAAGGTTTTACAAAAAGTCCTGCTAACCATGACAAGATTAACAGGCTAAAAGTGAAATTTTAAGGTGTAGGGACTTTTCATGGAATTTGCAGAGTCCGTGCTTAGTAGCTCCGTAAAATCTTCGAATTTTTTTTTCAATGTCACACCCTTTTGTTCTTTGGAAATTCATACAGAAGCCATTGTTAAGACTGGGATATCGTTTGCCTTGATTCAATTCAGTTTGGAGAGTTGTCTCCAATAGATGCATTGCATGGCAGCAATCTTTGAGATGCGTGCTGTTGTTTCACGGGAATACGCATAAGTAGACAACTTGTGCTTTTATTTGGTTTCGAATTAAAGGTTGTGTTCCAGTAGCTCACCCGGATCGACTCGGGTAAAGGCAGAGGGGTTAGCCACAACAGCTGGGCTAATCGAACACTCAACCGTGGGCCATCACGTTCCTCTCGCGATGTCGGTAGCAATGGTTGAGCCACTGAACTGACAAAATGCCTGTTACGCACTGGGTCTCAGATTGAGATGTACTGCTTGTCCGTCAGTTGAAAAAAAAACCACAAAGTTGGGCTGGAATTATAGCCTCTAACGTTGTTATGAACTTAATAAATAATCACCTTAAGACATCAGTAAAGTTGATTTTTGAGTCCATATTTGTCCGTTTCTTGGAATGAACAACTGATGAGTGTGACGTATTTCCACCAGTGAATCTGCTCCACGAGCAGGGTCTGTGTGTGGTGGCTGACCCAGGTGAGCCCCGAGAATGACGTCGGAGCTAATTGAACGGCACAGGGGCTACCCGAGTTGATACGGGTGAGCTACTCGAACGCACCCAATATAATGAAATATTGCAAAGATAGCTGCTGAATGCAACCGGTCTATTGTAGGCACTGTACTTCAGAAATTCCTACCCACATTCCCTTCTGACACGGAAGGGAAATCTGACACTTTTTGTTAATTGCTTGCTAAGCTTAGAAAAACTCAACTTGTGTTTGTCTGTGCACTTTGTTGGTCTTTTTAACGTTTGCGTAATTCTAGTTTTCCTTCCAGCACTCTTTAGTTTCTTGGGTAACAAAAAAAGTAACTTAGTTCGTTTGTAAATTTGTCAGTGAATTCAATTCTGCATTACCACTCTGTATACATGTATCTGTATCTGTGCTATGTAAAAAAAAAAACACTTCACTTTTGTGATTTCACTATGTTTGTAAATTGATCAGGCTAATTCTGCTGAAAACTTGATTCACATGTTTAAATACCCACTAAGATTTCCACACTTGTGCGTACTTTCTGTATTTTTGTAGTTGTGTGTCGTATACAAGATTCTTGTTTTCTCAATGGTATCGTTAACTGAAAAACAGCAGTGGATTGTTTCAAAATCGTATACTGACTTTCCAATGAATGGCTTTCTGACAATATAACTGTGTGCGTATAATCTGCAGCAAAATCTAAAAGTTCGCACTAACTGAAAGTAAATCACGAGTCTGGGCTCCGTGCACGAACAGAGAGGGCGCTTTTAAGTTAACACTTTCGAGCGCCCAGTGGGACACGTATTGCACACGTATTGCACAAATTTATGCATGAGCAGGTCCTTCATTTTCCTCCTATCAGAATGTTGTAGGCAAATTGCTTTTATGAAAGAGAAATGTCACGCCTCAGTTTGCAGTAGCTTTACATTTCTTATTTCTATTGAGTTCGCAGCCATATAATGTCTTAGATCAATAAGGTTTTACAAACTTATTTTGCGAAAAATTGAGCAAAGAGATGTTTTTGGGATTCATGTTTCAGCAGTGGTAAGATAAGGCCTGGATTTTGAGTGGAATTTGTGGAGGCTTCAAGTTTACGTTAATTTTGAGTTCATTTTAAAGAAATCTTGGGAAATGTGTTCAACTTGGAAAAATTGTGAGTCGAACATTGGCTTAGAAAAGTTGTGTTTAAAATGGAGATGTGTGGGTGGACATTTTCTTTTTTTCAGGAAGACACAATTTAGCTTGTTTTCATTTTTGTTTAATTAAAATGAATAAAATTGCAGCATATTACATGTACATGTACAATAAATTTCTGCGTTTCGTGTTTTATTTTTTTTTGTTCAAAATGAAATATTGTCATTCTACATTGACGTTGATCATATGCCCCGCTACAGCTCCATGGTATAAATATAAAAACACTATACACATGTACATGTAATTAAGTGCACAATTGTTGATAAAAATAGAAACATCAAGTAGACGCTCTTAAAGGGAATGTTCAACATTTGCTTTTCTGCAATTTTCAGAAATAAATGGATTTGGAGGATGAGTCTGTTATAGCAAATATTGTTTTGGGTTCGTAGACGCTGGAAAAACCAAGAAAACCAATCATATTCTTGTAGTCTGGTTCCCTTGACCCCACTTGAGATGAAACGGAGCAATTTATAGACTGGGGAATTGTAAGATCAGAGACTCAGTCTAGCTGGCTTGTAGTCTTCACAGGTGTGTAATCAATTGCAAAGAAAATGCAGACGAACTAAATATGAACAATTCGGAGCATTTTTTTAAAAAAAAAGCCAGTTTTCTCCAACGCTGGTCGGCCGACCAGCATTGGAAAAATACAGTATTTCTTCAAAATGTCAGCACACCAGGAGCCACAACTTTACAGGATGCTTTGGACTGTCATTCCCTAACAATCCAGTAAGATATTTGATGTTTGCAAATGTATCTTCTCTTTAAATTATAAATATTATATTTGGAATGTGTAGTTGATGTTTTTATTTAGTTTCCGCAACATGACCTGCATATCTGGGAAGCACTAAATTCCAGTTACTGCAGCGGTCATGTGATATCTGCTGAAAATCATTTTGCATTTGATTGCGAACTATTGCCGTGCGCCCTCACTTTCCGTGCAGCGTGACATCGACATGTGTAGCGCATAGCACGTGTTGCTGCAAGAACGTCCATGGCATTATGTCAAAATGTACACAGCTTGTCGCGGAAGTGGACCGTTGGCGACCGGACTCGGGACCGAGATGAACAAACTGCTGTAACTGTAAGTTGATGAATGATGGTTCTTTCAATGCTTTTATAATTCGGCAACAGTAATGTGTTTTCCCATTTACAATCCACTAAGTTTGACGCGACTTAGACCCGTGAACGTGGCGTAGTTTACAAGCCACGTTCACGGGTCTAGACGCGACTATTCGCCGCCAGCTCGACAGCAATGTACGCTCGTAAATGTAAAATTCAGGGTGTCCAAAAAATAAATCAAAACCCTGCTCTCTTCTTTACTTTCGATGTCATGCGTATAACGTACGGCTGTCTTCCAGACACTTCAATCAGTTTTGACCGGCTACTTTTATAGCTCCATGCTTCAACCATGGAGCTATAATTTTCAACTTAGTTCTGCACGACGTGTGCATCCGAAATGTGCTCTAAAAACACATTTTGCCTAGGCCCTAATTCTTTTCGCATTTCCAGAGCTTCCTGGATTCCTCTTGGGTAAAATCACAAGGTGAGATGAAAATTGATGTGTTTGGCGGTAGGTAAAGTGGTGGCCCAGTATGGAATTTTTACCCTAATTATGTTAGTAAATGATTTCAAACACATAAAGTGACTTTTCCTGCTTGTACAACAGTATGTATCATACATTCATAGCCAAATGTTTAGATAAGTCCCCAAAAAGGCAAAAACATTAAAGTGTCTTTTCTTTATTATAATATGCTTTCTTGAAATCCATGGCTTTGAAGGATTAAAAAGAAAAGAAAAGAAAGAAAGTCTTAGAGCCATTCATGCCATTTGGCCAATAGTCTGGTTGCCAAGAGCCAAATAAGATCCTGATGTTGAATACTTGGGCAACACTGAGTATACTACGCTGGCAAAAGACAAACCCAGTATAAAATTCTGTGCACTTTTAAGGAAAATAAGAAACCAGTTTATTTAGTGACTGTTTTATAATGTCCGAAATGTCCTCTTGAACGTTCTGATGGTGCAGTTCAAAACAAGCGTCTTGCCTAGATGAGGCAATTTAACGATGGGCGACTAAGCAAATTGCAGTTCTCTTGCAATGAAGTCCCAGATTTTGTTAAGGCACAATGTAGAATTTAATTTAAAGTTTGAGTAAACTTGTTCTAGATAGTGTACAATGTCACCCATGAGTTTTTCTATGCAGATTAATTGAAAACTTGTGCATTCTACTTGTGCTACAACTAGACTGCAGTGGATTTTTTTTTAATGCAAAAGTACCTCTGATTTACCAAAAGAATGAGCCAAAAGTTTGGAATCTCGAGATAACAAACTCCAAAGACATCTCATCAGATCCAGAGAATAATATACTTAATAGATTTGAACTTTATAACCTCAGTGAACCAAAGTTCTTAGTTACTAGATAAAACTTGCGCAACTTTGATAAGGTCGAAAGACCTCAGAAATTTATCACAAGTTCTCTTTCATTTTTTTGTCTTCGTCTGTTTTTCCTTCTTTTCAGGAAGAAAGAAAAAAAAAATTATCTCTTTCCCCGGATGGACTTTGAAATAAGATTACTCTTGCGGGGCGCACCCTATCTGAATTTCCACCAGATGGTATTTTGATAAAAAAGGTTAACAACAGGGCCACAGCCAAGGCGGCTTATCACTGTAGGCCAGAAATACATGGCGCTGATAAGGATCATTGATAAATGATAATGTCAGAATGCTGATGGAATAATATAGTGCTATTGATCCTATCATTGCAGCTCATACAGTACGCACACACACACACGGGCCGTGGCAAGGCTAGCAGTGCTGTGACATGAGCTCACGTCCATGAATACTCCGAGAGTTCCCAGGTCCACATGCACTGTTTGCGAGTCTGTGTTTGTTGGCAGCTGGGCCCTCCGATAAAAAAAAACGAACTTAATCTGTCTGCGGCCAAACTCAGTCGGGGTAAGTTGCATTTTCTTCCGTTCTCTTTAACTGTTCTCTTCTTTTTCGGAGTTGTCATTGGGTATCTTATTAAAAGAAAGACTGAGTAATTAATGTCCCTGAGTTTTCTCTCTCAGAATAACCTGAAAACGTTCTGCCCTAAGACGCATTCTTGGACTAGATTTTCAAAGTGTGACTGTGATGCAGATGGATTATAGTTGAAAAACAAAATGTGTCCCCCCCCCCCAGCTGTTTCATATTTTTCTTTTATCTCTGGATCTGCTATTTTCTAATTGGAGCATCAGCTCTTTTTTTGGTGGGAGTCGAAGTTTAAAAATTGAATTAATTTTTGTACAAACAGTCGGTGGTACAGATGTGCAATGAAGGAGGTTCATAAATGGCTTAATAAGTACAGGCTGATGTTAATTTGCATTTCAAACGATTATGTACAATGCAAGGAGTACACTGCGTTGGGTATTTGGACCTGCATTTTTTTTTTTTTTTTTTAACCGTATTAATTAACTACATGTACATTTCACTTATTGAAGGCATTTTGAATGTGTTTTACCTGCATGTTATAACACATCATCCAAGATTTTTTTAATTCTTTTAATATAGCCTTTCATTTTAGCGATAAACTTTTCATCAAAGTTGGATTACTTCAATTTTCTAGATTTAAAGATAAGTTATGTCATTGACAAAAGTGTTCTGTTGGCAAAATTGAGTTTTCTTTCATACTGAATAGATGTTCCCTACAGATTAAAAACATTGACATTTTTGACAGTTGCTGCACATTAACTTTTAAAGGTAATATACAACATTTGCAAACATAAAAAAAACTAACAAATTATTATGAAATACTTTACTTACCGGTACTTGAATGTAAGTGAATAGTAGTCTCAAGCATCTAGTGAAATTATGGCATCTGGTGTGCTGTCATTTTCAAGAAAAGTGGAAATTTTCTATCAAAAAATGACTTTTTCAAATACTGCCTCCAATTTACCAAATTTAGTTAGTGCGCATGTTGTTTGCAATCGGTTTCATGAACGGGTGCAAGCCAGCTAGCCTGGTTCCCTGGCCTGACAATTCCCCGACGTAGACATATATAGTGCTCTGTTTCATCTTAAGTAGGGTCAGGTAACCAGACTACAAGAACATCTTTTCTCCTTGCTTTTTTTCCGGCATCTATGAACGCAAAACTTTAAACAGAACAGTGTATTTGCTATAAAATACTAACTACCAAATTCATGCTTATACATGTAAGCCTGTTGCCTCTAACATTAACTGTCTGGGGGAAAAAATTATTTCATTGTTCCCCAAAATTTTCTGTGAAGACAAAAGCAATATGACCCATACACCAGTGGCATTAACAATAAAATGGAAACTTGTACAGATGTGAGTTGCAGGCACAATTTTATTCATAATCATTCATTTCTTTTTGCATGACTGTAAGGTACTTAATAAATTAATGTAAGTAGGGTAATTGTGAATTTTTAAAGCAAGTTAAACCATCCCCCCCCTTAGAAACATTGGAATATTTCATATGACGTCATGGCAGAATTTAATACTCCAACTTATCACTGAATCAGATAAATACTTGTTTGCAGTCAAGATAAATTTTATCTGAAAGAGAGTCACATGTTTCAAGCAATTCTCAAGATCAGCAAACTTTTGGAACCAAATATAGGCTAAGGTTGGAATCTTGGTTCATTGGCCATCAAGATAGATGCTTATCCCATTTTCGGCCCTATTTTTTTTTTTTAAAGCTTGCCAATTGTGGTCAAAACTTCAAAATGTCTATTAAATACATGTAGTTCCAAAAATTCTTTTCGTTTTTTTTTTTAGGATGATTTTTGTTGTTTCCAAAAAGTAGCAGGAACAATTTCAAGTAAATTCAAGATTCAACAACAGTGGTTTTTAATTTTGAAAATAAACAGGAGGGTGGAATCTTACTACATTTCTCTCTTTTGTCCATAAACGTGGCATCTTTTATTCATGGCCCTGGCCGGCTGATTACCGAGTCTGAGTCATCAATATTTTTATCATCCCTCCATAATCTTTGCCAGGCTTTTTTTTTTTTTATAAACCGTACCCAACCCAAAGAGCGATAAAAGACACTTGTTATTTTCACGAGTACTGCGGACAACAAAAAGTCGCTGATAAACTTTATCTGAGGAACAGATAACTGAATCCTGAACAATCTCCGGTGTGTCTGTTCCGTGTGACCCTTGAACATTTGAAGCTACATGAGGGTTAAAAAGTTTGGTGGAGATACCCTGAAAAAGATTGTACCATTCAGACTTAGAAATATATACATCAACCCAATTTCTAGTGGTCTTTGAAACGATTGATATGGACTCTGTTATCTGTGACAGTTAGGAAGATTTGTAGCAGAGAGACACCTTGATAACAGTCGAGAGCTGGTACAGTTGGCGGGGCCTTTGATAGGTTGAACCTCTGGTCAGCGGACTATCTGGAGGAAAATGGAAGAAAATGTAACATCCACGACAGAGCCAATTAACCATGGTATCTAATTAATGATTCAGACAAATGATCCAGAACTCCTTGTCCGGAATCTCCTTGACCATTACTAGATGATGGATAAGATTTGAAAAATGCATAAATTTTCAGGTTTTATTCACTGAGCTCTTAAAGGGAGTATACAACATTTGCAAACATCAAAGGACAAAACTACCAAATTATCACAGAAATGCCTTACTGGACTGTTAGTCTCACTGCCTCATATCTCACTGCCTCATATTACTTGGCTTCCGACTTTGGTCTCCACAATGTAACTCACACAAAATTGTAAAAAAAGAAGTCATGCATCGTCATTAATTTCAGTAAAAATCTGAATGTATATCTGAACACTGCTGAATGTAGCGACATCCAAAGTGAATGATTTCTGTCGGTTTTTGATAGATTTGAAAAGCGAGCAAAATATCCTTCATTACAAGTAGTTGTACTGTAAAACCTACAACCTAGTTCAAATTTGTTGACACGGCCAGATCCCACAAAAAAAATGCGTGAAGCTCCAGAGAAGTTTTGATAGTTTCTGGTACATGTATAGTCATGGGAGAAAATCGGAGATTTCAAAATCCGGTTATGGCCTACATTTTTTCAAACCGAAGAGCGGTCAAACCTGATTTCATCAGAGGTTCCCATCCAGCCTGCAGTAATGCCAACAGAAAGTGACAAGTAAGGTATTTTGCCAGATTCAATGACCACTGGGCAAGTAACAAAAACACTCCAGGGCTGCAATGTTGAACAAATGGATGGGAACTGTCTGGTACAAATGTAAGTCGAATGGGCAGGCAATACCAAGAAGACCACTAGCAAGTGTGCAGTTACAATCAGAGACCATGGAACAAATTGGGGGATGTTCCAGTTGTTTTCTTTAGCCTGTGTCACACAAAAAAAGGAAGGCTTAATTTTTTTAAGGTTGGTTTCGAATATCCCGTTTCCAAAGTGAAACCAAATAGAGGAATTTAAACCGAATTTTTAAAAAAATCCGGATTTAAATCCCACCACTGGTTTCTGGAAACCACTTGAATTGCCGAACATTTTGCAAACATGTTTCAAAATGAGTGCTATAATATTGTGTGTTTCATGTGTTTGTGGAATGTTGTGGCTCACTACATTACTTGTACCAGTAAGAGTGTGCCATGTTGAGCTTAGGAATGGCTTATAGGATATTTGCTGCCCAAAGAACACTGAACATGAGTGCGGAGAGATAAGCCCCGCCGATAAGCCCCACGCCAAGCGGCGCTATCAGAAGATTGATCTCAGTCCCTTCCATATTTAGCGTGGCGAAATACTCCTCGCTGCGATTGGTCGACGGCGGGATGTGCAGATACCATCAGCGAGATTCGGATCCGTGGGATAGCGATCTTCCAGCGGTGCCCAAGCCGTTGGAAATAAATGCGTCTGACCTTTGTGTCGTAGGCCCTATCTCTCCCCATTTTAATTTCAGAGTGGTGTGCGTGATCGCACCCCGTGATAAGGCCGCCGCAGTCGCGCACATTAATCACTCTCTGCAATCTGCCAGTGTATATGAGATGATATTCATGATATGCCCCCCATGCATGCCGTGCATATAAGGGGCGATATATTTGTGGGTCTCCAAAAGTCTCGAGGACATTCTTGAAAATTTGCATGCAATTTCTGCACTTTGAATTGCCAATTGATGAAAATAATACGGCAACTTGGTTTGAGTTTTGTTCAAAAGGTCGTTGAGCTTTTACTACTAACGTTCACCATGTGTGTCAGTTGATACAAATGTAATAGCAAGGCCCCACCACCTGCATTGGCAGTGTTGTGTTGGTTTAAATATTGGAAATGTACCACTAAGTTCATTCTTGGACAATAATTAGGCCTATCCCTTTAGTTCTGAATCCTCAATTTTTAATATGATTTTTTAAAAACATTTTAGAGAGTTAAGGTTAAATTTCCTGGGCAATCGTGAAGAAGTGGGCAGTGAATTTTTGTAGGAGCTTGAGTATGAAACGCTTGAATTTTTGGGTAACATGGCTATAAAAAATAATTTGTGCTGAATAGTGTAATGCATTACTTGTACCATGTAGTACTTGGTAATTGTTTTATTTTATTGCATTGGTCTAAAAAATTTTAGGCAATGTACATACAGTACATGTAGGCATGTTCTTTGAAGGCAAAACTTACAGCGTTTGGACAATTACTTTTTAACCATATCGTTATTAAAATTCTCTTTTTTTTTGTTGGGAAGGTGGGGACGCTGATTTTGTTGTTTTGAACAGCTAACAAACTTTACTTTTGTGTGAGCCACATTTTCCCCCCTTTGGGCTTGTTTTGTTCTTGCCAACATGTAATCTAACCTGTCATTTATCTTCAGCCAATCAGCCTCAGGACCCTCGGGGAGCTTAGGACTGTCTGATCCGGGATTGGTGGCCCGGACTGATATCCACTGTTGGACGCTATCACTATCAGCCATACAAATTCACCATTCTGTCTAAAGGCCATTCCTTTCATGAAGAACCCCAAGT